GGAGGCAAATCCCACCGGCACACGGACGACCGCGCCTCGTTATCGCTGCGCCTCTGTGGACCAAATCCCACCGGCACGCGGCCTCCAGCACTGCACCTCCCGTCACCTTGGCGCTGGTTGCAATTCAGCCGGCACAGTCACCGACAGTCAAGGTCGTCCCGGCTATACGGTAAACTCGGTAAAACTCGGCACACTTGAGACCGGTCCCGTTCTTGCCGGCAATTCAGCTGGCAGGCCGCCTGTTCGGCCATTTCCCGGCCAGTGGCGTTTACACGGCATGCTGCAAACATGGTACACTTCAGGCCGAACCCCTGCCGATCCTCGCTCCCTTGCGGTTAGACAACTAAACGAGAACCCAACCCCAGAGGGTTTGTTGGGAAACACATACCAATGCTTGCACACCAGCACCTCCAACAGCACCCCGCGAAGAGCGACCCAAACAGCACAGCAAAGAATGCGCCCGCACCGTCACCCAAACCTCAAACAGTTCCCCAAACAGCATCCCAAGACATCACCTGCATGCGCCCTAGCACCCAACGGTCAATCTTGCAAAGATGCGCCCGCACTGCCTCAAACAGCACCCCAAACAGCACCTACACCAGCGTCCCAAATTGCACGCCGAGCACCAGCCGGCAACTCGCAAATCACGTTCCCCTCTGGAAGATAGAGCCCCCATAGCTTTCAGCTAAAAAGGGGGAAACAAAACAAGAGGAGCCCGGGAACCCAAAAGCAAACCAGCCTCACGGCTTGAGTCGCGGTTGCTCCCCTTCTTCATCTCTTTTGGGGTTAATTTCCCAACTGTTAACAACTTAAATCTTGGTTTGCCTTCGGACCCTTGAGCCGGCAAACAACGGGATCCACATGCCATGGGGAGGATTGGCAGCCAGCAGCCTGTGCTCTGACCAAGCACAGAGAAAAAGGCAAAGGCACGGGTGAAACATGACAGGCCCCGCACTACATGGAAGGCACGAAGTCATCTGATTCATCATGAAGAACCAATCGCAGAAATCCGAAAATGGATCCGCACAAACTACCACTCCCATATTGGAAGCAAGGCATAAGCTCGCTCTACACCCATCTGAGCTCGTGTTTGTGGCCCAGACGTGTTTTTCGCCCAGACTGAAACTCCAACATCTTCGAGGCAAGCAAAGAAGAATCAGTGACCGTTTCCTGTGAGCCATTTTCGCAGCGCGCCATCCATTTGGTCTGAAGAGCTGAGGCATCCCGAATGCTTCCAGAGTGGATCGATCAGAGAGCCGAGTGTGCTCAGCATATTCATGTCAACGTGCTTCCAGGCTGCTTCCAAATAAGTAGGGCAAACGCCAAGAGGCTACAGCTTCTGAAGAGAGGGTTCGTCCTAGAAACATATTGGCATCAGGTGTGCGGCAAAAAGGACAATTTTGGCGCACCTGGAACGCCGGGCTGTTCACACGGAGCCGTGCACGTGGCCTTTACAAACTTGCTTCGTAAGCTTGCTTGGATCGTTAGTTTCTCCACCTATTTTCCCATTCGCAACCAATTGCAACTGGTGACTTTGTGGAAAGGGCCGCGCACGTTGTCAATTGGATGCGTGTGGATGGCAAGTTGGGTGGATTCGCCGCAGGTGTGTGGAGACGGGGCCGGCGCTGCGCTTTTGCGGGGGGCTCGGTGTGGACAAGCCTCGGTCACTTGGTGGGTCTGACGCCTCCGAAACAAGTCTGAAACACAGTGTTACCACGATCTGTGTAGACCGGGGTCAGCTGTTCGGATGTTCATGCGCCCCGCGTGTCACGAGCATCCACCACGCAGGTCTCGCTCGCGGGCGGTTTCCGCCTGTCACGAGCGTCCACCGCGCAAGTCTCGCTCGCGGGCGGTTTCCGCATGTCACGAGCGTCCACCGCGCCAGTCTCGCTCGCGGGCGGCTGCCGCATGTCACGAGCGTCCACCGCGCCAGTCTCGCTCACGGGCGACTTCCGCATGTCACGAGCGTCCACCGCGCCAGTCTCGCTCGCGGGCGGTTTCCGCATGTCACGAGCGTCCACCGCGCCAGTCTCGCTCGCGGGCGGTTTCCGCATGTCACGAGCGTCACGCCAGCGTCCACCGCGCCAGTCTCGCTCGCGGGCGGTTTCCGCATGTCACGAGCGTCCACCGCGCCAGTCTCGCTCGCGGGCGGTTTCCGCATGTCACAAGCGTCCACCGCGCCAGTCTCGCTCGCGGGCGGTTTCCGCTGTCACGAGCGTCCACTGCGCCAGTCTCGCTCGCGGGCGGTTTCCGCTGTCACGAGCGTCCACTGCGCCAGTCTCGCTCGCGGGCGGTTTCCGCATGTCACGAGCGTCCACCGCGCCAGTCTCGCTCGCGGGCGGTTTCCGCATGTCACGAGCGTCCACCGCGCAAGTCTCGCTCGCGGGCAGTTTCCGCATGTCACGAGCGTCCCCCGCGCCAGTCTCGCTCGCGGGCGGTTTCCGCATGTCACGAGCATCCACCGCGCCAGTCTCGCTCGCGGGCGGCTTCCGCATGTCACGAGCATCCACCGGGCGCGCCAGTCTCGCTCGCGGGCGTTTTCCACATGTCACGAGCGTCCCCCGCGCCAGTCTCGCTCACGGGCGGTTTCCGCATGTCACGAGCGTCCACCGCGCCAGTCTCGCTCGCGGGCGGCTTCCGCGTGTCACGAGCGTCCACCGCGCCAGTCCCGCGAGTCCGGATGTCACGAGCGTCCCCTGCGCCAGTCTCGCTCACGGGCGGTTTCCGCATGTCACGAGCGTCCACCGCGCCAGTCTCGCTCGCGGGCGGTTTCCGCATGTCACGAGCGTCCACCGCGCCAGTGTCGCTCGCGGGCGGTTTCCAGCCAGCCTCGCACGCCCAGTCTGCACCACACCGCCGTCCCCCCAGCCAGCCAGTCTCGCTCGTGGGCAGTTTCCAGCCAGCCTCGCGCACCCAGTCAAGTTTCCAGCCAGTCTGCACCACACCGCCGTCCCCCCAGCCAGCCCCACACCGCTGTCCCCACAGCCAGCCTCGTACGCCCGGTCTACCCCCAGCCGGCATCGCACGCCCGGTCTGCAGCACAACGAAATGGAAATCCCTTCTTATCTCCGTCGTCACAGCTTGTATCGCTCCCAGGCACCTTAAGAGAAAACCTAAAGCAGAACCCAAGCATCAGAGATGCTTTTGGTAAAAAGGGGGAGAACAAAACACGAAGAAAAAAGGGGAAAACAACAACGACCAACTCAGAAACCCGCAGCCTGAAGCGGCCGCTTAGCCCCGCGGCCTCTTCGCCCAGCAAGTCGCCCAGCGCTTCGCTGCTCAGGCTGCCTCCCATGGACTCGAATTTCCTTTTGATGTCCAAGATACCAAAAGGGTACCCCGATTTTGAGGCTACCCCATTTTTGGTGGCAAAGAGGAACCAAAAGGAAACCAACCATTTTGGAGGGTCCCCTAAAAAGAGACACCAAATGGACTCGAACCCTGCCCCGATTCTACTCTGCCAGGCTGACTCCGGAACCATGGCCAACCAACAGAGTTCCACCCCCAAGGGAAAACTTGTTCTTTCTGTCCCTGATACGAGTATGTCTCAAAATAGGGGAACCCCCGCAATAGCTGTTTCTTCAACCAACCCTCTTTTTTTTTTAAGGGGGGGGCTACCCAAAAAAAGGACAAACCCCTCTACTGGTTGTGTGGTTTCATTCCCCATCCATCCTTTCCCTGCGCCTTCGGGTCGCAGCGGTCGCCCCGCCCAAGCACCTCCTAAGGGCCGAGATGGGTCACCTTCCGCTGAGTCGGTACGCCCCCTTCTCAGTCAGGAAAGCTGCACTCCACTTCCCCAATTCCGATGTGCTCAAAATGACTGACTTCCTGCCAATGGACGGTTTCACATCTCAAGTGGTTTCAACCAACTCAGAAAATATCCAAGGCCCAATCCCAAATCCCCTCAGCTCGCTCGCCTTTTTCTCCCGAGCCAACCACGCATGCTGCAAAACCAATGCCTGCCCTCGTCCCATGGGTTTTTTAGGGTGCCGGCAGCCTTGGAGCTGGACACACCGAGGCCGTTTCAGTAAAGATCGCCCTCAAAAAAACCAGCCATGTCTCTAGCTATTCGGTGAAAACCGCCCCGAAAAACCCGCAAGCTTCACGAAAGCCGAAGGGAAGTGGGCACAACCGGCTTGAAGAGCCGGGTAATTAAGCTGGTTGAGAACGCCTTTGGCCGTTGTACAAAAGGCAAACTTTGCCTTTGCTCCTTTTCTTGGTTGTTGTTGCCTCCTGCAAGAAGTGCAACTAACTGTTTGCGGGCATCCCATTCAGCAAATCCGAGCCTTTTCAACAGCAAGGTGAGAAAGTCCAATCCATAGGAAAGTCTTGCTCTTGGTGTCTGTTTCGCCAAAGGGTCACACATCTACTCCATGGGCCATGCCTCAGCCTTTTTTTCCAGGCTCATAAGAGGCGATGCTGACCTGCCATAAGCTGGCTGCGAGAGTTACCCTCCCACCAACTAACATGGGCTAGTGCACAGACCCTGTAGAAAGACTACTTTCCTCTTGGAAAGGGCCATGTCAGTTGGTGGGAGGGTAGGGAACCGAGTTTCCGGGTCTTGGGAATGAACCGCTTTTGGATGGATTCCCGGAAAAAAAAGACGCCAAATCGGGGATGGTTCTTCTTGGGGGCATTCCATTCCTCATTTCCTGCTGAGAACCTGCAAGAGCATGCAAAACTCGAAAAACACCAGTCTCTCTGGGAATGAACCGGTTTTGGGGATTACCAAATCGGGGATCTATATTTTGTTGTGACCCCTAAACACCAGGTCCACACCCGGTTTCCCTTGGGTTTCCTACTGTGGATGGACGAAATCCTGCACCACCTGAAAAACCCTGGAACCATGATTCCCCTGTAAATACCAACAAACATTGTTTTTTCCCATGGTTTCCAAGTGGTGCAGGATTTTGTCCATCCACAGTATGAGTTCCAAGGGTTGGCTTGGGTTTCCCTGACCCCGCTTTCCCCCGAGCGGTGACCCGCGTGAGCCTCAGGAGTCATTCAAAGCCGATGGCGGAGGCCCCCCGCTTCGCCGGGATCTGCAGCTCACGGCGAAGCGCCTCCCCGTAGCTGGTGACCATGTAGTACCTGCTCCCACAACTTGGTTGAAGGGGAGCGAAAGTTTAAAGATTTTGGCTGTGAAGTGGTTGGATTTCAACCACTAAACCACAATAAGCAAACATGTAAAATGTCTCCCAACAACAAGAAAGAAATGTACGACAAACTATGGGGTCGTGTGGTCGTGTGAACCCTCCCTGCAGGTGTTCTTTTGGTGAGAAAGAAATGTACGACAAACCATGGTAGACAAAAAGAGGTGCCTTTCACTGTCTTCCCCCCTGGTGTCTTCTGCAACCAACTATCAAAGCCACCTCGTGCGGAAAAAGAAAAGAAAAGCAGGGAACGGAAGAAGGGCGAACGATTTGGTACCTCAGGTACGTGGGCAATAACTTCATGCTTACAATGTACAAAAGCCATGGCTATAAGTCTCCGTTCAGCAGGCTATAACCAGGCTTACAAACTACTTACTAAGTACCCGATCGCCCCTTTAAGTAGACCCTCTGGACCCCACTTGAGAAAGGGTCTTTCAAGAGGAATCTGGGGGACCCCCCAACTGTCTTTCAGCACTAGCTCGCTTCCCTGTCAGCGGATTCTGTGGATCCTTCTGAGCATTCCCACAAAAGGGTGTCCAGGTGGAGGGGATAGATCTGAAGACGAACGGCCGGACAAATTCTGGAGCCTTGGAGGCATCAGTTTTGGACATGTAATTCTGATCACCTGCCATATTTGGGTGTGTCTTTTTTGGGGGACCCCCCAAGATCGGTGTTCCGTTTGGCTTCCCTTCAAACACCACGGAAAAGGGGTGGCCTCGAAAATACAAAGACATTGACAGGTCATTTTTCTTATGATTCAGCAATGCCCCGCTTGATCTTGAGGGGGCGACTTCCAACGTAGTTTGTGAAATCCTCTACATGTTTACTTGCAATTAGGGACTTTTGCTTGACAGAGCCAAGACTGTTGAGTCTGGATGCGGCAGACAGCCGCAAATAACAAGCTCTTCATGCCCTTGTAGCACGTGCGAGGTACAAAAAACGCTACAAATGGGTTTGTCTCTAAATGGGAGAAACCCTCAAAATGGATGGTGTCCAGTTGGCTTCCCCTAAACCTGGCCCAAAAAGGGTACCCTTCGCCTCCAAAACAAATGAGCCGCCACCCAAATGGACGCAGGGGATCTTTTCATGGAGATGACGACCAGCCCTGCATTCAGCTGAGAAGCGTGTACCGTGAGGAGGCATTGTAGATGGTCACCAGCAGCATGGCGGCGCAGAGGCAAACATGCATCCGTCGGTCCAGGAAACCTTGGAGCCAAACAATGGTCCCCGGGTTCCACTTTTGGATGACCCCAAGGTAGACTTCAACCCAAACGGTGGTTCCTTTCCCCCAAATGGAGAACTCCAGGGGTTGAGTCTTCCTTGGCCAAAGCAAAAGCGCGGAACCAGCCACCAAGGTGAAAAGAGGCTGAGAAAAACGCGCGACAGCCAGCTCCCGAAATGGAAAACCATTCGGCGCAAAGAAGTGCTGGAGTCCCGTGGCACATCAAACGCGAAGGTGCCACTGGAGTTCCGTTTGGCAATGCCTTGTCTTCCGCAAGTACCGGGCCTTGTCAGCACTGAAGACCCAAGCGCAGAGCTCCGCTCTCCCGCGCGGAGTACTGGGCAAGATCGGACAAGATCGGTTGCATCCAGCGCGACAAAGCATCGTGTCCGGCACGAGATGGAGACCAAACAAGACGTTCATCAAAATGAACAAGACCGGACACCTCGGAAGCCTCCGCTGTGCTTCCCATTGCACCTCAGGCCCGGTCTCAAGCCGAAATCCAGAGCCCTAGCTCATCCATCCAGACCACCGGAATTTCCTGGAACCGAATCTCCTCAACCCCTGCATGCCCCAAGCCACCCCCGAGCTGGGCCTATCGACCCCATAGCTTTCAGATCTTGGGAAAAAACCAGGTGCAGATGGGCCGAAAGTGTTTTCCTCCCTCCCCAAGTTGCCGGGCACCCATTTTTCTGGCCCAAACCTTGGAATCTCAGAGCAAACCTCTTGCTTGCCCCTCAAAAGCCCTTTGTGCCGAAAAGACTGAAACCAAAAACCACCAGGATCCCTTTTGCCTTTTGCACGGCTCGCTGGAACCCGAGCGGATCCCCGAGATCGGGCGGCACAGCAAGGACACCGGGATGGAGCCCAGGACCTGTCGGCCAGGGACTGCGGGTCATCCGCTCGCCCCACCCGAACCCCAGAAACCCTGCCAAAAAAAATCCAGCAACCGATGCTTTCCCATGGTCTCAGGGCGACATCCACAGGATGAAACCAGAGATCGCCATTGAGACACCCATGGGAATGAGTTTGGCAAAAACCAACAAAGGTCATTGGTTCCGAAACCCAAAAAAGTGATGTTCGAGTCCCCGACGTAAAAACTACCAGCAGACGTTGTGGTTTCATTTTAACTAATGGCTTTTGAGGTGGTGCGAGATGGCCACAGGATGTCTTGTCACAAGCTTGGGAAAAAGACGAAAAGAACTGAGCTTTCCCTTAAAGAATGTCCTAGAACCCACCGGGCCCCTAAGGAAAGTGGTCCCCGAAACGTCAAGTTCCATGTCGGACTGGGCAAGGCGTTTGCCTCAAGAGCCTGAAGCCTGAAGCCTGACTGGAGCTACCCGCATGCCAGGCCTTTCAGTGTGCATCAGATTTCCAGACGTCTTCTTTGAACACACAAAGCAAGTCGCTTTGAATCGACCCAAAAGCTGATGTTTGAAGCCGCCAAAAGGGGAAATACAGGGAATTCCTTTTAGCAGGACCTCTTCTCTAAGCACGCGACGAGAGTTGCATGAATCACGAGGTACACGACTGCATATGAGCGGGGAAAGGAGCGATCTTTCACCAGCCGCTTGTGCTCCTGGCGTTTTCATGTTGGAGTTGTTCCTGTGGGGGGACAACCCGCCCATTCCTCAAACCAGCGGACAACCAAGAAAAATGGGAACCCCGGAGTAATAAACCCGGTAGGGAGTGTCCCCTTTTAGTGGCTTCGTGGGGGCTCATCACTTTTTAAAGGGAACACCCCCCATAAACAGGTCCGGTGTTTTCATCCGAGGTCAACATGTTTCCGATGTTGTTCATGTCCTGCAAGGAAAGGGACGTTGGGAAACAAACCGAAAGCCATCCTCAAAAGGCCCGCCAACCTATCTGCGAAGGCCAAGTTGTTGATATGCAAGTCCGGAACCAAAGGGAAACATCGCACTTGCCCGGTATGCCAAGTGAAACCTGCGTAGCGGTTTGCTAACCTTCGCTTGGTGCCAAGAGAGGCATTTCAACAACCCCCAAACCAACACGACAGGGAAACTGGAGTACATACCTTCATATGGGGGTTGTGCAAAATTACTTTGCCTGGAGACCCCCCAAGCGCCGGCCAACCTCGATATGCAATTATTTAGACATGCAATTACGAACGGCCCCCATACAGTGTCTGGAGAGTGGTTGTATACTTGTATACCCATGAACTCCTGGGGGTAGTGGTTTGGGGAAGTGAAACCCTCTTTTGGCATCGCTACTGCTCGGGTCATGAAAGAGCCCAAGCATATGAATTCCTTGGGGACCCTTTGCTGGACATCATGGAAGTGATGTTCACCCGTCATCTTGCTGGTGCTCAGTAGGCAATGAGAGAATGGACCTGGAGATTCCCTTACAGGAAACCAAAAGGGGTCATTTAATTTCTCATTCCCTGCCTATCGCACCGATTGCAAGTCATGTTCCTCATTCAAACTCACCGCCATATTCAAGACTCCTCGGAGGTGACTCGGAGGATTTTGCGGGTGACAATCCCACCAGCTCCAGTCATGGTGTGGTGGAAAATGGTGTCCTCAGGATGGGGGCCCGCCACCAAAAAAACATCCGGCGCAGATTGGATCCAAAAAGGAGATGGATTCGATGACAGGGATCCCAAAATCAGAAGAATTATAGACACACGAATGATCCCCTCCCCAAAGTTCCCCCGATTCCCAAGACCAAGTGTCGCACCTGCGCTTCAAGGCGAGACGCTCTCGATCGGCATGGCTTATCGTTATTCAAGAACCTCTTCCCCGGAAACGGCAAAAGCGCTGGCAACCCGAAGGAGTCTGGCTTCCTGGAACCAATGACTAGGAGTCCCTTCGTGCCGTCGAAGCTGCCACACTTCAGGATCAAAAAGAAGGATCCATACTACCCAGTCACGCTCCATGGCGATGTTCTGGGCCACCCTCCACAAAACCTTTGATTTTCGTCTCACCTCGTGTCGGCTGAACCAGCCGAGGCACGTATCCGCACCTCGGCGAGTTCACTCCGATGCTCAGGAGCCAGGCAGCATAGAGAAACCACCAGAAGAGGTAGGCCTCCGCAGCATTCGCGAAGATGTCTTCCCTCGGTGTGCAAATCAAACCCGTTTGCGCATGTACATCAAAAGGCGGCGCCAGAGTTGCTGTGGTTGGTGATTGGAGGGAGACCCAGGTGTAAACAAACCAATTCTTGGCCGTCCTCATTGAAAAACACCCCCAAGAGATTCCTTCCACTCGACGTCTTGAGTGACCCCTTCAACCCCAACCGAGGCAAGGCGCCAGGGACGGATCTCGTCCCAGATTTGGTACCTGGCAACTTTCCAAACAAAAACAAAAAAAAAGAGTGAGGAACCCTGGCAACGATGGCCCTTCCAAGGTACCCAAAAATCCACGAGTGGGGGGGGGGGGGGGGTCTTTTGGCCTCGACTTTGTCTCATCTTTCATCTTGATGGCTTGCCGCCCTGAAGAGGAAAGGAACCCATGGTCGCTTCATCCTGTGCATGGCAATGCGATGAGCGTGGCTTGAAATGGTGCGGACTGGCCAGTGACTGTTTGTGCGCAGCGTCATGCAGCGGAGAAACGACCACTGGCAGCTTCATTCGCACACTGACATGGAAGCTTACAAACGAGAGCGTGCAACCCAACTGGGCTGAAAGGAATCCGTTGCGGCAGTTGCACAACGGCCGGTGAACAAACCCGCAGATTCCTCGCGAATTCCGCCGCGACACAAACAACTTTGGCTGCACCCAGGGGCTAAACCCCCTTTCATGACCGTCCCAATGTGCTGTTTGGATCGCGCGCTCCTTTTGCTCGGCTTCGTGGCAAATGTTCGCACGACAGTCTGCGCGGCCAGAAGGGCTCCAGGAACCGACCCCTTGAGTCGGTTTCAGTACCACTGACTCACACAGATCATTCTGGCCATGGCATTCCATCGGCCCAGAGACACCTCCCGCAAATGTGTGGAGGACAATGCTACTTTCGCTCAATGTGGATGCTAGGTCTAGTGCAAACCGAAGCAATGCGTGCAGCCTAGGCTTCTTCAACCTGGAACCTCCTGGAGACCCCCTAATTTCCTTTCCTGTCCCAGGAATCCTGCATAAATGCTAGCCCTATACACTGTCATGTGGCTGAAATCCTGTTGGGAAATCCATATGAGTCACAATCAAAAACCTGGTATTAAAATGGTTAACCCAGAACCATGTAAAGAATTAAGAAGGCGGCCGCAGCAATTTATGGTTGGGATTGTCCCTTACCTTCATCTACCCAGGTTTTGATTGTGGCTCATGTTGTGTTGTTGAGTGCCCGGGGTGCACCCAGGCTTCTCCTTTAGTTAAAACCGGGGCCCCCGTGTTTTGGCGCTTTGGGGCACGTGAAGATCTGCGGAAAAGCCTCCAGCAGCGCATCCCGATTCCAGCCCATGGAGTAGGTGACCAGAGCTGGGAGCCTCGCATCAACATAATGTCAAACATCGTCATCATAATCATCATCATGATCATCATCATCATCATCATCATCATCAGCATCAGCATCGTCATCGTCATCGTCATCGTCATCGTCATCGTCGTCGTCGTCATCATCATCATCATCATCATCATCATCATCATCATCATCATCATCAATATCGTCATTATGCTCATCCTAATCCTCATCGTCGTCATAGTCATCATGATCATCATGATCATCATACATAATCATGATCACGATCATCATCATGATCATCATCATCGCCATATCGTCATCGTCATCATCATCATCATCGTCATCATCAGTGTCATCATCATCGTCATCATGATCATCAGAATCATTGTCATCGTCATTATCCTCATAATCATCATCATGATCATCATAATCTTTGTCATCGTCATGATCATCATCATCGTCATCACAATCATCTTCATCGTCATCATCGTCGTCATCATCGTCGTCATCATCGTCGGCATTGTCATCACCATCATCATCATCATCATCATCATCATCATTCTTATTATCATCATAATCATCATCATGATCATCATCATCATAATCATCGTCATCGCCATCATCGTCATTAAGATCATCATAATCATCATCATGATCATCATCATGATCATCATCATGATCATCTTCATGATCATCATCATGATCATCATCATCATCGTCATCATCATTAGCATCGTCATCCTCACCGTCATCATCATCAGCATCATCATCGTCATCGTCATCATCAGCGTCCTCATCATAATCATCATCATCCTCGTTACCATCAGCAACAATCAGCAGCATCATCATCATCATGTTCATCATCATCGTCATCATCATTGGCATCAACATCATCATAATCATCATCATCATCATCGTCATCAGTGTCATCATCATCATCATCATTATTATCATCATCATCGTCATTATCGTCATCAGTATCATCATCCATCTTCGTCATCATCGTTATCATCATGATCAACGTCATCATTATCATCATGGTCATCATCATCATCATCGTCGTCATTATCATCGTCATCATCGTCATCTTCAGCAGCAGCATTAGCATCGTCCTCCTCATCGTCATCGTCGTCGTCATCATCGTCATCATCATCAGCCCGCAGTCGCAAAAGCAGCAGTAGCATCAGCACCAGCATCAGCAGCAGCAGCAGCACACCAAATTTCACGAACATGTTCTTTGTCATTGTCCTTAATGTCATGAATCCAATATCAGTGACATTGTCATATCCCGGAATGGTGGCTAAAAAAAGCACACACACACACACAGACAGCACAGCAGCATAGACCCCAGATAGCAAAACCCAGGCCTGCACAGCAACTCTGACAGCAGCACCCCCAGAGCACCCGGCCGTCAAAAATGCGCCCGCACAGTCACCCGAACCTCAACCAGCTCCCCTACACCAGCACGCCAAACTGCACACCCCCTAGCACCCAGCCGGCAACTAGCAAATCACTTTCCCCTCTTTAATAGAAGTTAGAACATAGCTTTCAGCTGTCTGGAAAAAGAGAAGGATTCGACTGGCCAATAAGAATCGAACCAACCAAAAACCCGTGGATCCCAAGTCTTTTCAACACTGACAAAAAAAAAGAGGCCTATGGCGCTTGCTTCCAGTGCGCTTCTTCAGCAGGAGACACCAGGTTGCCTTCGTTGTCTGTGTGGGTGCGCATGCCTGCCTCTGCTGTCTCTTTGCTTGCGTCTGCGGTCCGTCGGTCGCTAGGCCCTTCAGCTGAGACGCAAGTGAATCACCACGGAGGAGGCGTTCTCGAAGTCGTGGAACAGTAGACTGTTGCCCAGGACGGCTGTTGCGCACAGCAGGGGACCATTTCCTCAGAACCGCTTTGTGTTGTTCAAGGAAGCATGGACAGTGTCACTGCAACTTGATCATTCGGGTGCAAGGACGGAATTGTCTCCCAGATTTGGAATTGTCTGATACTGCGGATAGACTAAATCCAGCACCACCTAAGAAACCGTGGGAGACCATTGTTTGGTAATTTACAGGAGAATCGAATCATTCCAGGTTTCTTGGGTGCGAAATGGATTTCGGCCATCCACACGGCTCGTCCCGAAAAAGAAGGCTCGTTGCCACCCAATGCCAGGCTGCCCAGTCCCCAAGCCGCGCAGAAGCTCCACTTCTGCAGCAGCAGGGGCTGGTCCCCCACCAGCAACGCCAAGAGGAACAGCACCTCACTCGGTGTCACAGGGCCGTGCTGGTGTCGAGGCAAGTTGGCCATGGGTCAAAATCCAAATCGTACCCTCAGTGAACATCCCAATCCCCACCAAAATAGACTAAAATGGGTGGCGAATTCACCTACCCCAAAATGGTACCATTGGTTTTGACCCACAGCCAGTTGTTGTTCTCTTTCATCTAACGAGCGTGTAAGAGCACAAGAGTAGGCTGGCAAAGGTACACTGGCCGATTTTTGCACCTTGCCAGACTCATAAGTTGTTCGGTTGGTGCCACAGTAGTTTGTAACTCTCAAGTACTGTGGTCAAGACATGTAGGCCGCCAAACTTGTAGAAAATGCAAACCATTGGTTCCAGGACCAACCCCGACACATCTGGTAGGGTCGCGTGATGTTTAAACAAATGCAGTGCCGGGGATCAACAATTGTTTGCCCCTGCTCTTTGCTTTGTTGCCTATGCCTTTAGTCCAGGTGGCGCCAGCAAAGTTTGCGCACCAGCAGAAATCAAGCCAATACCTCAGTGATTCGAGTTCACAAACCTCATCTGAGATACCAAATAGTTGGCCTGTCAACAGGTAAGTGCCACTGGACTCACTGCCTGAACCTCTAGCCTGGAAAAGTCCGTTTCCCGGCAACTCTCCCCTCTCTTGCAAGCTCGGCACAAGAGCGGCGGCCTCGTGCGTTGGTTAAAAAGCAAAATGCTTGCAGCCATGGGGCAGGTGCTCCTTGGGAGTTCGACGGATCATGCGGAACCAGCGGATGGGAAGCAGCAAAATAGCCTAGGTCTGATCACCCGAGCTGATGCAACCAGCGTCTTCGCTCAACATTTGTTTTAAAGGCGCTTCAACAACCGCCAACAGCGCCATTCCCCACCAAGAATCGCGGAAGGTTGAGGCAAGGCACTTCCGCCAAATAGACCTGGGTCAGGGCCCCTCCTCCCCCCGGGACCCCAAGCTTCGATGCCGATCTGTGCAAGATTCGCCATTGAGCAAAAGGTTCTTTGAATGTCTGCCTCGGTCCGGGAGGTGCACAACGCAACACGCCGGATTCGAAGCACCTTCCAAAAGTATCGAGCCTTTCTCAGAAATGACCAATAGGGCCTGCGTCGCTATGACAAATATAGCGGTATCTCTGTATAAGGGGGTCTATTCTTGGGACTGGCACAGCAAATCCTACACTTACAACCTGCTGATTGCTAGCACTGCTTCCGCCATCACAAGCATCACAACGGCCACTGTCAACTCCCCACAGGTACTGTGGATGGACAACATCCTGCACCTGGAATGCTTGAGCCCTGCACATATTGGCCTTTTACCACCCACTGCAGGATCACCAAAACTATCAAAACCATCACCACCAGAAGCGCAGCTACTCTCAACGACAAGCTCCTGGCCCGATGCCCCGAGTCGAATTTCTGCCGGAGGCACAATCCAAAAATAGCCCGGGAGCGCCCCAAAGCTCCAAGCCACAAATAGCCTCGCTCACTCGAGAGCAGAAAGCTGCAACCACCGCAAAAGCCCGAGGTTTGTTTGTTCAGGGTGTGCAAGGCACGAGGGGCAAGATCTAAAGCAAGTTGCAGAAACTCACTGCTTTGCCATGGGAGCGGTCTCGTGGGCTCACTTCCCGAGTGGATTGGCGAAAAAATGTCCCTGTTTTTTTGCTTACCACCAAGATGGTCTTCCCAAAAAGTGTGGTAAATTCCAGGAACTCAGGGAGTGACATGCAGATTGCAAGAGATCGCAGCGCAAATTCATGGACCGCCTTGAAGTGTTGACACTAGGTGTTTTTGGGCGGGTGTCCTTTTCACCTGGGTTTCCAGGGAAACCAACAGGAGAACCGAAGCCACGTCGGAGGTCCCCGTAGTTTGCCGTCGGCATGAGAGGCGCCGCCAAAAAGGGGCCGGGCCACGTGTTGGACACGCCAAAGACGAAGTTGCACTTCGTCATGCCCTAACAGATCGAGATCTTTTTTTTGCGTGCGACGCCTGGGGGTCAGTTACCTTTTATGAATCGGAGCCCAAAAGTAGATTTTGGTCTTCTGCTTGGTTTCCCTTTCAAACCAACCACAGGCGGGTATCCTGAAAAAGCACACACATGTGCCCGAAGGCAAACCAGGAGTCGAGCTGGATTTTCCTGAAAAGCCCTTCTTGATTTACTGGTGGGTTCCAGTGAAACCTCCACAAAAGGTCCAAACAAGGGAAATTGTGGGACCCACCATTTGGAGCACTGCAGCGGCGCCTTCTGCTGGATTTTCTGGGCGCGGTCTTCGATCGCATTCAAGCAGCGCCGGACCTCAAAGTCGGGCAGTGCCGGTTCGGGTGCCACTTTCGGGTGAGATGAAGACTTAAGCGCAGGGCATTCTCCTTTTCGGGGAAATGAAATTATGTCGCCAGCAGCCAGACAAGGCATGTGACTATTTGGTGCTGATGCGTTGCTTCAGTCGTTTTCTGACAGTTGGGAAACGACTACACGGGGAACGAACCACCGGGTTTGAGGCTTCCTTGGGGTAGTCAAAGAGTGGAAGCCTGCCGGCAATCGGCAGGGATGGGGCAGTCTTAAGCCAGTTAAGACTTAGCAGTGATCAGGCCTCCATATAACCCTGATCCAAAACGTTTAGCAAGGGAAGCTGAAACAACACTCTGCATCGAGCATCAAATGGCAACATGCACATCAAAGAACGGCATGGCGCACCCCGTGGCAAACAACCTAGAGCATCATTTTAAGCGGATGCCCACATCCAGCTCCCCTTCCCCACCCCGTTGGAAAAGCCCTTCTCTCTCGTTGCCCCCAAGTGTCTGTGAAAGATGGCCCCTAGGAGTAATTCCCGGTCCAGGCGCCAGCTCCCGCTGCTCCGGCGAGATGGTCTTCTCCTCCTGGAGCAGGGCCTTGTCCAGGCCTCGCACGTCCAAGCACTCGGGAGTCGTCCGATGGCGAGAAAGACGAGGGATCCAGTAGAGAGGCTCCCGGGCTCCAGAGCGAACAAGCACTGCAAAGGACTAGGCCAGAAGTTCTGTGTACATATGTATGCGGATTCACACCTAGGTCCTCCAGTAGAGAGGTTAGAATAGGTTGGTGCCCCATTTTTTTTAGGTAGTCTATTTTAGTACGGGAACCCTCCCCCCGAAAAATGGGGTGAGAAAGGGCACTACTGGGGGACCTAGTCTCAGTTGCCTTTATGGGACCTGGACATGTTCAAACTGATCACCTTTTTGGACTTCAGGGAAACCAAAGAGTCATTCCAGGTCGATTCGCTTTGGGCAACTGAGGCGTAAAGCAGAGGGATGCAGCAAAAGCCGTTGTCAGGCATAGATACTACATATACATAGATATATATATATAGATATACATAGAGCCAACGGAATTCCACTGCCCAACTTGCGTTGAACCGCAACGACTCAACCCTCTCCCAGACTTCCATCACCAACGAATCGGATGGCGCCACTGGCGAATCGACATCTCTTCACGCCCTGGCTTTTTCGGGAGCTCGTCTTCCGTATCAGAGCCGATGGCTTTCGGGTTGGCAAAGTTTGGGGCCCAAAAGATTCGGGGATGGCCAAACAAAACACACACGCACACGTCACGCGTGTCAGCGGCTCGGCAAATTGTGCCGTGAACTTCAGCTGCATTCTTAAGCCCGAGATGTGAGTGGAGTGGTGTGAGGTGAGTTCTGAGGGCGCTTCCTGTGTTTGCTTTTTTTTGGGGAGAAAAAACGACCCTGCAAGGAGCGAGTTCCGAACCTGAATTTTGGGCAACAATTGGGAGGCGCTGGATGATCGCGGATGCCAAGCGATGTGACCATTGGCCTAAGTCCAAGCTCGTACCACTCTCAACTAAATCAAGGGTAAATTAGGGGCAACAAGCCCTAGATAAGGCTTAACTGTCATATTCCTTGTGGGGGTGGGTCTGGGGGTCAGCGGGGGAGCTTTTGATTAAGGATGAGCACAGGAAAGTGCACTGTGCCAAGCCTCTTGAGCTTGCGGTTCAAATGGCTCGACCCTCCTGAACTTCACCCCATCCCCGGAAAGAAAACGGCGCAGTTGGTGCAATCCCGCCGCCTTCCGCTGCGGCCTCCATGGCTGAAACCGACTGCGCCCAAGGCAAAGTGAGCTGATTGAATCGGGGGTATGGTGGGTTGCTGCTGAGCTCAACTGGGAATGAAGGCGTTCGGGCCACGCTGGGACACTTTGAGGCCTCTCACTCGGTCCAAGAGAAACTTCGGAGACATGGCGAGGCGGAGAATCAACTGCATGTGAGTCACAATAGAAACCATATTAAAATTGTCTACCCAGCTCCATGTAAGGAAATTAACAGGCCGCTCCTATTTCTGGCTGGGACTGCCCCGTACTAACCTTCATCTACCCGGGTTTTGATTGTGGCTCATGTGACTTCTCCGAGGCCCACGCTCTCGATGAAAAAACCGTCGCGTTGCTTTTCAAAGGCCGGCAAGGGGATGCATGATAAGTTTCTCAAATTCTGAGCTTGCCACAGGGGTTGCGACCGAAAGGCCATGAAGCTTCCTTGAGGATTCCCATATTTTCGCGATCCAATCTCCCAGCTTGCCAAAACAACATGGCCCAAGCCACTTAAGAGGCTGCAAGTGGTTTCCGCAAGGCTCCCTGCGGGGCCGGCCAACGTCCAATGAGAATCCAGAAGCCAAGTCGTTTCCAAGCCCAAACCACTCTGAACGCCAGCCCCGAAAGGATCGGATCCCAGTTCGAGGCGTGTACCAAGCAGCCATAGTCCGAGGCCTTGGAAAAGGCCTTGGCTTTGGGGGGTCTCAGGAATGCTTTGGGAATTTGGCATGGGAGCGATGCCCACACATGTTTCGTCCGCAGCTAGTGGCAGGCATTTGGCACAAGCCAGCCCCGTTTTTGTTCGCTTTGCTTTGCACAGCCATGGAACCTGTCGCGAAGACTGAGCCCTCACCAGAGGAATCAGCTAGCTATGGCAAAAGTTCATACGACTCTTCATCGAGCATACCCCCCCTGAATCCAAGAAATCCAGAACTAGAGCACATTGGCACGAGCTCGCATTTGCGGATGCGTGGACAAGAGTTCTATTTTTGCAGCATTCGAGACCCCCCCCTTTACACGAATTTTCTCACCCATTTGGCAGCCCCGTACGACACACTCCATACGTCCTCTTCTCGGTACGAACGCCCATAGTTGGCACTTGAACACTCCACTTTGGAGGACACTGCACCCACTCTCTTTGGACAAACCAAATTGGCAGTCACTAGTAAATGCTGGCATATCAAGAAACTGAACAATGCAATGTTGCGTGCTGCTGTCTTGTTGCCGCTGTTCATACGGTGGCTTTGCGCATCGCCAAAGAAAAACAGCTAGTAACCTCCTGCGAGACTTCTACTTGGACTCGGCAACATGATGCGGATGGCCCATCCACAAACTGCACCAGTTGGCAAGCGGTTTACGTGGCTCAAATCGGGTTCCATCCATCCCAGGATGTTCTCTGGAGCCCTGCCAGAGACTTGAGGGGAAGAGCAAGCTGGATGTGACCCGACATCCAGAATTGCAATCGCCATCCAAACCCGATACCCATCTACTTCATTCGGGGCTGTTGCTGTGAGCCACGGAAAGAGCTCCCCCACACGGTTACGGGTCAGAATTAAACCACCAAGGAACCGCAGGTTTTGGTCCGTGTTTACATTTACCAGGGCTCCATTTCGGATATCTACGTTTGACTCACTGCATGGGACTTTTGTTGGGTTCCGTCCGATTGTGGGATGAGACACCTCCAGGTACCGAGCCTGCCATAGCAGCCATGGCTCTCCATGGCGAGTGCAATGAACCTGGTTGTTCTGGGAGTCGCCCGCCTTTTCTCGGTTGCGAAATCTGCTCCCCTGCTAAAAGAGACGAACGTTTAGTGGTTTTATGGACACCCCATTAGCTGGCAAAAAGTTGTTCAGTCCTAACATCCCTTGGCAAAATGCACCAAAGTCTTGGCCGCGCGTCGAGTCGGGAATCCGCCTCTTTTGGGAGGGTTAATTAACAGCCAAAGCAGCAGGGTAGGTGATCTTTGTTAGGGGCCAGGTCCAGATTTTAGAGGTTAGAACAAGGGTACCCTTTTTTCTGTAGTCTATTTTAGCAAGGGAACCCTCCCCCCAAAAAGTTGGTAAAGGTCGGCATGCTGAGAACCAGGAACTTTAGGTCCCAAAATGGAAGCGATGTCCTACATCCATGGCCAAACGCCTGCGTCCCAGGCTTGAAAGTGCATCAGCATCACTTTCGCTTGGCCCGTTCGCTCTAAGCATTGCTTGCAGCTCTACGCTAAAGCCTTCTTGCAAAGCACTTGCGTGTGGAGGCGCCGTTGCAACACTTGCCCCAAGCCACCCAATTTTGCACATGTCATGCATTCCTTGCAGCAACGCAGTCTGAGCCTTTTGTGATCTAGAGCCAAACCCCAAACTTCCGATGCCCCAAGTGAACCTTTCCACAAGGGTATGCCGGCTCGCGGTTCCTTTTGTTCACGCTGGTGGTCTACTCTGGCGCGGCATAGGACAATGTGATGTAAGCTTTGCTTGCATTATGCGCAACGACACATCGGTGTAAGGGAACAGAAGAAGCAACACAGGATGTTTTTGGAACCCCAAACAACCGCTTTCATATACCAAAGCACCTGCCAACCTTCAGGGCCTCACCGGAGAGGTGATGAGCTACCTCAGCTTGTGCCCTCAATGAATGCTCAGATTCTTGATTCTGGCCGACGTGGTTTGGGCGACCTGTTTGGTTTCCTTTCAAAATCAGGAAGAAAAAACACGAAAAGTGCCGAGCCTCAAAAAAGGCACACGCACACATGCTTATTGAACCTCATGCAACATGAAAGGTGTTCCCCGGAACCCCCAACACAATCCCCCGACTTTGGTTGCTTTCCGTCGATACATCACCCCCTGTGCCGGCTCTGCAGTCAGCCGGAAACTACCTACATGCGCCACGGCCAAAACTTGTGGGGAGAAAGAAGAACTGGACATGGGTAGTTTGCGTGCCCCCCCCAAATGGTTTTGTGGCTGACATTTCGAGTCACGTCCCTCCCCACCGGACCAGAAGTTTTGGCCGAACCTACTGGATCCATTTGCCGCTACGAGCAATGCCTGAGATCAAGGCGCGAGCATCGTTTTGATGCAAACGCGCCAGGCGCGAACGGCGCAAAAACAGCGCGGGCTCCTCGCCTACCAGCCAAACACACGGCGTGACGTGACTCAAAAGCCATGGCTGATACTGTGGACGAAATCCATTTCGCACCACCTAAGAAACCCTGGAATGATTCAATGATTCCCCTTCAAATACCAAGAAGCAATGGTGTCCACCATCGTTTCATTTCGTGGTGCGAGAAGCGGATTTCAATTTCAACCGTTCACAGGGCGTGGCAAGCACAGCCAGGAGCCGTGCCCTGGCCAAAGCACTCCGGGCCAAGCCGAATTCTGAGGGAGCCGGGACTTTTGTCAGGACAGACGGGACTTTTGCGCGCGGAGGCTGGCAACTCAACTGGGAAGCTGCTTCAGAAGCAGGTCTCAAAGTGAGCAGCTCATGTGCAGAATCGCTTGTCCCAAGCCAGCGAGTGCCGGCTCCAGAAACGAAAAAACATATTGGTACATTGAGTCATTGGCTGTGGCCAGTCGCATTCAGCGACATGGGCCAAGGATCTCAGAATCATCCAAAAACTCTGGAGATGCCCTGCACGCTGTCAAAACAACCAGCTTCGGGGCTTTGTGCCCACAGTGCGAAGGCAAAGCTGAATTTTCCCGAGGCCCATCCCCTTTCTTACCACTTTGCGCCTTGCAAGCTGCGAGAAAGTGGGCTTCAAGTTGGCCAAAGCCGCTCCCCGCAAGCCACCGGAAGCACCCGGGGCAAAATGCCCCCAATTCACGGCGGTGGCTTGCGGACTCCATCCTAGGAGGGTTCAGCAAGCGGCGCAAGCGCATACCTTGTGATGTGGGCTTAGCGGTGAAACTCATGGAACTGGCGGGGAAGCTCAATGTACCAAAATGGCACCAAATGGTAAATGGAGCCAAAGACTAAAACCGCTGCAGGACCCCAATTGTGCTTTCTAGGAAAAAAATCAGCCACACCCAAATAGTGCAATTGGCGTGAGACGCAATCGCTCTGAGAGTCCGGCTCGCTAGCGGGCCCTCGCCGAATCGGATGCACGCTCGGCGGCACTTTTTTTGGGTGGCCGGCCAACATCCCCATATACGGTTGCCAACATATTGCAAGGGAACAATAATTTGTGTCTGGTTGACTTGCAATGAGTGGGCGTACGTGCCAAAGGGTTGTGATTGCAGACTTGGGCTCTTGCTGGAAATACGCGGACCCGGTTTTATGTTGGCGCGGGCCTGTTGGGAAGAAGCTAAGGTCCATGTCAGGGAAGGGAAGGCCCCAAAAAACACAGGGGATGGATGAATCGCCCGCAGAAGGCTTGGCTTGGGACCATTCGGCTAGCATGGATCTCACGTCGCCGTGTGCGCGGGTCTGGCCTGCCTTTATTTCTGTCCTGCCTGTCTGTCTTTCATGTGTTGCTCTGTGTCTTCTACTACTGACAAGGCACAAGTTGCAGGCGTCAGCTCTGGACATGAATTTGGACAAAGGCCAGTTCAGTGCGGAGGCTGTTGGTTTGCTGCCTGGGCAAGCCTGTTGATTCCAACCAAACCTTTGGGTAAGACTTTGAGTTTTGGAGACCCCAAGAAAACGCGGCACAAAATCACAGAGTCTCCTGAAGCGGCCCCTATTGTATGACGACCCACCACTTGCTACATTAAGTCCTGGCACACTGTTTGAGCTTCTCAACGGTTCGCTGCCAAAGACCTTTGGCGCTTGTCCAATCGAAAGGGCTGCATTGAAACCAGCAGAAGCTCGAGCTGCAAAGTGCACTTGGACTCTTTTTGATGGGGCGATCATGGAACTGTCGCGTCTCACTAACGGGAGATCATGATTTGAGCCACGAGATCTAACACGGTTGGCATGGGCAGGTGGTCTCACAACCTGCCTGGGCCCAACTAAGCAGAAACCACAGCCCCTCTGGGGCGCGGAAAAAGTGGCCTGCCAGCCACCTTCTTATAAAATGCCGGAGACCTGGTTCAGCCTCCCTGCGCTATGGAAAAGCCGTCGCTATTTGGGTATGGGTCAAAATTGAACCACCAGGGGGCCACAGGTTGTAGTCCATGCTTCCATTTACCAGGCTTCCATTCTGGGTACCTATTTTTGACCCACAGCCATAGGCGCGGAGAATGGGTGAGACAAAATCGACGCCTTGGGCGTCAACTGATGGCCCTGGCCGCGGCCGAGTTGATGTCCCCAAAGTTGGAGTCGACCATCCACTGCCTCAAATCAGCTTGCGAATCGGTGGTTTGGCGTTGTTTTTTTTTGGGGGGGTGGTTTCCCATGTAGGGGTTCTCATTTCCAAATCCAAACCACCGATCCACCGATTAACGGCTACCTGATCGAACTTCTGCAGCGAGCAGGGCCCGGCGCAAACATGGATGAAAAAAAACGACAGGCAACTCCCTTCCAGTTGGGTGTCACACAAAAGTAGGGGACCCCGAAATAGGTGATGTTCCTGTGGATTTCGCGCGAATCCAAGCTTGAAAAGGGCCGCAGTACTGAGCCTCAAAAAACAAGAAGCACAAATAAGAAACAAGTTTTCTCCACTTCCCTCGCAAATGTTTTGCGGGCGGCATGAGCTGCAAGAAGCAGGGGAAGTCGATCCCCCGCTGCACATCGCCGGGGTCTTGCGCGCAAATTTCCCGGATCTTGAAGTAGAGCTCCTAGCCAAGTCGCCTTTCTGTAATAAAGTGGGTCACTCCCATAAGGGGATTCCCTTGGTATCACAGAAAGCAGGCCCTCGAATCCCAAATGCAACAGCCATGGACTGGGTTGCTCAAAAGAAGGGGGGGAACCGCAAAAAAAGGGAAACACATGTTGAAGGGCGATGTTCCGCCCTTCCCTGGGCGATGTTCCGCCCTTCCCTTCTAGCCAACCTGGACTTTATCATATATATATATAGATAGATATGGCTATGGGTCAAAAGCCCGTACCCCCAGTGAACATCCCAATCCCCACTAAAACAGTTTCTAAAATGAGTGGTGCTAAAATAGACTAAAATGGGTGGTGAATTCACCTACCCCAAATTGGTACCATTGGTTTTGACCCACATACACATGGAGCCTCCTGCTTTGGAAAACGAGAAAAAATCCGCTGGCCTCCTTCTGAGAGATCTTTATCCTGGCGCCGATGCGCGCCGTCATGAGGATGACGCGGTTCATCGCCACCCGGGGCTCTTGACCTCACCAAAGGCATAGGGGCGGAGCCAAGGCGATAGGGGCGGCTCGTCTTTTGAGGGAAGGCTGTTGATATTTGTTTTTTGCTTTGTTTGTTGTTTTTGTTTTTTCTTGGGGGGGGGGGAAAGGGGAACGAGAAGGACAGCAATAATTTTGGAGAAGGGTTCCCGAACTAAAGACACACTCATATAGGTATTTCTCAAAATGGAAATTGGACACCTAACATGCGTTCCTTCGGTTTCTCCTTTAAATACCAACAAGAAAACTCCCATCTGCTGGCCAAATAACATCCGGACCTGGACTCACTCCAAACAGCCGGCTATCGGAAATTCTCTAAGCACCAGTCCATGAATCCCGGCTGGTGCGTCTGGACTTTTGTTCAGTACGAGTACACAGGTCTCTTCTTTCACACTTGCAACTTCCATTCTTCTAACCTCTTGTCTCTCAAAAAGAAAAACGCAAACTCAAAACCCAAAAACGCGAAACCAACTTTCGCTGGGACGCCTGAAAACAAACAAACAAACAAAAAAACGCTCCTGTTGGCTTCGTGCAACACCGGAGCTGCGGCACCCACCCGCCACTCGGCACCCGGTGCCGCGCTCGATTCGCGCCCAGGCGCCCAGGTGCCGGATCACGGAGCCCAGGCTGCGGCGGCCGGGGTCCTCGGCCTGGGTCGGGGCGGCTCGTTTCCTTTCCGTCTTTGTTGGTAACCTCTTTCTTGGTAACCTAATTTTGTGGTGACTTATTTGTTGGTAACCTCTTTCTTGGTAACCTAATTTTGTGGTGACTTATTTTTTGGTAACCTCTTTCTTGGTAACCTAATTTTGTGGTGACTTATTTGTTGGTAACCTCTTTCTTGGTAACCTAATTTTGTGGTGACTTATTTGTTGGTAACCTCTTTCTTGGTAACCTAATTTTGTGGCGACTTATTTTTTGGTAACCTCTTTCTTGGTAACCTCTTTCTTGGTAACCTAATTTTGTGGTGACTTATTTTTTGGTAACCTCTTTCTTGGTAACCTAATTTTGTGGTGACTTATTTGTTGGTAACCTCTTTCTTGGTAACCTAATTGTGTGGTGACTTATTTGTTGGTAACCTCTTTCTTGGTAACCTAATTTTGTGGTGACTTATTTGTTGGTAACCTCTTTCTTGGTAACCTAATTTCGTGGTGACTTATTTTTTGGTAACCTCTTTCTTGGTAACCTAATTTTGTGGTGACTTATTTGTTGGTAACCTCTTTCTTGGTAACCTAATTTTGTGGTGACTTATTTTTTGGTAACCTCTTTCTTGGTAACCTAATTTTGTGGTGACTTTTTGTGGTAACCTCTTTCTTGGTAACCTAATTTGTGGTGACGTATTTTTGGTAACCTCTTTCTTGGAAACCTAATTTTGTGGTGACTTATTTGTTGGTAACCTCTTTCTTGGTAACCTAATTTTGTGGCGACTTATTTTTTGGTAACCTCTTTCTTGGTAACCTCTTTCTTGGTAACCTAATTTTGTGGTGACTTATTTTTTGGTAACCTCTTTCTTGGTAACCTAATTTTGTGGTGACTTATTTTGTGGTAACCTCTTTCTTGGTAACCAAATTTCGCGGTGACTTATTTTTTGGTAACCTCTTTCTTGGTAACCTAATTTTGCGGTAACTTATTTGTTGGTAACCTCTTTCTTGGTAACCTAATTGTGTGGTGGCTTATTTTTGGTAACCTCTTTCTTGGTAACCTAATTTTGTGGTGACTTATTTGTTGGTAACCTCTTTCTTGGTAACCTAATGTTGTGGTGACTTATTTTTTGGTAACCTCTTTCTTGGTAACCTAATTTTGTGGTGACTTATTTGTTGGTAACCTCTTTCTTGGTAACCTAATTGTGTGGTGACTTATTTGTTGGTAACCTCTTTCTTGGTAACCTAATTTTGTGGTGACTTATTTTTTGGTAACCAGTTTCTTGGTAACCTAATTTTGTGGTGACTTATTTTGCGGTAACCTCTTTCTTGGTAACCAAATTTCGTGGTGACTTATTGTTTGGTAACCTTTTCTTGGTAACCTAATTTTGTGGTGACTTATTTTTTGGTAACCTCTTTCTTGGTAAACTAATTTTGTGGTGACTTATTTTTTGGTAACCTCTTTCTTGGTAACCTAATTTTGTGGTGACTTATTTTTTGGTAACCTCTTTCTTGGTAACCTAATTTTGTGGTGACTTATTTTTTGGTAACCTCTTTCTTGGTAACCTAATTTTGCGGTGACATATTTTTTGGTAACCTCTTTCTTGGTAACCTAATTTTGTGGTGACTTATTTTTTGGTAACCTCTTTCTTGGTAACCTAATTTTGTGGTGACTTATTTTTTGGTAACCGCTTTCTTGGTAACCTAATTTTGTGGTGACTTATTTGTGGTAACCTCTTTCTTGGTAAACTAATTTCGTGGTGACTTATTTTTTGGTAACCTCTTTCTTGGTAACCTAATTTTGCGGTGACATATTTTTTGGTAACCTGTTTCTTGGTAACCTAATTTTGCGGTGACTTATTTGTGGGTAACCTCTTACTTGGTAACCTAATTGTGTGGTGACTTATTTTGTGGCAACCTCTTTCTTGGTAACCTAATTTTGTGGTGACTCATTTTTTGGTAACCTCTTTCTTGGTAACCTAATTTTGTGGTGACTTATTTTGTGGTAACCTCTTTCTTGGTAACCTAATTTTGCGGTGACATGATTTTTGGTAACCTCTTTCTTGGTAACCTAATTTTGTGGTGACTTATTTTTTGGTAACCTCTTTCTTGGTAACCTAATTTTGCGGTGACTTATTTGTGGGTAACCTCTTTCTTGGTAACCTAATTTTGTGGTGACTTATTTTTTGGTAACCTCTTTCTTGGTAACCAAATTTTGCGGTGACTTATTTTTTGGTAACCAGTTTCTTGGTAACCTAATTTTGTGGCGACTTGTTTTTTGGTAACCTCTTTCTTGGTAACCTAATTGTGTGGTGACTTATCTTTTGGTAACCTCTTTCTTGGTAGCCTAATTTTGTGGTGACGTATTTGTGGTAACCTCTTTCTTGGTAACTTAATTTTGTGGTGACTTATTTTTTGGTAACCTCTTTCTTGGTAACCCAATTTTGCGGTGACTTATTTGTGGGTAACCTCTTTCTTGGTAACCTATTTGTGTGGTGACTTGTTTTTTGGTAACCTCTTTCTTGGTAACCTAATTTCGTGGTGACTTATTTGTGGTAACCTCTTTCTTGGTAACCTAATTTTGTGGTGACTTATTTGTGGTAACCTCTTTCTTGGTAACCTAATTTTGTGGTGACATATTTTTTGGTAACCTCTTTCTTGGTAACCTAATTATGTGGTGACTTATTTGTGGGTAACCTCTTCCTTGGTAACCTAATTGTGTGGTGACTTATTTTGTGGTAACCTCTTTCTTGGTAACCTAATTTCGTTTTGACTTATTTGTTGGTAACCTCTTTCTTGGTAACCTAATTGTGTGGTGACTTATTTGCGGTAACCTCTTTCTTGGTAACCTAATTTTGTGGTGACTTATTTGCGGTAACCTCTTTCTTGGTAACCTAATTTTGTGGTGACTTATTTTTTTGTAACCTCTTTCTTGGTAACCTAATTTCGCGGTGACTTATTTGTTGGTAACCTGTTTCTTGGTAACCTAATTTTGGGGGAACCCATTTTTGTTGGTCACCTGTTTCTTGATAACCTTTTTTTGGGGAACCAATTTTCTGGTCAGCTATCTTTTCACATGTTTTCCCCCAACAGCTGAAAGCTTTGGGGTCTCAGCCCAGATAGGCTCCGGGGTGGTCCGGGGCAGCCCTGAGGTAAGTTTCCACGAGGGTTCCACGAGTTCCACCAGGTTCTGCAAGGGCTGCGGGGTGGTTTGGGGAAAGGTTCCACTTCCACCAGGGTTCCATACGAGGGCTGCGGGGTGGTTTGAGGTAAGGTTCCACGAGGGTTCCACCAGGCTGCGGGGTGGTCCGGGGTGGTTTGAGGTAAGGTTCTACGAGGGTTCCACCAGGTTCTGCGAGAGCTGCGGGATGGTTCGGGGTGGTTTGAGGTAAGGTTCCACGAGGGTTCCACCAACGTTCCACCAAGTTCTGCAAGGGCTGCGGGGTGGTCCGGGGTGGTTTGAGGTAAAGTTCCACGAGGGTTCCACCACATTCTGCAAAGGCTGCGGGGTGGTCCGGGGCGGTTTGAGGTAAGGAGGGCTGCGGTGTGGGCTGGGGTGGTTTGAGGCAAGGTTCCACGAGGGTTCCACCAGGGTTTCACCAGGTTCTGCGAGGGCTGCGGGTCCACCCAGCGTTCCACCAGTCTTCCACCAGGTTCTACGTAAGGTTCCAGGGTTCGACCAGGTTGAGGTAATTCCGCCAGGGTTCCATCAGGTTCAAGGGCTACGGGTAGTCGGGGTAGTCGGGGTGGTTCCATGAGGGTCGACCACGGTTCCACCACATTCTGCGGGGTAAGGTTTCATGAGGGTTCTACCAGGTTCTAGTGAGGCTGTGGCTGAGGTAAGGGTTTGGCAGCAGTTCCGCAAGAATTCAACAAGGGTCACAAGGCTCCACAACGCTCCACACACAAGTTCCACAAATGTTCTGCAAGGAAGCAATGAATCCTCGTGGAGCGCTTTTAGACTTTTATTCCGTAGCCCTCACAGCCTCGTGGACCCAAAGCCTGCCAAGTGTGCTGAAAACCATTGATTTCGGTTTTGCTTAGTGTTCCGCCCATGGGCAAAGCGATCTTCTGTGCCCTCAATTTACTGCTCCGATGACTTTTCAGACGGTGGGCACACGACACATTGCACCAGGTTCTGCAAAAGCTATGGGGAAAGGTTCCAACAAGGTTTCACGCTGGGCTCCACGAGGGTTGCACGAGAACGGTTTGCGAGGTTCACCGGGCCCAGTCGGGCAGGTTGGGGCCCGATTGCACCGTCGGGGCCCGATCGGGCCCCGATTGCGCCGTCGGGCCCTCGGGCCCCACCAACTACCAAGCCGGCATCGCCTAGTTTTGCTAGATACACTTGTAAGGCACGCATCCTAAGGAAAACCGGCGTTCAGCTATAATATGGGTGGCTGGGGTGGTGGGAGCCCGCTTGCGCCACGGGACCATCGGGCCCCAATCGGGGCCCGATTGCACTGTCGGGCCCGCTCGGGCCCCGATTGCACCGTCGGGCCCCGATTGCACAGTCGGGCCCCGCTCGGGCCCCGATTGCGCCACCCCGATTGCGCCGTCGGGCCCCGATCGGGCCCCGGGCCCCGATCGTCGGGTACTGATCAGGGCGCGATTGCGCTGTCACTCTTGGCATTGCTTCACAAAGTTACAAGGCGGCACCCTCAGCAAAACCGGCGGTGAGGTGGATCCCGTGGCGGGTGTGGTGCTGTTGGGTATCGCCTGAGCTTATTATTTTTTTGGGGGGGGATTGGTTTAAAGGGAAACCAGGGGTCACGTTAAACAAAAAAACCAAAACATGAATCAAGAAATTGAACAAACAAATGTGATCTGCTGATGGATGGATAAACTAAAAAAGAGGAACCCAACCAAGACCAAAACCCATTCGGATGTCTTTTTTTTTTTTGGGGGGGGGCGAACCCCCTGTTGCTCCAATAAAAAAAGACACACCCATTTGCGGATGAGTTTATTGGGGACCCGGTGGATATCATTTAAGAAGATTCAGGGTGAATTGATAAACAAATCAAAAAAATATGCTCTGGTGGATGTCTGATTTGATAACTTTGATCTCACATATGTCCTATCTGGCCTTTTCTGGGAAGAACATGCAACGATTGGGTTGCATTCGGCCACGAGAAGAACGAGTAGATCAACGTAGACCAGGCCCCAGAATACGGGTGCAATCGAAATTCCATCTTATCCCTGTACAGGTGTTGTAAGCCCACACATGAACGGGAAAATATCCCTGAGCATTCTAGCTGTCCTTGTGAGGCATGTGAGACCCTCGTCAATGGAGTGAGGTGAGTGCTTTGCGCGATTTCCCATAAGAATCAACCATCGCCATCATCGCCGTATGTTTTTTGTGATTTTCCACGTGCAAAGACTGGTGGACAGGATGGGCATCTCCCCTAGCATCTCCAGCATCCCCAGCTGTGTGTAGTGTTGAGGTGACTTTGCTTTGATTTCATTGCTTTTGCCCGCAACCCTTGCAGCTAACACGGAATGCTGACAAACATTCCCAATATCATGCACGTCTTTGCTGGTTCATGGTCCAGTGGTTATCCCAGCCTCATCCTGCTCCTCCTCGCACTCATGCGCCTCCGCAAATCCAGGTGTCAGGATCAGTTGCGAGCCTTGCCTCTGAAGTCTTGGTTGCTGTTGACCCCCTGCAAAAAGTTTAATTTTTTGGGGGTTTAGTGGAAAACACCATTATTTCCCAAAAAGTTAAAGTCTAAAGATCCAACCCAATTGCAGTCAAGTGAACAAGCGTTGGACAGTCGGCTTGTGAGCGCTAACTTTCGGCAGGTCGCCCCTATCTGTTTGTAGCCTAGCTCTGACTAAACGTCAACCATGCTTCTTTATCCGACCAACGGTTCTGGTGATTGCTAGGCGTACGTTTTTGGGAGGGTGAAGTTGTGAAATGGGGGTCGTGGACTTGGGCAAGCCAAGTAACCAAGGGAGATGGGGCATATATTTACCCTTTTTTATGGTGGCCTTGGTGTGGATCCTTTTTTATGGTGGCCTTGGTGTGGATGGGCAAAATCCTGCACCACCGTTCAGAAACCCTGGAACGAGTCGATTCCTGCGAAAATATCAACAAACTGTCTGGTTTCATTCCCTGGTTTCACATCTTGTGGTGCGATTTCTTGGGATTTCGCAACCACCCACAGTATTCTAGCAGTTGATTCCCCATTCTTTTCAGCCATCGTTCTTTTCAAAAACCGATCGCCCTTTCCCCAGGGTTTTTGGTGGTTTTCTAGAAACATCCGGATCCCTGGAAAGAATGGAAATGGAAGTTACCCCTAGAAGTACTGTGGATGGACGAAATCCTGCACCACTTAGAAACCATGGGAAACCATTGTTTGGTATTTACAGGGGACTCGAATCATTCCCGTGGGTTTCTTAGGTGGTGCTGGAGTTCGTCCATCCACAGTATGGCGGTTTTCTACCCCACTCCGAAAAAGCTTCAGTTCGGCCTCCCGCTCAAACAAGGACCTCAGCTCCTGCACCTCCACAGAGGAGAACCGCACCGCCCTGGCGATCGATCCGGCGATCCGGGGGCCGGGCGTTCGGATCTTCGTGCAACAAACCAAAGCTGAGAACAACACCCAAAGTGGCAATGAGACAAGCTGCCAAACAAAGAAAGAGTTACCCCCTCCCAGACTAACATGGACGCTCCCGAACGGACCCCTTTGACACATGTGGCAGGTGGGAACACTGGAATACTCCCGTGGTAAGTTGGGACTGTGAAGCCCATTTGAAAGAGAACCCCTCACTAGGGAAAACCACCCTCTCATCACCAATTAAGAAATCCACCCCTATCAAGAAATATGTGCTTCGAGGCAACCATCCATCAAGTCACCTCGCCCGCTTTACTTGTAGCTGACCCAACACTAATACTTGACTTCTGACATACCCTTATTCGGGGGTTCAGCACGTCCCTTGCTCAACTACCCACCAAAAACACGACAAATGAGGTCCAAGTTCGATTCAATTATTGAGGGGACGCCTGAAGCCCTACTGTGGACACGTTCAGAAACCCAAGGGAATGATTCGAGTCCCCTGCAAATACCAAGAAACGATAGTTTCAATCCTGGTTTCAAACAAACTAGCTTTTATGAATAGGGCGGGAAGCGAGATTTAACGACGCGTGGAAAAGATCGTGATTCCACCAGGTTCATCAATCCGGGCCGACATTTGAGTGCACACCAAGGCCGCTACATCCGAGTTGCAGAAACAACAGTCCCCAACATCGGATCGATTGAGGGCCTTGGGGGTCCAGAGCTTCAAAGGCCCAAACTGCTCCACGGGGCGGACGCCGAAAGGCCGGACATGCAAACCAACCCCCAGGACTATAGACTAAACTCGGTTGCTTTTGCTCCCCTGCTAAAAGTTTAACTTTTAGTGGTTTGATGGAAAACCCTTAGTTAGTTGGCAAAAAGGTGAAGTCCTAACATCCAAGCAAGATGCACCAAAGTAAACCTGGAGGCATGTTTGGAGCGAACGCGCAACGCGCCATCGCAGGCCTCATCGCGGCCTCCTCTCGCTCCTGGGCAGACACAAAACCACCGGAGAAGCAACCGAACATGTGAAATCCCTCCGTCCGCGACATGGAACCCACCAGAAAAGGAACGGTCCCTGTCCTTCTTCGGACACCCTTTCCCACCGCGGTCAGGTTCCATGTTAGCGGATGGGAAGTAGTGAAAGTTTGCAGGCAGGATATTCCAAGCAAAAACATGGCAACCACTTCAGATGCCCCCCCCCCCCCCCCCGAAAATTGCATTATACAATCTTGACTCCTGCATTGCCTCTCATTTTTGTAGCACATCCAACAAAGACTTGATTGGTGCAGGCTTTCCTGCAGCCTCTCTTCGACGCTTCCCATTGAGTTCTCGGTACCGCCCGAGCTGCGTAGGTCTTTTGGTCGCTGATCTTCAGGAAGGATCGCGCCAAGTGCACCACCGGGAAGAAGCGGATGTGAGGGCTGCCGGGACGACCCACCTCCTCCGGCAATTTGGCGCGTTTCCCCATCAGGATATTCACTGAGGTTCTCAAAATGCTGGTCCATGGTGGTTCTTTATTTTGGTGCTGGTTGTGCTGTTAAATGGAAATCCACAGGAAACCACCCGTTTGCAGACTCCCCTCTTGAGCAAAACATCGTGATAATTTTGTTTGGAGTTGGCCCGACGGGCGCAAGGTCCTTAGGTTGTGAGCCAAGTCTTGACAAACAACGCAAAAACCTGAAGCAATGCAAACACATCGTCTGCGTGCGCATGAAAACAAATGTGTGGAACAAATCCAGGAAATTCAGGACTTGCGGACTGGACAAAGGCCGGCCAAACGAAGCACAGGTGGACTGAGGTCAGTCAACAGCCTGCAGTGTGGCATTTGATGGCGACGGTCTCCGGGCTCCAGAATATATGGAGTGTACATCCTTCACGCACAAGAGTTTCTTGACCGAGAATTGGCACAAAGGGTTTTATCAGCATACCACAAAGTCAGGCCTGGCAACACGTGTGCGATGGGAGCATTGCTTCCATGCGTGCACTTCAGGAAAAGTCACACAAGCCCTCGAAACGCACATGTGCTGGCTCAGGCATGCGAAGCGACTTCAACAGATGAAAGAACGCAAAGCCAAGAAAACGCCAAGCCCGGCGCAGCCGTACAGTCTCCGTGACGCGATGACACACGAAACTCCACGCCGCTGCCCGGCGCTAAACCTGTGGGATTGAGCGACTCTGTGGACTGCGAAGCGAAATCCGCGTTTCAGAAAAACAGTGAAGCCTGCCTGCAGGAAAACTTTCGAAACATGAAACCAAGCACGCACTCATCTTCCAAACAGGGGGGAGGGTTTCAACGGTCGGATTTGTCTAGCTGTGCTGCCGGTCTTTTCAGGGATCCTTCTTCAAAGATTGTCTGTAAAAAAACAAGACCGAGCCCACCAACCCGAATGCACATCAATAAGCCTATGGGGCTCGCAACCAAGTCAGCTGCGCAAACTATGTGTTCAGCTTGTAAAAATGCACTTTGCGCACTCGACTTGTGGCTACAAAGTTACGATTTTCGAGCTGGAGCTGGACACCTGCACTTTGCGTACTAGACTTGTTACTACAAAGTTGTCATTTTCCAGCTAGTGCTGGAAACCTGCACTTCGCGCACTAGACTTGTACTGCAAAGTTGCGATCGAGTACTATGCTTGTGCTACAAAGTTTTGGCTAGAGCTGGAAGCCGGTACTTCGCGTACCAGACTTGTACTACCAAGTCGAGATTTTCCAGCTGGAGCTGGAAACCTGAACTTCGCGCACCAGGCTGGTACCACAAAGTTGCGATTTCTCAGCTGGAGCTGGAAACCTGTACTTCGCACGCTAGACTTGCACTACAAAGTTGCGATTTTCAAGCTGGAGCTGGAAACCTGTACTTCGCGCGCTAGACTTGCACTTCAAAGTTGTGATTTTGCAAAAACCTGTACTTCGCGCACTACACTTGTACTACAAAGTTGTGATTTTCCAGCTAGTGCTGGAAACCTGCACTTCGCGCACTCGACTTGTACTTCAAAGTTGCGATCGAGTACTATGTTCTAGACTTGTGCTACAAAGTTGCGATTTTGCCTAGAGCTGGAAGGAAAGCCTGTACTTCGCAAACTAGGCTTGTACTACAAAGTTGCGATTTTCCAGCTAGAGCTGGAAGCCTGCACTTCGCGTACTCGACTTTTCCAGCTGGAGCTGGAAACCTGTACTTCGTGTACTACACTTGTACTACAAAGTCGCGATTTTCGAGCTGGAGCTGGAAGCCTGTACTTCGCGCACTTGCACTGCAACAGTTGCGATTTTCCAGCTAGAGCTGGAAACCTGTACTTCGCACGCTAGACTTGCACTACAAAGTTGCGATTTTCAAGCTGGAGCTGGAAACCTGTACTTCGCGCGCTAGACTTGCCTTCAAAGTTGTGATTTTGCAGAAACCTGCACTTCGGGTACTATATTGTGCTACAAAGTTGTGATTTTCCAGCTAGTGCTGGAAACCTGCACTTCGCGCACTCGACTTGTACTTCAAAGTTGCGATCGAGTACTATGTTCTAGACTTGTGCTACAAAGTTGCGATTTTGGCTAGAGCTGGAAGGAAAGCCTGTACTTCGCAAACTAGGCTTGTACTACAAAGTTGCGATTTTCCAGCTAGAGCTGGAAGCCTGCACTTCGCGTACTCGACTTTTCCAGCTGGAGCTGGAAACCTGTACTTCGTGTACTACACTTGTACTACAAAGTCGCGATTTTCCAGCTAGAGCTGGAAGCCTGTACTTCGCGCACTTGCACTGCAACAGTTGCGATTTTCCAGCTAGAGCTGGAAGCCTGTACTTCGCGTACTGGACTTGCACTACAAAGTCGAGCTGGAAACCTGAACTTCGCGCACCAGGCTGGTACCACAAAGTTGCGATTTCTCAGCTGGAGCTGGAAACCTGTACTTCGCGCGCTAGACTTGCACTTCAAGGTTGTGATTTTGCAGAAACCTGCACTTCGGGTACTATATTGTGCTACAAAGTTGCGATTTTCCAGCTAGAGCTGGAAACCTGTACTTCGCGCAATAGACACGCACTACAAAGTTGCGATTTTCCAGCGCGTACCAGACTCCTGAGCAACACTTCTGAGCGACACTTTTGATTGACGCTTCTGAGCGACACTTTTGAGCGACACTTCTGATCAAACTTCTGAGGGTCACTTCTGAGCAACACTTCTAAGCAACACTTTTTCTGCTCGACACTTCTGTGCAACACTTCTGATCGACACTCCTGGTAGACACTTCTCAGCAACAACTCTATTCGACACTTCTGATGGACAGTTCTGATCGACACTTTTGAGCGACACTTCTGCGCAACACTTCTGGTCGAAAACTCTGAGCAACACCTCTGAGCCACACTTCTGATTGGTACTTCTGAGCGACACTTCTGTGCAACACACTTCTGACCGACACTTGTGAGCGCGTCATTTCTGTCAAACACTTCTGATCAACACTTCCGAGCACACTTCTGATCGACACTTCTGAGCAACACTTCCGACCGACACTTCCGAGCAGCACTTTTGAGCAACACTTCTGATCGACACTTTGGAGTTCCACTTCTGAGCGACACCTCTGACCAACGCTTCTGATGAGCATCTCTGATCGACACTTCTGATCCCTACTTCGGATCGACACCTCTGATCCACACTTCGACTTCTGATCGACAGTTCTGAGCAGCACATCTGATCAACATTTCTGATCCACACTGCGCATCGACACTTCTGAGCGACACTTTTGAGCAACACTGCTGAATTGGCACATCTGAGCGACACTTCTGAGCAACACTTCCGACCGACACTTCCGAGCAGCACTTTTGAGCAACACCTCTGATCGACACTTCGGAGTTACACTTCTGAGCGACACTTCTTATCAGAGCAATACTGCTGATTCGACACTGCTGATCGACACCTCTGACCGACACCTCTAATCGACAGTTGTGAGCAACACTTCTGACCGATGCTTCTGATCAGCACAAATGTCTTCAGTACCAGTAGCCAAACGTATCAAAACACCATTAATTGATGTGAGTGGACCATGTCAAAGAGGTAATTGTTGTTGATGCGAAAAATGCTAGTATTGTCTATATGTTTGGTGGAGGTGCTGGTATATTTGGTAAAAATGAATTCGATCTTGCTGATGTACTATTTACATTGCCGAGCTTCTGAGCAAACACACACACACACACACAGGTAAGCGTCGCTTGTGAGCGACGCTTCAACGCTGAGCGACAGAGCGACACGTCTGAGGCACATGTCACACTGAGCAACACTTCTGAGCCACACTTCTCATCGATACTTCTGCAGGACACTTCTGCGCAACACTTCTGATCGACACTTCTCAGCAATATTTCTGAGCAACTCTTCTGTGATCGACACTTCTGATTGATACTTCTGAGCGAAACTTCTGCACAACACTTCTGATCGAAAACTCTGAGCAACACTTCTTTCTGATCGATACTTGCGAACGACACTTCTGAGCACTTCTGAGCAACACTTCAGAGCGACACTTCTGATCGGCACTTCTGAGTGACTGGTCGACACTGCTGAGCGACACTTCTGAGAAAGGTCGCTCGACACGTCTCTTGTCTCAAAATGTGCGCCGCGCCACAGCGAGAGCGATTCGACCCACCCAAAGTGCGCAGAGGGTTCACTGTGCATTCACTTTGCATTTTCAAAAAGTGCACCGCGCCACAGCGAGAGCGAGTCGACCCACCCAAAGTGCTGCGCCTGCCACGACATCGGCGCGCAAGCTTGAAAGTACTGCGTGCGAAATCTGCACGAAATGCTCACATGTGCTGCGCCTGCCACGAAATCAGCACGAAAAGCTCTACAGTGCTGCGGCTGTGACTGTGGCGAAAGAATGATTTCGACCGATTTCTTGCATTTCTGCACTCGAAACGACACTCCAGCAAACGCTTGCGCGAGCATTCCAAGCAAAATACCTCACAACGAAGCCCCTGAAACGCGAATCCCACTGCATTTGCAACGCAAACGTGAAGCCTCACGAAACACTGCGCCTGCGCAGCGAAATGACACGTTGAGCTTGAGAAGCTACGATTCGCGCACAAGGCCAACAAAAACAGCACATCACAAGTCATCAAACTCACGCGTTCTGCGCTTCCCTACTGGGAGAGCCATAGCGCAATCATACAAACGGTTACGAACGGTTGCGAACGGTTGCGAACGGCTGCACAACATCCGGCGAACAAGGCTTCACTCCCAGACCCCCAAGATGAAACGAGAACCCTATGCTACGCATTCGGGAAAAAGACAGAAAAGAGGAATCTGCGTGGCCTCAAAAGAATGGATGATAAAGATGGAGAACAACCTTCTTGTTCCCATGGGTGTTCTTTTTAGGGGAAATGAGTGGCCCTGGTAGTTGATTAAACCACCGGGTAAACCAGGAATCGCCATCTATTTTCCTTTACCAAAACAACCAAAAAGGACCCCTATGATAGTATGTTCCTTTTCCCCACTTTTTCGCCTTCCCCCCCCCCCCCCACCCCTTCGCGCTCCTCGGCGGGCACGCCAGCCTCCAGCGCCTGCCGCCGGGCACGGTCCAGGTTCAGGTACAGCTCCCGGCGGCCGCTGGCCTCCAACCCCATTGAGCGACGGTTGACCTGTTGACCTGAGTGTATTTGGGGATGACATGACAGGGTAAACAAAAGAAACTATTCCATTTTGGAATAAGCAGCTATTTTTGAGAAACGGCCATATGGGTATGGGGTCAAAATAAAACCACCAGGAATTGGACCGCAGGTTTTAATCCTTGCTTCCATTACCAGGGTTTCAGTTTGGGGTTACCATGGTTACCCAATTTTTGACCCACGACAACGGCTGCCTTATAGACCCCCCACTTGACACTTTTTGGTTTCTGTTTGGTAGCATTCCTTGCCACCCCTTGGTTGTCAAGTCAACATGAACGCCTGGAAAAGAAAGGCTTGACCCGGAGGCTCGAAAAAATGCACCTCTTCTTCCCACTTGGTGGTCTGGTTTTGAGGTACTCCGAAGGGGTGGTTTCCCACTTGTCAAAGCATGGGTGCAAATCCGAAATCCAAACCCACCCAAAGCGCCAAACAAGGGTCTTCTGAATATGACTTGGGAAAACTGGAGCAACGAGTTTCCAAATCCGACCGAACTCAAGTCCAACGCGTTCCATTCCCCGCGTTTAAAGAAGGAGAGATCCGCCTTGTTCACCGGCATCCCAGAGTCTGAGAGCATCCACAGGAGCTGGCCCTTGGATACGTAGCCGTGGCTGCTTTGGACGCTGAAGGCGCACCTGCCGGCCGAATCCCTTTGACAAGAGAGAGCCCCCCTCCAAAACAAAAAGAAAGACACAAAGCGAAACAAAGGCTGCGGGGGGGGGGGGGGGGGGAAGAAAAAACGAAAGACACAAAACGAAACAAAGGCTGCGAAGCATCATGAAACCCAAAAAGGAGGGCCACCCAAAAGGAGCCTCCGTTCAAAGTGGGCGTTAGGGACAGCGCAGGTTCCGGCCCAGTCCTCAACTGCTCAAGCTCCGCATCGCTGAATGTCGCCTGGTCAAGGGCAATACATGTCTACCATTCAGCCGATCGCAGCTTTAAGAAATGGGCGAGTTGCTCCCGTCCCGGCATGATCTTGCGGCCTGTTGCCTGACTGCCAGTCTCTTCTTATTGGCCCTTTGTGACATGTCTAGTATGAATTGGGGGCTTTGGTGGACACCCTTTACATGGGGATCGATTTCGGCCACTCACCCTGTTTGAGGCGGTTCCCGTTAACTTTCTGAGCTTCCCAAACACCAAGAAATCACGGCTTCCGGTGCTGTCTCGACAGCGACGGCAGACGAAAGCTTTCGCCTGCTTCCGCTTCTCCACCGGGATCATCTTGCGAGTGTGCTCTGCCGCATAGACCCAGGTGTCCCAAGAGATGCCTAGGCTGGTGCTAGAGTGATACTGTGGATGGACCAAATCCATTTCGCGCCACCCAAGAAACCAGGAAAAACCAGGGTGTGTTAGTATTTACAGGAGGGGAATTATCATTCCAAGGTTTCTTAGGTGGTGCAGGACCTCGTCCATCCACAGTAGGGAGGGGGGGCCGGGAATCGGCACCCGACAGGTGCCGCACCGTGTGGCGACCGTGTTTGCAGTGTTTGAAGCAGTTTGTGCTTGCCTGGTCTCAGACTCCTCCCAAAATGGATGGCGTCCTTTTGCTGTTCCCCTTGAAATACACCCAGAAGGGTACGAGCCTGGAACAAAGGAATCACATCCAGAATCCACAAGGATATGCATCTGGCCAAATGACAATAATTCCCAAACGGAAAATCAGGGAACCCGTGTAGAGGATCTTCACGGGTAAGCTTGTTTTACTCGGTGAACTCCTTCAAAAAAGCGTAGCATGCCCGGCCTGCCGAACAATCGCCGTCTTCCTGGCACTTCTTGAAGGACTCCTCCACTAGACCTGAGGTGTGGCTCAAACAGCTGCGGCAAGCCGCAGGTTTTAGTCCTTTCCATTTGCGAGGGCTCCGTTTTGGACCCCTATTTTTGAGCCACACCCAAATCTCCGACATGCAATTGCTGAGCTCCAAGATGACCAAAGAGTAAGGCTCAATAGTTCTTACATGTCGGCTATGCATGCCCTCTGCCTGCATTTTGCTGCCTTCGTGCAAACGTTCGTACCGAGTAGCACAACCCTTAGGAAAGGTTGGGCCGGTGTCTGCAAGCCATGCAGTGCAACAAAACTAGTCACCTTGTGCTATTGGTTGGAGCAAGACTCAACATCTCTATCCAAGCAAGAGCCTAGCAAGTGTTGAATGGCGTGACCAAAACAAGTTGTGATTCATCAAGAGAAAGCAAACAATTCAACATGCTTCATGCATGCGTTAAGTCAGTGGTCAAAGGAACGCAACTGCGCAGTTCAGTCAAACACTATGGCAACATGGACTTGCGGAAAGTTCAGCCCGACTAACCAACCGCTCCTTACTCAATATCCGTGGGTTCCAAAACGCAGTACAGTGGCTGGCGCTTTGGTGCGCACCTATACACTCATCACATTTACGGAGACCTCCCAAAAACTCCTTCAGGAATCATGTCAATTTGGAAATGCCCAAGGCTCTTAACGCCAAACCAAAGGTCTTCCTTTGCAAGAACAGAGCAGAGTGGTTCGGCCAGAAATTCCCGTAGCCATGATCAGTTTGCGGAGGGACATGGGGGGGGATGAGCTCTACAAGTCCTACAAAAGCCAAGGGCGGACAACTTTCTCGCTCATGTCCTCTTGGGGAACAAATGATCTGGTGGGTCACATCTTCCATGTCCTTTCCAGTAGCCACCAAAAGGGCAACCACCGAACTCAGGGGGGCCTCCCTCTATTCTAACTTGCATGCCCATGCTAACTTGGATGAGATGGACACGGGGAAAACCCAAACTGGAGTTTCCCGAAATGACGCGCACACCCGGCGTTGGCTCCGAAAAACCGTGGTCGCGTCGGCCAAGGAGCGCTGCACCACATCGAGGCCTGCGTCCTGCAGAGCCTTGCCCAAAAGCCTTTGGGTCAGGGCCGCCTTGCCCAGCTGCAGCTGCCTGCCGCTCAGCAAGGTTGGCTTTCGGTTGGCTTGGGCTGGTCTTTGGTGGGTTGGGTTGGGTTGGATTTGGTTGCTGCGCGTTGGGTTATGGCAGAGTCAAACTCGATCTTTAACTTGTTCAACCTGCGTCAGGCAAGACCGGAACAAGCCTGCTTCGGGGCGCTTGGTACCGCCCGATTCGCCTTTTTTTTCGCAAACCAATTTAACAGTGACACAACCAAAGGCCATCAAATCTTTGTGTAGATGCCCCAACTTCCCTCATGAGGATCTGCGAAACGGCCGGGTTCGCGACAGCGCGCTTCAGCGAAAGTGTCCTGGAGAACCCCTGGTTGATCAATACTGTGGATGGTTGCGAAATCCAGTTCGCACCACTTTGAGTCCACGGTTGAAACCATTGTGTGTTGGCATTTACAGCGGGATCGAACCATTCCAGGGTGTTGTAGGCGGTACAAAATGGATTCGCCCATTCACTGAGGTGTCCCATTTTCGCCTGAATCCTTCACTTTTGAAGGAAACACCCCCTCCCGCCTCCCATTGATCATCTGCCAGGTTCTACCCAAGAATGCGGGGGTCGACAAATTCGCCATGCTCCAATGCCGAGTTGCTGGTAGACCCGCTGATACACCGACAGCTTGACCTCCTTTTGAAGTCTCATGAGCCGAAGGTATTCGCTTCGATCCTTAAGGCATCGGCTTCACGAGCGACTGCTGACCGACAAAACGGAGATCGACCGGTTCGGGACCCCTGGGGCTCTGGAGCCATATCCAAAACGTACCTTGCTAGGAGAGTTTCCTTAACCATCGTTTATGCATTGTACCTACCTCCATTCCCGTTCATAAGGGAGCAGTGCCCGAATTCCAGCGACTCTCGGTTCTAGCACTATGGTTGTAGCGACCAATGCAGCCACTACAACCCTCTGAAATCAGATAGTAAAACCACCTGATCCAAAACCAGTTGACTTTGGGCTACCAAGATGCTTATCGTGGTTCGTTCAGACCCAGTGCCCGTCTCTAAACTGTTTGCCTTTGCAACATGGAACCATTGACGAATTCCAGGGAGCTTCTACGGGGCTTCCCGTCCGAGTCTCCATGGTGCCGTTCTCATTGAAGTCCACCTGCTGCACCATCTTCCGCACCTCCTCCACCCGGTTCTTGAAGCCCATCCACTCCAGCAGCTCTTTCACCTGCGCTCCAAAAACACAAAAACAAAAAACGAACCCGCTTTTATCCGGGGCATGAACCAAAACGGGCCTTTTGCCCTGGTTTTCATGAGAACATGCGAAAAAGTGGGAAAATTGGGGGGCCAAAACAAAAATACACCAGCATAGACCCCAGATGGCGAAAAGCATGCCAACGTTTGTACACCAGCACCTCCGAAGAGCGCTCCAAACAACACCGGGCCGTCAATCTCGCAAAAACGAACGCTTTTCCCGGGACATGAATAAAACGGGCCTTTTGCCCTGAGTTTTCGTGAGAAGATGAAAATTGGGGGGGGCTTGCGCCCTGGCTCTTGTGGAAAGAATAGAGCTCGTGCCCCTTTGCCTTCACAAATGGAACCCTTCCGAAACAGGTTGGACTTGACTCTTCTGGTCTCGTGCGTACATGCGCTACTTGCGCAAACCGGCGAGTCGGGTGTGTCTTTTCTTCGGGAATCCTAGTTGGTTTTCCTTTAACACCTCAACAAAGTGCGTACCCACAAACAAGGGGACCATCCTGGGGACCTCCTCTCTGCTTCCATGAGGCGAACTTCTTGGACTGGGCTGTGGGATAGCAAACCTCCCGTCAGCTTGGTGGCTCGCAGACGGGCACACCACATCCCAAGCTCGGCCCGGCAAGCAGCGATGTTTTGGCCCACGGCGCCATGAAAGTGACCCTCTAGGAAAAGCATGCGTCTCTGCCTTCAAGCTGTGTTTGGGGGGGGGGGTTGGGGGAGGTGGGGTCCGGTCCGGGGGACGTTCGTAACCAATCGTTTGTGTTTCGTCGCTGCACCCGGAGCTCACAGCGGCTGCTAACACCATGCTAGCTGAATCGGACAGCATGGAGTAGAAGCCGCTGTGAGCCGTGGGAGCGGTGGCGAGTGCTTGACTTTGCTTCTCGCTCTACGACTCACCCGCCAGTTTGACTTTGACTACTGGCTGCAGTTGCTTCCTTGGCTGTGCATAGCACCGCGAGAGCTATGCGAGACTTTGTTTGTGCTTGTGCCCTCGTTGGGAGGACCCCTGCTTCTTCAGCAGTTTTCCGGCAGACTTTCGGGGGCAACACTCTTCCTTTAGCTCGCTGGGATGATCACACTTTCGCGTGGGTGCTGGCAAAGCTCCCTGGCTCTGATTAGCCTTGGGTGGCACTGGGTTTAGACATTCGTGAGTCGGTTCATTTGTCAGCCGGGAAGAATTGAGAAAGCTCTGGCTGGCTGCCAGTGACCTGTAAACGAAGGCATCGCAGACCTGAAAACAAAATCTGACCGCGCGACTTTGCACATTGCATCTTGCCGTTGTACTGTGTTTTGCACGTGAATGCCTCAGAGTCTCGCAAAATGCAACGGGTTTGAACGTCAGCAAAGTGGTGTTTGATTGACCAGAAGGGGAAAAAAACACACGACTTGCGGGTCTGTGACTTGCAGGCAGTGCAAACTGTCTGGGGTCACAAACAGCGCCGTAGCCTGGCCACGTGACAATCAAAAGCTTAAAGGAGTCTCCTATGTCAACATCCTTACCTTCATAAGACTCATGAGCGCAGGTCAAGAGCGTTGGATCTTGCAAAACGTTCAGACCATGAGCGCTCAAAGTCCATAGAGCCCTTTCCAAACCCAAGGGAAAAACTTACCACACTGCCAACACTTTCATGAAGGCTTCGTTTCTTCCCCTGGGCTGATATTTTTTCGCCCATTCCCATAAGCCCCAAGGGTAGGCCTGAAGGGTGGGCAACTCCCCCGAGTCATCGCAGAAGTGCGCGAAGGGTTTGAGGAACTCTTCCCGCTCGGAGACCGTGAAGCCATTCCTCCGGGCTCTCTTTGCTTCGGGCGAGGCGGGCAAACCCCCGGAAGCGCAAAATGCGCTACCAAGCCCCCAGTGTAATTGGCTCCAGAAGGCGCTGATAGGAAAACGAGGCCAAATGGGTTGATCTCAACATACGGGGACCCCAAAAATGGCGGCTGTCCTTTGGTTCCCGGACAAAAAAAAAAAACGAAGGGGGGGGGGGGGAAATCCGGGTCCTTTCTCGCACATAGTCCACGAAATCCAGCACGCGATCCAGGCTCATGCGCTGCTCCGGGGTTACACCCGTGTTGCCCTGAGCGCGCCAACACCCAGAGATGCGCCCGGCGAGATACGTCTGGCGCATGGGGGTTTCTCTCTCTCTCTTCTTGGATTGGACTCGTTGCTTGTGGTTTTTCAAGGGAAACTAAAAGGAAAACCACCATATTATGAATATTTGTTGCGGGGTGCCTTCACACACACACACACACACACGCACACACACACACACAATCTCATTTGCAAGGTAAGTCGGTGCATGGATACCGGTCAAGCTGCCAGCTGCCAACCCCGCGAATTATCCCGAGCGGAGATGGGAAAGTTTGGGTCGCCCCTGTGGCTCTTGCCTCTTCTCGTCATTTCCAAACTAATCCAGTGCTTCCAGTTACCACCACAGCAGGAAACTGTGGTATTTTTACCTCTAGGCTTCACATGATGGTTACCTAGCGACACATGGGCCATCTTTTCTTGGAACCCCCCAAAATGGCACAAAAACCGTTTTCCCTTTTGGTTCCCCTTTAAAGCCAGCACCCCAACCCGGGGGAACCAAACAAAAAAAAAATGACGAGCCCAAGGTTAAAAAACCTGGCAGCACTCCACTCGCCTGCAGCTCCCGCAGCTCCGGGGTCACCAAGCTGAAGCCCAGGTTGCTGCACAGCGCCTCGCGGCTTCAAATCGGACCGGGACTCCGGGGGTAAATTCGGGTAACCTTCATCACCAACGGTCCCAGAATTTCTTGTTCAGTTTCCAGTTCAGTCGGGTTCTCGTTGGTCTTAGGGGGTTAATGAGTTATAACCCAAGTGGCCAACCACTTACTAACTTGGCCGAACATCCAACTAGGTCCTCCAGATTTGAGAGCTTAGAATAAGTTGGTACCGTTTCTTTTTTCGGTCGTCTAGTTTAGTAGGGGAACCCTCCCAACCAAAAAGGGGGGAGAAAAAGCACTACTGGGGGACCTAGCCAATAATCCACCCCGGTCCCCAAACGGCCGCAACGGTGGTCCGATTGCTTTTTTGACACCGCCCAAAACTGGCTGCGAGAAGTGAATGAGAAATGGAATGAACCTGGGGGTAAAGGAAAGGTTTTCTGGGGTCATTCCCTCACTCCTTCTCGCACCAGCAAGAAAAGGGGGGACCCCCTCAAAACAATGACACGCCCATTCAGGGAGACACCGTCCCCATTGGCTTCCGATGGCTTCCGCAGCTCCAAGCCTGAAGGTCAGATCCGCGGATGTAGCCGTCCTGCGAAGGACCGTGGAATGCAACTTGCCTGTGGATACTGCTGACCCTTTGAGTAATAAACCCCCGACTATTCTAAAGGTATTAAGGGGGGTCCCATCCTTTCTTCCAGGACCCCTAACTGGGGGGTTTATTAATCAGGGGTCAACATTGAGTGGGAGGGCCTGCTTGAAATGGATATTTGCTTTGGTTGAACATTCAAGACATTCAATAGCTATGCGTCAAAACGCCGAAAAGGGCCGCTTCCCAGTTGGTTTCCCATTGCTGAAACATGGTTGAGCACTCAAGATGTGTATTTGCCTGATCAATGGAAATCGAACATCCGCCGAGCGGATGTTACTTTGATCACCATTCCTTGCCCAGCCAATGGTGGGGATGTGTTTCCATCGCTCCTTGTCCGTGTCCAAGGTATTGAAGTGCTCAGAGACTTCCTTGAGTTGCATCTGCCGCAGTTGTCGGGCATGCGTCACAAACTCGAAGAAGCAAATCCCGTGCCTAGGCACCGAGACGACTGCCTTGAAAACCCTCCAGACGCAAAGTCCCCAAACTGCGATCCCCAAGCCATCTGTGGAGCTCGACGTCTCGCGAGTGTCGCATCAAGCGGCGTCTTCTCTTCCAGCTGCTTTGCCATTTTGCCCATGAGCGCTGTCAAGTGGTCGGTGCCTGAGCACGTATTGATGGATCTGCAAATGGCCTTTCGGCTCCCAAGCCAGGGAGCAAAAAAGTCTCTCAAAATCACCATGGCGCAAGTGTCAATGGAAGCCAGGAGGGCTTGCCCTGTAAATGTGCAGCCCGCGCTCTGAAATTTGACCCAGTGAAACTAAACACGGAGTCAGGGTAATTGCGTGGATCAAAATTAGTCCTGCGGACCACGCTTGCCGTACCCCTGAAAAAAAACCTCAAATTGTGAAGTCCCGTGTCCAACTCAACTGGAAAAATGCGTTTAAACAAAAGAAGAAAAGACAAAACACGGGCTTCCTGCTTCTTGTCTGGATCCCCCTCTCCGTCAACGGGCTTTCGCGCTTAACAAAAACGCGCGCAAGCCGAGCCCCGACAGCCGCGCGGGGCCAAAGCGAACGCCGAGTCCCGAGGCGCAGTAGAGGCCCCCGAAGAGCAGCAGCCCAGTCGACAGCTCGGAGCTCCGGATGAGCCGGCCCTCCGGGCCGAGGTTCATCACGTCCTCGGATTCGGGCTCGCCTCCAGAAGCATTTCTTGACCAGCGACTGCTTTTATTCTTATCTGTATGTTGTCGTCGTTGTTGTTTTTTCCTTTTTCCCGAAAGCATGGCGAAGGGTTCTTCCGCTGGGTTCACTTGAGTTGTTCTCATGAGAGTCATCACAAGGTGTCATTGCAAGGAATCATCATCATGAAAGTCAATGCAAGGAGTCATTGCAAGGAGTCATTGCAAGGAGTCATTGCAAGGAGTCATTGCAAGGAGTCATTGCAAGGAGTCATTGCAAGGAGTCATTGCAAGGAATCATTGCAAGGAGTCATTGCAAGGAGTCATTGCAAGGAGTCATTGCAAGGGGTCATTGCAAGGGGTCATTGCAAGGAGTCATTGCAAGGAGTCATTGCAAGGAGTCATTGCAAGGAGTCATTGCAAGGAGTCATTGCAAGGAGTCATGAGAGTCATTGCGAGCTGCGCATGGAGTCAAGTGCAAGTTGCAAGTGCAAGGAGTCAAGTGCAAGTTGCAAGTGCAAGGAGTCAGGTGCAAGTTGCAAGTGCATGGAGTCAAGTGCAAGTTGCAAGTGTAAGGAGTCAAGTGCAAGTTGCAAGTGCAAGGAGTCAAGTGCAATTGACTTGCGAGGAGTTAAAATCTCTTCTTAGGGCGGCGGGGTAGTGCCGACGACACTACACGAAAATCGACCCTCTGCGGGGATCGGCGTGGTCGAGGTGCAAAAACCATGGTTTTTTGCGATTTCTGCGGTGCTCGCGCGACCCTCTGCGGGGATCGGCGTGGTCGAGGTGCAAAAACCCATGGTTTTTTGCGATTTCTATCATGCTCGCGCGACCCTCTGCGGGGATCGGCGTGGTCGAGGTGCAAGAACCCATGGTTTTTTGCGATTTCCAACATGCCCGCGCGACCCTCTGCGGGGATCGGCGTGGTCGAGGTGCAAAAACCCATGGTTTTTTGCGATTTCCAACATGCACGCGCGACCCTCTGCGGGGATCGGCGTGGAGGTGCAAAAACCCATGGTTTTTTTTGCGATTTCTGCGGTGCCCGCGCAACCCTCTGCGTGGATCGGCGTGTCGAGGTGCAAAAACTCGAGGGCGAGGTGCAAAAACTCAAGGTTTTTTGCGACTTTTGTTGTTCGAACTGGTCCTCGGGAGTTGTCTCGTGGTTCGCGCGCCTGCTCCCGGAACCGGCGGGTCGCGGGTTCGATTCCTCCCTGGTCCGCGGGCGGTCGTCGCAAGATGCAACTTGCATTTTTCCCGAAAGCATGGCGAAGGGTTCTTCCGCTGGGTTCACTTGAGTTGTTCTCATGAGAGTCATTACAAGGTGTCATTGCAAGGAATCATCATCATGAAAGTCATTGCAAGGAGTCATTGCAAGGAGTCATTGCAAGGAGTCATTGCAAGGAGTTATTGCAAGGAGTCATTGCAAGGAGTCATTGCAAGGAGTCATTGCAAGGAGTCATTGCAAGGAGTCATTGCAAGGAGTCATTGCAAGGAGTCATTGCAAGGAGTCATTGCAAGGAGTCATTGCAAGGAGTCATTGCAAGGAGTCATTGCAGTCATTGCAAGGAGTCATTGCAAGGAGTCATTGCAAGGAGTCATTGCAAGGAGTCATTGCAAGGAGTCATTGCTAGGAGTCATTGCAAGGAGTCATTGCAAGGAGTCATTCCTAGGAGTCATTGCAAGGAGTCATTGCAAGGAGTCATTGCAAGGATTGCAAGGAGTCATTGCAAAGAGTCATTGCAAGGAGTCATTGCAAGGAGTCATTGCAAGGAGTCATTGCAAGGAGTCATTGCAGTCATTGCAAGGAGTCATTGCATTGGAGTCATTGGAGTCATTGCAAGGAGTCATTGCAAGGAGTCATTGCAAGGAGCCGTTGCAAGGAGTCAAGTGCAAGTTGCAAGTGCAAGGAGTCAAGTGCAAGTTGCAAGTGCATGGAGTCAAGTGCAAGTTGCAAGTGCAAGGAGTTAAGTGCAAGTTGCAAGTGCAAGGAGCCAAGTGCAATTGACTTGCGAGGAGTTAAAATCTCTTCTTAGGGCGGCGGGGTAGTGCCGACGACACTACACGAAAATCGACCCTCTGCGGGGATCGGCGTGGTGGAGGTGCAAAAACCCATGGCTTTTTGCGATTTCTAACATGCTCGCGCGACACTCTGCGGGGATCGGCGTGGTCGAGGTGCAAAAACCCATGGTTTTTTGCGATTTCCAACATGCACGCGCGACCCTCTGCGGGGATCGGCGTGGTCGAGGTTGCGATTTTTTTAACTGCGGTGCTCGCGCAACCCTCTGCGGGGATCGGCGTGGTCGAGGTGCAAAAACTCGAGGTTTTTTGCGATTTCTGCGGTGCTCGCGCAACCCTCTGCGGGGATCGGCGTGGTCGAGGTGCAAAAACCCATGGTTTTTTGCGATTTCTGCGGTGCCCGCGCAACCCTCTGCGGGAATCGGCGTGGTCGAGGTTTTGCGACTTTTGTTGTTCGAACTGGTCCTCGGGAGTTGTCTCGTGGTTCGCGCGCCTGCTCCCGGAACCGGCGGGTCGCGGGTTCGATTCCTCCCTGGTCCGCGGGCGGGCGTCGCAAGATGCAACTTGCATTTTAAAGCAACTTGCGCAGAGCAACTTGCGCAGAGCAAGTTGCACAGAGCAACTTGCGCAGACCAACTTGCACCGACCAGTTAGAGCGCCTTGCCTAGAGCAACTTGCGCAGAGCAACTTACGCAGAGCAACTTGCACAGAGCAACTTGCACAGAGCAGCTTGCACAGAGCAACTTGCAGGGAGCGCAATTTGCACAGAGCAACTTGCAGGGAGCCACTTGCAGGGACCAACTTGCCGGAGCAACTTGCGCGGAGCAACTTGCGCAGAGCAACTTGCACAGTGCAACTTGCGTAGAGCAACTTGCGCAGACCAACTTGCACCGACCAGTTTGCGCAGAGCACCTTGCCTGGTGCTGTCTCGCGCTTGCTTCACGAATGCTTCGTGTAGGGAAAAAGAACGCATCCTGCAGCGTTGGGCCGACCTCGCTTGCGATGTTCTGCTTTCGGGCCAACCGTGGTCTAGTTTTTAAGAAGAAGAAAACAAAAACAAAACAAATACACCAGCATAGACCCCAGATAGCAAAATGCCAACGATTGCCCTGTGGCACCTGCACAAGAATCCCCAAATTGCATGCCACCTAGCACCCTGCCGTCGATCTCGCAAAAACACACCTGGCCGTCACCAGCCCCCCCAAAACAGCACCTGCACCAGCCGTCAATCTCGCAAAAACGCCACGCCCGTCACCACCCCCCCAAAAACCATCCGCGCCATCACCCCGAACAGCACCAGAGCACACGGCCGTCAATCTCGCAAACACGCACCCTCACCATGACCAGCACCTCAAAGAGCACCCCAAACACCATCCCAAAGCAGCACCTTCGCAAACACCCCAGACTGCTTGCTTAGCATTTTGTCGCTAATTTTCTAAAAGTGCGCCGGCACTGTCACCTGCACACCCCAAAGCACCTGCGCCAGCACCCAAACTGCATACCCTAGCACCCCCAATCTAAATAAAATGCGCCCGCGGCATCACCAGCGGCTCAAACAGCACCTACACCAGCACCCCAAACTGCATGCCCCCTAGCACCCAGCCGGCAATTTCGCAAATCACTTTCCCTTCTGTATTAGAAGTTAGAACCCCTATAGCTTTCAGCTATCTGGGGAAAAAGAAGAAACAAGTTGACCGCCCTACAAACCATCCAACTAGTGGTTGCCTTCTAAATTGGTGGGAGGCCCCTGGGTTCATTCCCAACACGGGTCTGGTGCGATAGGGCAAGAGAAATGGAATGAGCCCAAGAAAAACCATCCGTAGTTTCCGAGAGAAAATCCACAAACCCGGTTCATGCCCAGCACCCTTTTTTCGCGGTCCTTCCCTATCGCAGCAAGAAAAATGGATCCCCAGACTCAATGGAGGTTCTGACTGGGCCGACGTAAGTGAAACGAACCACCCCTCTGGGCGAGACGGTCGAACCATGAGGAAGCTCGAGCTGTTTGATGTTGACCCAGTTATTACTGGGGACTCCCCTGGAAAAAAAAATATGTATTCCCCACGAAGCAGGGGGCTGCCCCGATCAATAACTAGCAAAAAGAGCCAAACAAAAAGCAGGGGTCGGCCCAAAAGCTCCCTTTGGTTTCCCTTCAAAGAGTTCCATCCCTGACCCCGAAACATGCTTTGGGGTTTTGGGGTTGTACGGGCCGTGGACACTCCAGGAATCGTCATTGCAACCACGCATCTGCTTTTGTGCAAACACAGCTGCCTTCAGGCGACAAACCACACGTCTCATTTCAGCGGGTTAGAACACCAACACAAGCCAGCGGGCAAAAACACACGCGGGGGCCACCTGAACCGGAAAAACCCCGATGCCAGCACGGTTTCCTTTCGGTTCCCTTTTAAACACACACCAAGCTGGGTCCACCATTTGGACATAAGTCAAAATCTGGATTTGAACCCCAACAGCTGGATTTGACGTTCCTTGTGATTTCCCTTTACACCCCAACCCCTACCCTCAAAAACACACACCCGCTTCACGCCCATGGCTCGCCCGGCTCGCCCGGTTCGCCCGGTTCGCCCGGTTCCGAGCCGCGCTGTCGCAGTGCTGAAACGCCTCAGTGAGTCTCTGCAGCTCCGCCACGGTGAAGCCTGACGCGAGGCTTCAAACCCAAGCCTCCGAGCCGACATCAAAGGCTCAAGCCTGTAGTGTGATTTTTGGGAGTTGGTTCAAAAACCCTACGTTAAGGACTCAAGCTCAAGCTCAGCCTCAAGGACTGAAGCCTTCTTGGGGCTGGCTTAAAAAACAAAACAGAAAGGAACACCGACGTCCCGTTTCAAAGTGCCCCCTATGTTGACGCATGCCCAGTTCGCTGTTGTTGTTTTTCTTGTTTTCTACTGCCCGATTTGTGATCCAGCCAAAAAGCTTGGAGATCCAAGCAAAAATATATGTCTACAACATTCCAAAATGCACAAAACCCCGAGTTTGAAAGCCGTGCAGGTACAAGCCTAACCCTCCTAGATGGCCCAAAGGTGCGATAGCACCAGGGCTGCAGCTGGGTCTGCTTTTGTCTCGGTGGTCATGCACCCTCCACTCTCAAGCAATCGACATCAGGCCAGTGTTCGGTCGCCTTCCTTTGGGGGGCTTTTTGCGGGTCTCCGAAAATTTGGGTGTGTCTTTTAAGGGGACGCCCCCCAAAAACATACAGAATGGTGCTGTTCCTTTTTTGTTTCCCTTTAAAGCAACCCCAAAGGAGACGAGCCAGCCATTTCTTTCCACAACACTCGCCCCCTTCAGAAAGGGCCTTCGCAGGAGCGGTAGGCAGCAAGAAATCGCACCATTGCCATGGCAGTGTCGCAGCTGTGGTTCTTCAAACCCGCGATCTCCTCAGATCGGAGGAGGGCTTAGGAGGCTTTGGACTTAGCTTTTGCAGATCTATGGATATCTAAAATGAATTACTCACACTCTTACCTGCCAGGATCATATCCCTGCAAACTCTAGGGCCATGATTCTACCTGAAATCAGATATCCATACCTTGGAATTGGTGAGCACGGCATAAACTAGTCACATATGGCTGTGGGTCAAAACTCAGGTACCCCTACCCCCCAATTCCCTTTCAGAATAGACCAAACAGAAGGGGAGTTACCAAAAGGGTCTCTGGGGTTTGACCCAACCCATATCTCTCTGCCAAGCATCGCGAATGTCTTCCATCGTCGGTGCAGTGCAAACCACACCTTGGCTTTTCAGTGCAAATCCTGGCACACCAAAGCCTTACCACCGTGGCTCGGCACCTCTGTCGTTCAGGCTCGGAAAGCCGCGTTAAGGAAAACAAAAAAAAACACCGCCAGGTTGGGTGGGGTGGGTGGGGTGGGTGGGGTAGGTGGGGTGGGTGGGAGGGTGGGAGGGTGGGTGGGTGGGGGTCCTCTACTTTAAGACACACCCACATCACAATCTCTCCACATCCCTGAAGAAAAAACGTGGAGCAGCTGAGCAAGGACTGACAGAACAAGAGGTACAGGTTTGGGTGGTACCGAAAAAGACAGCGCCTGAGTTTGTCCGCGGCCAATGCCATGGTCAACATTCCTTATGCGGGGAATGATCTTTAGGAACTTCAGCCAACCGAAATAGGAAAACAAAACGAAACAAACAAACAAAAACGCCTTAAAACCTCGCTCCCATGCAACGAGGTACCGAAGGGTCTTAGCAACGACCGGAGGTTCTGCAGATGAAAGTCGGCATCCTGCTTTGAGTAAGGATTTGGCCGCCACCTGGCCGACAGGGGATGGCAACTCTTGTCGGCCTTGACAAAACCGGCTTCGGTCAAGGAGCACTTCTCTTGCAAGCGGCCATCTCGTCCCGCCCTACGGCTTCCGAAGGCACGCCCTCGCCGAGCGGGGCCAAAAAACCCGCTGCCGCGCCTCTTCAGCCGCGCTTGGATCGTGTTGCGCTCGTAGAGGGCGTAGCGCTCGTAGAAGTCCTGGCGAGTTGTCACGGAAGCGATGGGCTGAGAACTGCAAAGCGAAACAAGGAGCTTGAGCCTCCAACAAATGGACAGCTGGGGGAGGGAGAGAGGGAGGGAGCCCAAACAACTTCAGCCCTCCCCTCCCCTCCCCTCCCCTCCCCTCCCCTCCCCTCCCCCCCACCCCGCCCAGCATGGCACGACCGACCGACCGCTCGCGCCTGAAAGTCGTTGAAGTCCAGGGCCTCAAAGCTGGTGGCCTCCTTCGCCAGCTGCTGGCACTTCTCCTCAGATCTGAGGGGGGGGTCGGCCAGCTGAGCCAAAAAAAAATCTGAAGGGAGGGTAGGGGGGGTAGGGGGGGGTGGGGTGGGCGTCGACCAGGAGCCAATTCATGTTGTCCCAGTTTCGGGCAGCTGAGCCAACAACATGTTCCCCAGTTCGGTCCCCCCCCCCCGTTTTAGTGTGAAGGCATAGGGGTGGATCCATTTTTTCCGTTTGGCTGTACATTTGTCCTGAGGCATGGAGCTTGATCCAACAAACATGTTTTCCATTTGGCTCTGGCTCAAAAAGAACTGGAATTCCCCAAAATGGCACCAAAAGGTGAATGGAACCAAAGACTAAAACCTGCGTAGCCCTGGCTCTTCAATTTGAGCCACCCCCATTTAAGTCCCCCAGTTGCCCAGTTTGAGACACCTTGGGTAATGCTTATCCCATTGGGAAAAAGATCATCTTCTTAGTGGGATGAGCATGCTCATCCCATGTATTTCGGACCTTTTGATCAAACCCCATAGGCCCCCATATCATGTTCTGAAGGAGGATTCTGGCCACGAGTTGCCCTGCAAAGCAACTGGTGTTTTCCTTTAGTGGGGACAGGAAAGAAGCGTAAGAGGTGGTGAGGAGTGCATGCAAACGCACAAATTCTTTGTCAGGCAAATCTCCTCACGCCTTGAAAAAAATGACGCACACCGCAAACAAAGAAGCTGGGACTGGGTGAGCGCGGACAGGGGGTCGGGCATGGCAAGTCCCAGCACCCTTCCCCGATCCCTGCCCTTAGTCGCTGCTTCCTTATCGAGAACTCAGCCAAGTATCTGCTGAGAGCAGAAAGAAGCAGAGTCTGCCTGGGCGACTCCACTCCGATGCATGAGACAAGGGTGAGTGGGAACATGCATCCCTCACAAAACAAATCCCGTGTCCATTACACACAGATTCACCGATCCTCGTGGCAAGCGAATCCCAAAGAGAAGGACTGAGACCATCGAGGGTGCCAGGATGACTTTGGAAAACCTCAATGGAACACCCACTTCGGCAGCACAAAAGTCGGGGTCCAGGGGTGAAAGTAGAAGGTTTTGGCGTCCGACGGAAGCATTTCAGGGCACTGAGGATCTCCGGCAGGTCCTCCTTTGAGACCTCGAAGTTGGAGTTCGAAAAGCGCGAGAACATCCTTAGAAAAAGAGCGCGTGAGAGAGACGCACCGCGCAAGTCTCAAGAGAGCAGACAAACAAAAAGGTGGGGCTAGGAGTGGTCGATTCATTGATCTTAGGTAATCTGTGGACAAAATCCTGCACCACCTAAGAAACCCAAAGGAATGATTCGATTCCCCCAACAAACGTTTCGGTTTCGGCCAAGATTTCAAAGTGGTACTGGATTTGCTCAATCCACGGTATAGACTCCAAAGAAAAAACTGTCTGGAGACATCTCTGTTACGGGGGACTCCTTTTGGGTTCCATGTTAATTTGCAGGCGAGTAAGTGGGGAAACCCCAGAACCAGATTCTGTCAAAAATGACGGATGTCTGCAAGCCTCATCTTAAATAGCCACAAGGGACGATTCATAGGGGGCATTTTCTCATTCCCTACCGAGAAATCCGCAAGATAGTGCCGCTTCGCCCTTCTTTCGCCAAGCTTCACTCGCATGCGTGTAACATCCTCAGCCGGCACCAAGTCATTGTAGAACCGGTCGAGGCAGTCGTCGACACTCGGCATCAAGGCGCCTCGGTTAGCGGCGTTAACCACATGCCCTCTGGCATGAGAAGGGTTCGGGGCCGGTTGCTCATTCCCATCCCGTGAAGCCGGCGAAACCGGATCGGTACTTGACAGGTTGAGCTGCGCTTCTCGAGGCTTGCAATTTTCCGCCCCCTTTGGCACCGAGTGCATAGGTCACCGACGCAACCTGCCTCTTTCCTCTCGAAAAAATTCCGCCTGCTCGCCACTTGATGGGCTCCGGCAGGTCGCAGTTCGATCCCTCCTGGAGTAGATCGGTGTAAGCTGGGGGTCGAGATTGGAGTTATGAGAAAGAAAACACCCCTTTCACTTGAGCAACTTTATTATTTTCCTCTCCCTCCTTCCTTTCTTCCTTCCTTCCTTCAGTTCACCGCCCTCCCCTTCCCTTCCCTTCCCTTCCCTTCCCTCCCTTCCCTTCCCTCCCCTCCCCTCCCCTCCCCTCCCCTTCCCTTCTTCTCGTCCTTGTCTTTTGTTTATGTGTTTTCTTCTTATTATGCTTTCTTTTCTCTTCGTCTTCTTCGTTTTGTCTTCTTCTTCTTTTCCTTCTCCTTCTCCTTCTCCTTCTCCTTCTCGTTCTCCTTCTCCTTCTCCTTCTCCTTCTGTTGTATCCTCCTTGTTCTTCTTCTGGGCAGCGTGCTGGTTTGCATATGCAGATATTGCGAGCCACCTCAAGATCTATCCTTCGCTTGGCTGGCAGCAAACAGATGGATCGGTCTCCAGCTTCCAGCTGCTAAAAACTGTCCGAACGCGCTCCAGATAGTGCTCTGAGCGTGGCAATATACGCGACATTCGACGACTGGTTGTTTCGCAGAGTTGGCATTACACCCAACAACAAGTTGTTGTGCTTTGGGTTTCCCTTTCATTATTTTATTCTTTTCAAGGGTGTCCCTTTTAAACTCTCCCAGGGTGCCTGAAAATCTCATGGAACACCCATGGGGGCTTGCACGGCCCACTCCTTGCCCACGGCAACAGCAGCCGCGCTCTTCTTGAAGACTTCCCTCGCCACAAGTCCCATTTTGACACATGGCCATGGGTCAAAATCCAAATCGGATAGCCCCCAGTGAACATCCGATTCAATCCAGCCACTGAAATAAGTTCTAAAATGGGTGGTCAATTCACTACCCCAAAATGGGATCCCATTGGTTTCGACCCACAGCCACATACTCATAAGTCCTTCAAGCAAGATTCTCTCGCAAGCCCTTGCTAGGCTTTTCCGCCCGACTGGCTGTTGGTTTCAGAGCCCTGCCCTATAAGTAGCGCTCTTGAAAACCGCTGGAGGGAAACTGCCTCCTACTCAACCGCAGCCTCAGCCAAAAAAACGCGCACACACACACACAGACACACAGACACCTCCCGGAAACTGCCATCCAACGCACAAAGTACACTCACGGGCTGTCAAGACATAGGGGGCCCTGCGTCCTTGAACCACTCAGGCGACCATACACAACCAGTCGCATGTATCCGGGGAAGGACCCTCAACCATCCACACCAAGGTGACCGACCCGAAGACTTCCGTGAACGCCACGCGCCTGGACTCCTGGCGCCGGGCCTCCGGAGCCTTTTCCGCGGCTTCGGAAGGCCCCGCGGCCGGAAGCTTTACCCTCAGCCGGAGCTCGGGGCTCGGGGAGGGGGGGGGTGGGGTGAAGAAACGAAGGAGACAAGTTGCACCCACCGTTCTGGGGCACTTAGTCAAAAAAAGGTTTCAGCGCAAAATTGCATACTGAGTTTGGGTTCAAACCAGGACATGGAAAGTCTACCACCCGCGAGAAAGTATTTTTATCAGGCTTGCACACACGCATTCCTACGTGCTGCGCTCAACACCTTGGTGCGAGGACAATCACTTTATGACGTGAAAAGGAGAGCTGCGGCTGCCTCCACAGCGGGCTTGTCCTCGCAGCTTATACTAGAAGGACCAGCTGTCTTGTCTGCCCTGAACTCCAACCTGAGGGTGACCGATGACGTGCTTCGCGATGGAGGTCGCATCCATCCGAAAGGAGTGTTGAGAAAAATATAGCATGCATCGACAACAAATGAAACGGAATATGGCAAAGGGAAAACGGAAGGAAGGAAGGAAGGAAGGAAGGAAGGAAGGAAGGAAGGAAGGAAGGAAGGAAGGAAGGAAGGAAGGAAGGAAGGAAGGGAAGGAAGGAAGGAAGGCAGGCAGGCAGGCAGGCAGGCAGGCGGGCGGGCGGGCGGGCAGGGAGGAAGGAAGGCAAGAAAACAAGCAAGAAGCAAGCAAGCAAGCAAGCAAGCAAGCAAGCCAGCCAGCCAGCCAGCCAGCCAGCCAGGCAGGCAGGCAGCCAGCCAGCCAGCCAGCCAGCCAGCCAGCCAGTGCGCCAGCCAGCCAGGGGGAGGGAGGGAGGGAGGGAGGGAGGGAGGGAGGGAGGGAGGGAGGGAGGGAGGGAGGGAAGGGAGGGAGGGAGGGAGTGAAGGAGGGAGGAAAGCAAGGTAGAAAAGAAGGAACGAAACGGGGAGGAAACCAAAACAAAGGACTGGGAGAACAAAGGCATGGCAAAGAAAAACGGTTCACAAAACATGTGACAATCGAATCACCAGCCTCTGTGGCTCCTCCACAGGATGCGGCTGGCCTGCACAAGAAGTCCGAGGCTGACCAATCAAAACGTAGCCGGGTCAATCCTCCCAATCTGATCAAATCGTCGAAGCTGGCTGCCCAAGCTCTCCAGAAGCCATGTACCTGGACCCTCAACATACCCGCCTTGCCCCAAAATCATGGGGCGACGTCCCTTTTTCAAGTTCTTTTTGAGGGTCCCATGTAGCCAATTGCTCCCAAAGAAAACCAAGCCCCGCCTGCGCTGGCCTCTGGCCGCAGCGGTGCGAGCCTCATCTTTTGCGATGCCACCTGCCTCCGGGAGAAAAAAAAAAACAAAAAAAAAAAAACGAGCTGCGACATGTGGGACTAAAACCTGCGGTCTGGTGGTTGAATTTTTGGCCCATACCCATGTGGCTTCCAAATGTTGTGGTACGGGGTCCATGTGGACTCGAGGTGGGTGGGACATGCTCATCTATGGCTTCTTCTTTCCTTTCAGCCAACGACTTTCCCGCTGTGGGTGGTTCTGAAATCTTGGAATCGCACCAACGTTCAGAAACCCAAGGGAATGATTCGATTCCCCGACTTACATTCCAACAAAGAATGGTTTCAACCATGGTTTCAAAGTGCAGGATGTCGTCCATCCAGAGTAGGGGGTATGCGCATAAGGGAAACACGACGAGAGAAATCACCACTTTGGGGGTTCCCCCCAAACGTGTAGTGTTTCCGCCAAGCGGGCATGGGAAAAATTGGTGGCGTGTTTGTTGTGGGGAAATTGGGGTTGTACCCCTTCTCGTCCTCCCCAAAATGACACTAGACTGTTGCGAATTGCTTTGCCACTTGTTCATTTGAAAAAGGACGCAACCGGAAAAGCTTGACAGGCTCAGCCGTTGGATAGCTGGATCAAATTGCAAAGCGAGGGGCGCCAGGAGCACGTCTGAGTGGCTTTTCTGCTTCCGAAGCTTCTTGAAGTCCCGGAAGTCTGCAGTGGAACCCATGGCCCGCCTTGGCTGCGACTTGAGCTGACATCTCCCTCAATGCGGCAAGCAACGCTATCGGCTATCAGTGGTCCATCCAGTGGAAATCTGGGGAGGCTCCCTTTCAATCAAGCGATTTCCCACGTTGCGTGAAGTTGGTATGAGCCCAGTTGCGCTAACATCCTCTCCTTTGGAGGATAGGCCTCCGCTCCTGACATGTCGTCATGGCTGCGTGCAGCTGGCATCTGTCACTCGCAACATCAAGTCGAAGTGCCTGTGAAATGCTCTTCAGAACGAACGGTCATTCGTTGTGCCACCACGTCTTATAGAGTCCCCACAAAGATTGGCAGCATATCAGATGCACCCTGTCCCACCATGCGAACGGGGCGGTTCCATGTTACCAGTTGGGATGGACTAAAAACCCGATAAAACAGGTTTATAAACCACCCATCCGTGCTCGATCCTTACATTATACACCTGAACATAGCCTTGTAAATGGTGGTTTCCCTTTATTTGGGTGGAAAAAGCCATGATTCAAATGGGCAAAATGTATATTTTAAGGAGCCCTGCTGATTTGTTTGTCCATTCCCGGCCTAGCGGAGGACACACGGCCGCCTTTGGCCCTTGTGCTTTCTCCCGACCTCGGATCCGACGAAAGGAGTGGATGGAACATGTTCCCATGAAGAAACCGGGTCCAGAGCCTGGTTTCGGGAGATGTTGGGATATTGGATTCTCCCTAGTCTTATCCCCAGAACAGAAGACGGCCAATACGATTGTCAGCTACTCATAACAGCCGACAATAGTACCATGAGAAGCCAATAGGGCCTGCACAAAACCAATGTCGCTGCATGACTATGGTGTCTTACACCTGTGCCGCATGGAAGCCACAAGGCGGGCTCGGAAATCTACTTCTTGACTATTTCAGGGTAGACTTCAACCCAGGGGTGGTTCATTCCCCAGGAGAACCCATGGGTTTAAGTCTATCTTGGGGTCCAAAAGTGGACTTCTGAGGCTGAATTCCTAAAGGGAATTTCTTGCCCCAGTCGCCGCGCCAGCTGCCAGTGGTGCGCCAGCCCAGCCGCGGCATGGAATGCGAGTGCGGCATCGACATCGCTTGGGGCTCCAAGGGGCTTGGGTTGCCCGGATGCGAGCTGAAGAGGGAGACTTGAAAAGATGTGGCCTTGCGCTTGCCGCGCCCCAGACTCAGCTCTCGTTTTGATTTGGCACTTAGGGGTATTGAGTAAACCGACCTGCAGCCAGAAGAAAGTGGCCGAAAGGTGAGCGCAAGTGACCACCTCGACTCGCCACACGGGTTTGCTTCACAAAAGTCCCCCCTTCGCCTTCCCGAGTGCAAGCAGGGCTTGCAGACAATCCGACAAAGCCAGCCAGCCAGCCCTGTGGGAATCAGGCAAGCAGCGCTGAGGCGCCTTGGCCGACAATCTGATAACAAGACTTCGCCTGAGACCAAGCATGCCATGTGGAGCTACCCGTGTGTGTCGGAAGCTGATGGTTCGAAGGCTCTCACAAATGCAGTCTCCAAGATAGGGCTGCTGCGGAAACGCGAGCTGACAGCTGCTCCTGGGCTGTGAACTCATTATCCCCTCAAGGTGGCGGGAAGAGAAACAGATGGCGAAGGCTCCATTGCGAAGGCTCCACAACATAGGGTTGAATGCCACAAACCAGCTTGCGGATAATTATAAGGCACTCCGGAAAGTGCACTGCACCATGTGAAGAACATGGACAGGTTGTCCTATTGGTCTCCCCTTAAGATCGCAGAGAAAGGGGGCTCCAACTCCAAAAAAGACGAGCCGCCCGACTCTGTCCCTTCACACCTGACTCTGCCGCAAAAGGGCAGGGTGCTCGTCTGTTGACACTGAGTGGCGCCGGAGCCTGGCATCGGAGGTCCAATTGGACACAATTAATCTGAAAGGATAGTTGATTCAACAAACGAACTTAAAGCAAAAAACAAAAATAACTAATTTGAGTTTGACAAGAATGAATAAGGCGATTTGATCATGTAGGCCACCTTGTCATGGGCTCTTGCGGACATGCGTGTGATTTCTGCGCACGGGCGTGGTTCCGAAACTTAACCGCCAAGCTATCAAGCCGAGCCAGAAGCTGTGTTTGCTTCCTTGCTTGCTGGGGAGCAAAGGGCTGATTGCCCGACCACAACTCCTCTCACTGATGGGAACCCAAAATTAATAAACCAATGGTTCATGAACAGGGGTGGCATCCCATTGTATTCGCTTTGTTGGGAGGCACAGCCAGTTAATACTCCACCAAGTTGACTAACGTGTGTCGGTATTGCCTGCGTTGATCCTTTCCAATAAGAGATCGTCTACAGTTAAAGGTCCTTGACCGCTGCAGAAAAAGGTGGTGATGCGCAAACTGAATGATTGGAAATCCGGCGTGAGAGAGGCATGCGTTGCATGCAAGATGGCTCCGACCATGCAACACTTACGTTGGATCACAATCATGATTCCAGCTCCTGGTCCGACTGCAACCGATATGTTTAACGTGTTCCGCGCCCTTTGAATCACTCAAAGCAGTGAAGTTCTGTACAGAAAACCCGTCCACGCTGAATCCAAAATGAGCCCATGCATCCGACGTGGGATCTGCGGAGCGTCTTGGAGCCCCAAGGTTGGGACCCACCTCACGGAGGGTGGTGGGGACTCTCCCGGCAGCTGAAAGGAAGGCCTCGCGCGCAGCGAAGGCAAGTGGCCATGTTGGCCCCAAAAGTGGGCGGTTCCCTTTTTGCTTTCTCTTTGCGCATGGGAGAACATGGTCAAAACCCGGGACTTGTAGAGCCAAAACCTCGCTCTTGCGGTTGCAACCAGCCACCCGAAAGGTAGAAAAGGAATCGGAGCCATTTGTTCTTGGCTCGCCATATGTTTGCAGGTGCTTTTGGTTGGTGCACCAAATGGTAGATGATTAAACCACCCATGGGAAACCAGGGATCGCCATCGAGTTTTCGAGCAAAACGACCAAAAAGGGCACCTATGCTCCGAGGTCCTCGGATAACCCGAAGAGAGCGCCTCGGGGAGGAGGCGGGCGGCTCTCGCTGCGGCTCATTGTCGCTGGACCTCCCGACATCGAGCGCTGAGCGGCGCACATCGGTCGCCGGTTGGTTTCTCTGGACCAAATCGCGAATCGATCGTTCCAGTTGGAACTCGGTAACTCGGTTGCTTTATATCTTATTTCTGTCTTCGGGTTCGTTCGTCTCTGGCGCGATGTGGAATTTGTCCATACTCGTGTTCTCGCCGGAAAGAATGAAAGACGCGGACCAACTGGACACCTAGAAATAAACAAAATGCTGTTGGCTTCCTTTCCAGACCAACCAACAAGGGTTGCCAAAGAAGCGAAAGACGCACTCAAATGGGTTCAGTTGTTACGGTCAGGTACCCTTTGCAGCTTGCTTAAAGAGAGACCACGATTTTGGGGCCTCTCTATTTTGAGACATACCCAATTCCTTAAAACCTCACAAAACCAGAAAGGGTTCTCAGTCAGATTTCTGGGTTCCCCAACAAAAGTAAAGTCACGCCGAAGTTCGAAGTTCTTCAACTACCAATATTCAGTGGTTTGGTGGTGGCTTCCCATTCACCCTCAAGTGCCAGGGGTTCAAATCCGCAAACCACCAATCCAGACCACCAATTGGATGTAATTTTTAATTAGGGACCCATTGATGGACGTCAAATTCGGTGAGGACTCATGTGCGCGATTGTTTGTTTGCAGTTCCCCATGAAAATTCCCGGCTAGGTTCCCCTTAAAGCGGCCCTGGATTGAGTGGTTGAATGCATTTTGCCACCAACCGCTTGAAGTGGCAGGGCACTTAGTAAGCGAGTAATAACCACGGCGATAACCCACAAAAGCCATCTTTATAAGTCTCCGTTCAGTGGGTGATAGCCAGGCTGACTAACCACTTCCTCTCTGTACCCGATCGCCCCTTCAAGTCTGGGCTTCAAGAGGGTATGGGTCAAGACTAAACCTCTAGGGACAACAGGTTTTAGTCCACGATTCCATGTACCAGGCCAACCCATTTTGGGGCTACCCGAAATTTTTGACCCACACCCAAAGAACATCCAAAGATGTCGTGGGGTCCACATCCATTTAGGCGCCTCCTTCGAGGCTTTGAAAGGCTAAATTCCAAGGCTCCAACGCGGAGGACTCCTGGCGCGCCTTCACCTGCAAGTCTCGATGGCAGGGCTCCGGTGTGAGGTTTTCGTGAGGGAGGGAGGGAGGGAGGGAGGGAGGGGAGCAAAAGAGAGAGGGAGCGGGAGAGCGAGAGAGATAGAGAGAGAGAGAGAGAGAGAGAGATGAAGAGGTGGGGTGGGGGGGGGTGGACACCCTTTTCATGGGTTTTATCGCCGGGGGGGGGAGTGTTTTTGGTACCCTTTGTGAGGTTCGCACAGCCTGTCAGTATACCACCCCATGTACTGTAGATTGATATGTACATGTTGTTCTTGCACTTGTCGTCTCTGCAAGATATGAACCCAAGCTTCCACCAATCCCGAATTGAGTTAATATGCAAAAAAAAGAAAGAAAAAGAAACAAAACAGGAGGATACACCCCTACACAATAAGTCAAAATGTGAAAAGCCTTGAGTCTTGCCATGCTAGTGCTATGGAAAATGGAACACCATGGTATGGATGCTGATCCAGGGGTTGATCGGCAAACATCTTCAGCTGTTGGCAATGCCCTCGAATGGCAGCAGCTTCCATGTCTTGGTGTCCTTGGGGTGTTGCCCAGCTGAGCAAGCTGCATGACAAGCACGGCTACGAAGCTCAGAAGGGCACCCAGGATGGTCACCAGCTTCGAATGCCCTTGCAGCAAGTAGTCCAGGCAAAAGCCCGCCAGCATGTGCGAGGCAGTAATCACGGTGGTGACAACAGCAGCGGAACAAGTCTGAGATGCGATGGCACCAAAAATGGTGTCGAAATGCAGGATCACTGGAAGGCTGAGCAACAGCAGCACGCTTTGAGGGCGCGCACCTTCCATGGATTGAAACCTTCCGCTGGGCACGCGGACGATGAAGCGCAGCGTCCAACTGAAGATCCACATGGGGAGCAAGTTGGCGGTACACAAAAACGAAGGATTGACGTCCCGGACCTTCCCGCAGTCAGAAAGGCACCCATGACGAAGGTCACAGGCTCCCGCGCCAGCGTTCCCAGCACCACCGTTCCCAGCGAGGCCACGATGGAGTCCGCGCTGCGGAAGGCGGCGATGGAAGCCAAGTAAGCCAGCGAGGGGCTTGTGCTCAAGAACCCGTTCCCACTGCCGCACACGCGGCACTACCCACCTCATGTCAGGAGAACTCGCAGGGCCATGCCACCGCTGATACGTAATTTTGCCAAAAACCGAGCAACGCTGCGCTTCTGATGAAAAAGTAAGGCCAACGACAGACGACAGCTGCTGGTTGCTGGCGATCACTGTGCCCAACCGGGAGCAACCCAATGCCGCCGCAATGCGCTCCGCTTGCCTAGCCTTTCGGTATCCATGGCTAACGCAACTGAGCTGCTATTCCAATCGTTGCGCTACCATATCTACGTATACATATTGTGATCATATATCCACAAGTTAGTACATACATACATGCCATAATTATACATGTTATATGTACTTGCATAATCACATCGTTCCGGGAAGGACACCCCACCTCTTTCAACCGCATTTGTCAGGCCTTTTTCAAAAGAAAAGAACAACGCAAATGGAGCTCCTGCTGTTGTGGGGTCCAAATCCTGGCAGGAACGGGCCTGTTCCAAGTACCCAAGGTAGACTTGAAAACGAGTGCTTGGTTTCGCCGCCGAAAAAAAGGAATCAATATCGGGTCAGGAAGGACCTTGGGTAGGCGACCAACATGTGCGGCCAAGCTGTAGCTGTTGATAAGCCCCAAAGCGGAGTTGACCTGTCATCAGTGGGTCATTGCCTGTGGTGGGCTGAGCGATTGGGAGATTCAGCTGGGGCTTCTGCGGTTTCGCCACAGAAAGTACCGATGGTTCCCCAAAAGGACATGGGAAATTTTGGGGGTCTCAACCCCTGATATGCGTGGAAAACTTGGACTGACCCCCTCCCCCATGTCCGCCCCAAACCAACTAAGCTACCAAAAACGTTCTGAGCTACAGGAATAAAAAAATGAGCAGTCCATGTCTTTTGGGAGTCTCGCTGTGTGATCGAGCCAGTACCTCAAGCAATTCCTCCCAGGGTTCTGCTTGCCACTTTTGTCTCCTTCATGGCGCCAGGCTTTTAAATCCATGCCTGGAGAGAAATGGAACGGAACTAGACCTGCAAGCGCTCGCAGGATTTGGAATTACCCTGCCCCCAAACACTCGTCACTCCAACTTGGAAGGCCTATTTGAACAACTCCGAATTCTCATCCGGCAGGAGGCAGGGTACGGTCTCGAGAGCTACAAACGGCTATCTACCATTGACCTCCAGGTCGAGGCCTGCCCAGCCTGGCCGCGATTCACCACGTGCCCGGGTTCAAGCCGCAAACCAATCCAAACCACCGATTGGATGTAACAATTTGAATGAGGGACGCCTTGGTGGACGTCAAATTCGGTGGGGGTTCACGTCGGCCAACCACTGAAAACCGGCCCGGGGTTTAGTTGTTGAAACCGATTTTTGCCAGCAACTTGCCTTGGAAGGCTTCAATCTCGCCACAAACTTCGCGTTGGACAGGATGCCCTCCACCGTCTGCGCCACACATTTCTGCACGTTTTCATAGACCGGCTTGGACTTCCAAAACGTCTCCACCTCCTGGGCCTTTTCTTCGGTGACGAAGCCCCCGCAGATTCGGACCATGTTCTGAAACATCATCATGGACGCGGTGCCTGAGGGGAACATTGATAACACCCTGGTCCCCTGTGCAACGAAAACCAAACCAAGGGGCTCAAGCCATGGTTTACATCCCCCCCCCCGAAAAATAGAGAAAAAAAAGAAAAAAAGAAAAAAAACGCATGAATGCTGACTTGGGTTGGTGCATGCCAACTGCGCCTATCTTCTCATAGATCTGGTCGTACTCTTTCTGGATCCACGCAAAGGCTGCTTCTGCGCCGGCTGTACCGGAGCCAGCCATGACCATTGGGATGTAGATGAGGTCCTGGGACCTCACTTTGGTGAGGTTGAACTCCAGGGCGCGCTGCCTCGCGGATTTGGGGACGCTTTAGGGGAATCCTTGGAATCTGGCGCTAGGTTTGGTGGCCCTCTCTGACTTTTCTTGGAAATGCCGTGCAGTGGGCTGGGTGGGGCAAAATATGGTTTGAACACCACCTTTACGCGGGAAGAATCATCATAACCAGTGGTTTAAACATGTTTAAACCAATGGGTGGTCCCACCCAAGCAGCGGGTCCCGCCTCTGCTGAGCGCTGGACACGCTGCCCAGGGCCCGGTAGATGTGGACCCGGGCTGCGCCGTCTGTGACCACGTCGTGGGCCTGCAGCAGCGCGTCGAAGATCGCGGCCTCGCTCTGCACGGCGACGGACAGCACGGCCAAGCGCACGTCCGCGTTGAGCACCTGAGACGGACGAAGCATCTCTAGGACGCGGCTAATGGTTTGTTCCGAGAAAACATCCCCCATGTCTCTAGATCAGCCATAGACGCATTTTGGACCCAAGGTTAAAGATACCAAATGGGTGTGCCTCTGTTTTAGGGGACCTCCAAACTAGTGGTTCTCCTGTTGGTCTCCATTCAAAACCACACAGCCACCCAAAGTCCCTGGACCTTTCCAATGACTCGTTTATCGCGCTCAAAGGAGGGTGAGAGGACCCATCTTCGTTTGGCTCGGCGCCTCAGGGTTCGTGGGCTCCGCCACGAAGGCCCTGCACCTGGCCACCGCCTCTGCGGCCACCGAGCCCTCGGCGCAGTAGGACGCCACGGCGCCGAGCACCGCGGTTCGCAGCTTCTTCCGGTTCTCCGACTCCGAGGCGTCCGGCTCCCAGCCCACCGCCTGCGAAAAAAGGCACAGGCATAGAACTTTTAGATGTTTTTAGAATTGAGTTCTAAAAAATATAAAACTTCTAAAAATCGGAGGTGTCCTTTTGGGTTGAAAATAGATGAGTTTCCCTGGGAGTTGATTGAACCACCAGGTGAACCAGGAATCGCCCTCTAGTTTTCGCCTAAATCAACCAAGAAGGATACGTATGGGCACAGAGCAGCTTGGCGCCGAAAAAGACGGGCATCCATGAGGGGAAGTGCCCAAAAGTGCATTCCAATCCAAGTGCCTTCCAAGAAAAGTCATTCTCATTTTTGGCATCAGCCAGCCCGAAACCGGGCCCAAAACGGCCCAAAACGACTTGTCGGGGGAGCAAATTCACCTGGAAGGCCGGCTTCACCAGGCTGGCGCAGAAGGCCTTGAAGGCCTTCGCGATGTCCTCGCGTTTCGCGGTTCGTTGAACCAACCCGAAAACGGGCGGGCCGGGGCGCAATCGGAAGGTTGCGCCCGAAACGCCAGGCGCCCAACGAGTAACCGATTCGGGGCTGCGTACACACTACAAGTTGGGAGAATCCGCCATCCGTGATATCAGAGCAGCTGATTCCCCTCACTAGTGATGAAAAGTCTCAGGGTTCCCTTGGCTCAGAGCTGGCCTCAAAATCCCAATTGGAGTTTGTTTCTTCGAAATAGGGGGCACCTCCGTAAATGGTAGTTTCCTTTTGGTTTCCCTTACCTTTTGCAAGCCCCTCCAAAAAATCTCAACCCTTGTCCTCGTCCAAGCCGCAGATGATCTTCTCCAGGCTGCCCAAACAAGACACGAGCTGCTCGAAGACGTTCTCGTTCAGCTCGCCCTTGAAGCCACCCAAAAGATCCACCAAGAAGTTGGGGTCCTGGGCCCCGGCTTTGCCTCAGATGTATCTCATCCCAAACATCCCAAACCACCTTCGCGTCATGAAGGCGTGCGCATCCTCAAAACACCTCTCTTCCTCTGTTTCTTTCAAGGGGAAACTGCCGGAAAACGGTCACTTTGGACAAAAAAAATCGAAATCCCATTTCTTGTTTCAAGGGGTCAAGAACTGCCGGAAAACGTCGCTTTGGACACAAAAAAAAAAGTCGAAATCCCATCTCTTGTTTCAAGGGGTCAAGAACTGCCGGAAAACGTCGCTTTGGACACATAAAATTCCATATCTCATTTCTTGTTTCAAGGGGAAACTGCCGGAAAACGGTCACTTTCGACACATAAAACTCTCAAAATCCCATCCTTTATGTCAAGGGGTCAAGAACTGCCGGGAAACGTCGCTTTAGACACATAAAATTCAAAATATCATCTCTTGTTTCAAGCGGAAACTGCCGGAAAACGGTCACTTTCGACGCATAAAACTCGAAATCCCATCTTTTAAGGGTTCAAGAACTGTCGGGAAACGTCGCTTTGGACACATAAAATTCAAAATCCCATCCTTTATTTCAAGGGGGCAAGAACTGCCGGGAAACATCGCTTTGGACGCATAAAATTCAAAACCCCATCCTTTATTTCAAGGGGTCAAGAACTGCCGGGAAACGTCGCTTTGGACACATAAAGCTCAAGATCTCATCTTTTGTTTCAAGGGGGCAAGAACTGCCGGGAAACGTCGCTTTGGACACATAAAATTCAAAATATCATCTGTTTTTTCCAAGGAATCAAGAACTGCCGGGAAACGTCGCTTTGGACACATAAAATTCAAAATATCATCTCTTGTTTCAAGGAGAAACTGCCACAAAAGGGTCACTTTGAACACATAAAGCTCAAAGTATCATCTTTTTTCCAAGGGGTCAAGAACTGCCGGGAAACGTCGCTTTGGACACATAAAATTCAAAATATCATCTGTTTTTTCCAAGGAATTAAGAACTGCCGGGAAACGTCGCTTTGGACACATAAAATTCGAAATCCCATCTCTTGTTTCAAGGGGTCAAGAACTGCCGGAAAACGTCGCTTTGGACACATAAAATTCGAAATCCCATCTCTTGTTTCAAGGGGTCAAGAACTGCCGGAAAACGTCGCTTTGGACACATAAAATTCGAAATCCCATCTTTTGTTTCACGGGGTCAAGAACTGCCGGAAAACGTCGCTTTGGACACATATAATTCAATATCTCATTTCTTGTTTCAAGGGGAAACTGCCGGAAAACGGTCACTTTCGACACATAAAACTCTGAAATCCCATCCTTTATGTCAAGGGGTCAAGAACTGCCGGGAAACGTCGCTTTGGACACATAAAATTCAAAATATCATCTATTCTTTCAAGCGGAAACTGCCGGGAAACGTCGCTTTGGACACATAAATATAAAAATCCCATCCTTTATTTCAAGGGGTCAAGAACTGCCGGGAAACGTCGCTTTGGACACATAAAATTCAATATCTCATTTCTTGTTTCAAGCGGAAACTGCCGGAAAACGGTCACTTTGGACACATAAAATTCGAAATCCCATCTTTTGTTTCAATTGGTCAAGAACTGCAGGGAAACGTCGCTTTGGACACATACTGCTGAACGTGAATCAACACATGACAGCCGTTTTTAGATCGAGAAAAAGTGCCTGCAGCAGAGCAGGTTATGAGCCCAAATTCGTGGCGATGTTAGCTCGACGCCGCAATGGCAAAGGTCGAGGAGAAGGTGGCCCGGGAACTCCTGAAGGGCAAGGACCGGAGCCGCTGCCGCTGATGGACGTGGGCCAGGCGGAGGACACTGGGGCCACGGAGGCGGTGGATCAGGGGCAGGAAGCCCGAGGTGAAGAGAGAGGCCGGTCTGGGCCTGCGAATGGATCGCCGGCGGAAGCCCCCGGACTGGAGCTCATCGGCCAGGAGGTGGTGGTGCTGCAGAACTTGGACGCGAGCAGGACCCCGGCGACAAAGGGAACGGAGGGTACGATGATGCCGAGGAGGTTGTGGTCTACGGCGGTGGCATCAGCGCAGAGAAATCCGTGGGCTGCAGCAGGTGAACCTAGAGGAGGCGAAGGTCAGGATTCTGGGGAGCATCCACAATGGGGTGGAGGACCGCAGGGTGACCCGGTGGTCTATGGGCCACTCTTCACGCCGGAGCAGCTGGAGTACCTGGAGAGGTGGGACAGGCCGGGCGGGCTGGTGAATCTGGGTGGCCGGAAGGCCGCAGCAGAGCCGAGTCTGAAAAGGCCGGAATTTCTGGAACTTGAAGATGGAGCACTTCGAGCGGGACAAGGAGAAGGCGCGCGACAAGTGCCACGGCCCGATCGGATGCAGGAGTACCTCATGATGGAGATCCAGAGGCTTCGAGCAGAGAATGACAAGCTCAGGAAGGGCAACCAATCGGAAGAGACCTATGCGACACCGGACATGCAGGTGGAGAAGCGAGGTGCTGGACGAGCACCGGATCAGGGACATCCTGAAGGCAAACCTGCGGAACGAGGTCAAGGGCAAGCGGCGGAATCTTCGGAGGAGCTGATCAGGGAAGATCAACCTCAAGATGGAAATGCGCACCTTAACCTCATCCTGAAGCTCATGGAGGGCATGCAACAGATCCAAAAGAAGATCCTGGACAATGGTCATGGAGGCGATGAGGTGAACGCGGAGGTGGTAGATTTGCCGATGTTGCCGGATCTGAGCGCGGACACCGGCCCAATCGACCTTCAGGACTGGCTCACCATGGTGGGTCCGGTGATGGCGGATCTTTCTGACACCAGTCAGGAGTGGTGGGAGTTGATGCTCAAGCACACGAAGAGCTGGTACGACAAGTACATGACGGAACCCCCAATGCAACGGCTGTTGTTGACTCCGACGGCCCCTTTGGAGGTGAGTAATGGGAAATGGAGAAGGGTGGAGCGCCGCGCGGTGACGTTGCTCATGAAGGCCCTTCCGGACCAGGTCAAGGAGGAGCTGATCGCGACCAAGAGCTTGGATGTATTCTCCTTGGTGTGCAGATTGATGCTGCTGTACCAGCCGAGGAGTGGCAGAGAGGTCGTCGATCCTCAAGAACTTGGAGCAGCCGCAGGAGGCGGCGACTATTCAGGCGGCGGTTCAGGGGATCAGGAGATGGCTGAGGTGGAAGCGAAGGGCTGAAGAAATCGGGGTTTCCTTGCCAGACCCTTCGGTCCTGAGCAGAGGATTGCATAGGCTCACCAAGAAGGTGTTGGAGGGCAACAAAGACCTGAGCTTCAATATCAGCCTGGCCAGATCAACTCTGCAGGTGGACACCGTACCCAACTACGGCACGTTCAGCACCTACTGCGAGCACCTCTTGTCAGAGCTTGAGCAGCTGGTGCACACGGAGAAGAAGACGGTCAAGGCTCTGGACTACGACGGAAAGATCAAGAAGTTCGAGGGAGTCGGACAAGCATCGGGTGGTGGAGGTGGAAAAGGCTGGGAAGGGCGGTCTCCTAAGAAAGAAGGGGATGTGCGAGAAAGGAAGCCCTGCCAGTACTACCTCACGGATGCTGGATGTAGGAGAGGACGGCAATGTACGTTCAGCCACGAGGCCAAGGACGAGAAGAACCGGTGCTACGAGTGTGGAGCGGTGGATCATTACCGCAAGGACTGTCCGAGGAAGCAGCAGGACAAAGAGGGTGGCAACCGGACCGAGAAGTCGCCCAGCAAGATTGCCAAGGTGACGGAGGTGGATGATGAACAGAGCAGTCATCAAGGAGAAGATCAAGCTGAGTCCTCAGGGGCGACATCGTCAACGTCGAAGGGGAACGCCAAGAACGCTAAGGACGCTAAGGAGGGTGACGGGCTGCAATCGGTGCTGGAAGAAGCCGGGAAGATGCTCCGATCCCTCAACATCAAGGCGGCAAACTTCGACGGGGCGCGATGATAGAGATGTGAGGCTCAACGACTTGCAGAAGCAGTTAGACCAGATGAAGAGGTTGAGAGCCTTGAGGTTCGTGAAGGTGTCGAAGATTGACTACCTGCCGGAGTACGGGTTGCTGGACTCGGGGGCGACGCATGCTATGCGAGGAGTATGCGGGGCAGATGATTGGCAGAGCCTTGAAGAGATCCAGGTCGAGCTGGCGCTGCTGAGGATGACAGCAGGGAAGGTGATCGTGCATGAGGATGACAGAGTGCAGCCTATCGTTCCTCTTGGGATGCTAGTCGAGAAGCTGGGCTGCGAGGTAAGGTGGAGCAAGAAAGGGGCTTGCAAGTTGAGGCATCCGGTGATGGGTGAGATTCAGGTCCGGATGAACGCGGGATGCCCAGAGGTAGAGAAGGAGGTTGCGCTGACTCTCATCAACGCCCTGGAGGAGCTGGAGGTGAGAGAGAACGCGACGGTGAAGAAGATAAATGAGGAGAGCCTGGTGGTGAACTTGGCAAGAGACGAGGAGGTCTTCCAGGGCGTCCCGGTGGAGATCATGGAGAAGGTGGTGGTTCGGCCGGCAAAGGATTTGAGCGGGATACCACTGAATCGATCCCGGAGGAGGAAGCTCTTGGATGGCTTCGTGCTGCACCTCTACGCGGGGGAGGATGACGGCTACACGCTGGGGAGAGCGCTCAAGGAGGTTGGCGGGGACAAGACTCGCTTGGTGGAGATTGACGTGAAGCGAGGACCTCGGCATGACATGATGGAGGACGACCTCTATGCCTCCTTGATGCACGCAGCGATGAGTGGCCTGATCTTGGGAGTGGTCGGTGGGCCGAACTGCAGGACGAGAAGCGTTTTGCGGCACTACCCACTTCCGGCGGGTCGACCAAGGCCGGTGAGGAGCTCGGATCCGGAGCACTGGTTTGGGTTGCCGAACTTAGACCCGGAGGAAAAGACTCAAGTGTGGGAGGACGACGTGCTTCTGTACCGCATGGTGATGATCTTCTGCGCGGCGGAGGAAGGTCGGAAGAGATGTGCATCCTGCAGCTCTGAGAAGAAGCGGGTAGCTTTCCTTCTGGAGCAGCCGGAGGCCCCGGACTATGTGCCAGAGTGTGGGTCCTGGTGGAGGACAGACAGCTATAAAAGGCTGAAAGATGATCATGGGCTGATGGAGTACCGGTTCCGGCAAGGGGACTATGGAGGTGCTGCTGTCAAGCCAACAATGGTGGCCACGAACCTACACCTGGAGATGCCGACAGCCAGATCCACGACGGCACGGACAAGGAGTGAAGCGCCGGTGAAGTCGTCAACGGATTTGTCAAGGTGGGCCCCAGGCATGATGAGGGAGGTCGCCCGGGCGATGCAGGAGGAGGTGTTCGGGAAGCCAGCGAGGAATTGCAAACTGAGTTGGCGGGAGCACCTGTTGCACGGGCATACCCCTTTCAGGCGGGACTGCCGGGTCTGTCAGGAGGCGTCTGCTCGGGGAAGGAGGCATTGTAAAATTGCCTATCCGGAGGCGGCGGTGTTGAGCTTGGACCTCAGCGGACCGTTTCGTCCGGGCAAGGACATCAACGATGCCACGGTGAGCTACTTCCTCATCGGAACGTACACTTGGCCCGTGGAGGAGGAACCAGGGAAACCGTTTCCGGAGGAGGAGAAAGATAAGGAAGTGAAAGAAGAGGACCTCCCGGTGATCGAGGAGGGCATCCAAGAAGAAGAAAGAGCTGAGGAGCCGGATCGTGGGGAACCAGATCAATGAGACGACCGTGGTGAAGGGAAGGGAGATGAGGAGATAGCAAGGGAGGAGTGTGGAGAGCCAAGACCACTCAAGGTTATTGTGAAGGTGATCCCGCTGCCAAACAAGAAGGCGAAGACGGTTCTGGAAGGCATCCAGGACATCTACATCCAGTTGAAAAGGCAGGGGTATCCTGTTCAACGGCTTCACACGGACCGCGGAAAGGAGTTCCTCAACCATGACCTTCGGAGCTGGTGTCTCGTGAGGGAGGTAGCAAAAACCACGACCAGCGCAGACTCCCCGCAGGAGAACGGAAGGGCAGAAGCCTGCATTGCTAGCTTGAAGAGCAAGGTGAGAAGGCTGCTACGAGGGGCCGAGATGGACGTGAAGTTCTGGCCCATGGCGGCAAGGTATGCGGTAGTGGCGGAAAAAAAGAGAACGAAAGGAGAAAAGATGGTGGCGGCGTTTGGGGAGGAGGTTTGGGTCCCAAAGAGGTCATGGAAGAAGTTGAGTGATCCATTCGGTCCAACTCATGAGAAGGCGCGCTACCTGGCGGAGGTCCCAGAGGTGACGAAGGGGCATGGAATCCTTTGGCAAGATGGCAAGGTGGAGGTGGTATCCAAGGTGATCACTGGGGTGAGAGAGCCTCGAGATGAAGAGGTGGATGCCATCGATGATCATCGAGTTAGGAGGAGGATCAGAGGGAAAAGAGCTGCAGAAGAAAGAGATGAGGACCGAAGAAGGCTAGAAGCGCTTAGGCAGGTCATTTATGAGGAGCAGCTAGCGGTGGAAAAGGATGAAGGAGAAGTGCTTGGAGTTACGGCCGTGAAGGTTCGGGAGTTGCAGAAGGAGGAGGAGAAGTTGATTGAGGAGCTTCCGAGCGCAGAAGAACGGCAAGTTCTCCAAACAAGGATGGTGGGACAAGCAGAAGTGATGAAGAATCGTGAGGAGTGGCTGCCGGCAATCAAGGCTGAGATGCAGTCGCTGCTGGAAGAGAAGAAGGCGGTGAGGATCGTGAGTCAAGGGGAAGCCAAGGCCATGATGGAGGACCCCAAGATCAAAGTGGAGGTGATGCCTGGAAAAATGGTGACCACCATCAAGGCGCCGGCCGGAAAGAAGAAGTGTCGGTTGGTGAGTTGTGGAAACTATGCAGAGGGTGGTGGTAAGGAGCAGGAGGCGGGTGGCTCAGACGCTATGTCGATACGGACGGCAACGAAATATGCCGCGGAGAGAGGGTGGGCTGGCATGGTCTTGGACATCAAGACCGCTTTCCTCAATGCCCCCCTGCAGTCGGTGATGAAGGAGGGCCAGGGCGCCAAGGTGGTTTTGATGAGGCCGCCAGCGATTTTGGTGCAGCTTGGACTGTGTCGGCGAGATGAGTTCTGGGCGGTGGAACAAGCTCTATACGGACTCAGAGAATCGCCAAAGCGGTGGGCCAACTTCAGAGATGAGCGTGTCCGTGACATGGAGTGGAAAAAAGAAGGAAGAGTATTCTGGATGGATCAGTCGATTGCGGATCCCAACGTCTGGAAGGTGCTCTCAGAGATGGACACTGGTGAGGCTACGACGCGGAGTTCCTCTACGGCAAGATTGGGAGGAGCAGGGAAAAGCACGCGTCTTGAAGGCGTGGTCGTGGTCTATGTGGATGACATCTTGGCGTATGGAGAAGAAGGGCTGCTCGAGGACTTTGCCCGCGAGATAAGCGCGATGTGGGAGACGAGTCAGCCGGAAAAGATTGAGGAGGCACCAAGGTTCGTTTTTGCGGAATGGAGATATCAAGAACCGCGAGAGGGTTCTACTTGGGGCAGCAGGCCTACATCCAGGAGGTCCTCAATAGGAACGGTGGCGGTGGTCATGGGTCTGCGTTGCCGATCACCCGCGAGATGACGGAACTCCCGGAGGAGGAAAACGTTCAAGCCGGGGATGTTCAGGCGGCGCAAAGGGCCGTGGGAGAGATCCTCTGGCTAACCACAAAGACGAGGCCAGACCTGATGTATGTCACGAGCAGAATGTCCTCGGCGGTGACCAAAGCGCCGAAGTGGGTGCTGCAGCTGGCGGCCCAGGTGTGGAAATACCTTCAGAAAACGAAGGAGGTTGGTCTGTGGCTGGAAGCAGAGGTGGGCACCGGTGAGTCTGGCCTGGAGGAGAGGAGAATTGAGGTCTTCACGGATGCCTCCTTCTCGCCGGGTGGCGGTCTTAGCCATGGATCGGTGGCGGTGCTGTGGAATGGTGGGGCTATCGCGTGGAGAAGTTCAAGGCAGAGTTTTCTTACCATGAGCACGGCGGAGTCCGAGTTGGCGGAGTGTCTGGAGGGCATCGTGATGGGCGAGAGCGTGGAGGCGCTCGTGGCCGAGATTGAGGAGGCGGCGGGCAACCACTACGTGAGGCAGCTGCTGACGGACAGCTCTTCGGCGATGGCAATAGCTTCGGAGGGGAGCGGTAGCTGGAGAACAAGGCACTTGAGAGTGAGAGCTTTCAATCTCAGGTGGAGGTTGGAAGATCAGAGCTGGAGTATGCATCACGTCCCTGGTATCCGCATGCTGGCCGACATGGGGACGAAGGCACTCAGCGGAAAAAGGATGGAAGAGCTGAGAGCGCTTTGGAAGCTGGAAGGGCTTGAGAAAAAGGAGGCCGAGAACCAGGACCAGCTGGGAGAGCAGGGGAGGGACTTCGTCCAGGAGGAGATGACCGTGGAGAACTCTCTGAGCAAGATCAAGGTGAACCTCGCGAAGGAGCAGAAGAAGTGCGAGGGCAAGAAAGCGCTTGGTGAAGTGGAAGTGGCGACAGGAGTGGTCCGCGTGATCACCGTGGCCAGCCTTATTTCCCAGGCGCAGGCGGTGAGGGAGAAGCTAGAGGAGAATGGAGATGAGGAGGATGAGTCGCTCAAGGCATTGATGGTCATGGTGAGCGTGTTGTCAATTGTCCTCTTCAAGTTGATGGAGATGATGTGTGAGAGAAAGGTGGCCCCGAGGGTGAGAGCCCTGAGGGGGATATGGGCGGACCCAACCCGAGGCGAAGAAGATGATGCGTCTGGAAGTGAGCAAGAGCTGACAAGAGATGCAAGGTCTTCGACGTCGGATTCACGGCGACCGAGACCTACTTCCGTGGCGTCTTCTGTGGTGGAGTCGGCTGGGAGTGGGTCAGATGGGTCTGGAAAAGGAGGTGCATCATCGGCGGCAAGGCCAACGTCGAGATATGAGCCGGAGTTCGAAGAGGCGGAGACCTCGTGGGGAAGGACAACAACGGCAAGAACATCTACGTTCGGAACGAGCGCTACTACACGAAGGGGGGGGCCTTCAACCAGGGGATCGTCATCGGCAGGATCAAGCGCAGCTATGCTTGGGGCGGTTCCAAAGAAGGGAGCTTCAAAGGGCCAGAAAGGGAAAGCGAGGCAGCGGGAGAGCACGGTGCAAGCAGATGATCCTGACCAGGAGAGTGATGGGGAGAGTCTGCCGACGGAACCGTCGATCTTCCATACCGGACAAGGGGAGAGGTACCACTTCCGACTGAACTGTTATGGATTGCGAGACGGGCGAGGAACACGAGAGAAGTTGCCATGCCCAAGGTGCTGTACCCCCGATGCCCGGCGGCTGATGACCACGCTCTACGGGGAGCTTCACATCGGAACGGAGCCCGGCCTCTATCACATGGTGAGGCGATGCGCTGGCGAGAGGTACTTCACTTTGACGACCTGCCGGTGCTGTATGACGACCCCTTGAAACAAGAGATGATATTTTGAATTGTATGTGCTCTGCTGCAGGCACTTTTTCTCGATCTAAAAACGGCTGTCATGTGTTGATTCACGTTCAGCACTCCTCCCAGGTGCATTCCTTCTTTGGTTGCACCTGTCTGTACTCAAAACTACCGCTCAGAACTGCCGGGAAACGGCGCTTTGGACACATAAAATTCAATGTCTCATTTCTTGTTTCAAGGGGTCAAGAACTGCAAAACAACCATCGCTTTGGACGCATAAAACTGAAAATTTGGTTCAAGGCGATGGCTCAGACAACGAACCAAGCTGCAAATGGCGAAGGTGTCCGCCAGCAAGCCGATCCGATCTTCCGCGCTGAGGCAGCCGAGGTTCTGAACCAGGCGTCTGAAGAGACCTGCGCACGTAGGGGGTCTTAAAAGAACCTGTCTCTCCAGGGGTTGATTCCTTTTCCATTTTCAACCATCGTTCGCTTCCAAAACCGGATCTGTTTCCCCTGGGTTTTTAAGATGGTTTCCTGAAAGATTCGGATCCCTGGAAAGAATGGAAATGGAAGGTACCCCTAGAGTCCTGGAGGCTCCCCAAACAAAACACACCAAAACCCCTCAGACAGAATGAACACAACCAAAAAAGGAGAGGAACTGAACAGAACCAGAGAACCCAACCAAAAAGGCTTGCTGAGAACAGTGAAGAGACTCTCCGGGTAGAGCACCCGCAGCGGCACATGCTGGCCATAGTTCACCTTCAGTAGCTTGGCGCCGTCCAAGTTGCACTCCACTTTGCCCACCTCAGGCTCATGAAAACATATTGACATCGAGAATCTGTTTGGGAAGCATTTGTTTCAGGGAAACTCCTCAGGGAATGAGTCGGTCCCGGTGCCCTTTGCCTGGTAGCCTGCACACATGCACGTGTATAATTCGGTTGCCCACCTTCTGCTCCAAGAAGGAGACCGGCGCCAGCTGTTGGTCGGTGCCCACGAGGATCGGACAGAACCACACCGAGTTCTCGTCCTCCGCTTCCCTGGAGCCATCGGCCAAGAACCAGCTCTGCTTCAGCTCCAGCGGACCACCCGCAAAGGGATCACTCAGCACCTCCAACCTCACTGAGCTGCGTGTCTTCAAAAGGAAAGCCACGTGGCTCGTCATGACAAACCAACTGGAAGGCAGGTCGCCAACCATAGCTAAGTAGGCAAGAGTATGCCACAGAAAAAGGGCTGCCGGGCAATGTTCACAGAAGCAGCTCTGCACAAGTTTCGCTGTTTAAGTTGCTCTGGCACGAGAACCCTTCGCAATGCTTTCACAAGAAAGTGACAAAAAGGGGGCAAAAAGGGAAAGACAGGGCCTTGGTCACTGGATTTCTCCTTGAAAAGATGCAATTGACTGGTGGTTTCCGTTGAGCCGATCGCCACGAAACAAGGAGGCTCCAAGAAAAAGGTTGGACATGGAGTAACCCCTTTGCCATGGAGTGACACCTTTGTAGAGCCAAAAATGCTCAGCGCTGCTTTTTGTTGCAAGGCAACAAGGGGAAGCCCATCCGAGCTCATCATCTCGTCCACGGGCTTCCCGGAGACCTCCTTCCAGGCCTTCCACAGATCCGTGGTGCGAGTGTTCCCGTACTTGTGTCGCTCGAAGTAGAGCTGCAGGCCCCTCTGGAAGTCCTGACAGCGCATGGCAGAATCTGCTTTTAGGGGACCCTGATTCTTGAGTTCCATGAGAAGTTGCAGGGAAGTAAAGCACGAAAGCCGAAATCTGGTCTACTGCACCCCCACCGTCAACATAGAACATGGCATGGAAGCAAGGAACATGACTGGCTGACGGAAGGATTGCTCTGAATGACTGGTTGAATGACTTTTGGAATCACAGCCAAGAATCCGGGCACAGCAAGCGGAGGATGATTGAAAAAAATGTGTTGTGGCCCGGCGCTGGTGCCACAAAACAAGTTGGACCACCCGCCCACAGCCGCCCGTGGGACGAACTCCATTTTTTGGTGTTTTTGTGGCTGAACTCCATCTGTTGGTGTTTGTTTGTGCTTGGTTGCTTTTTAGGTGGGGGGGGGGGGGGTGGGCGGGGGGGGGGGATGACTGAGTCACTTCTTCGAGTTCAAGAACATCATTATTTCCTGTTTTTGTGGGGTGTGTGGTGTTCTTTGTTGGTGTGCCGAGCTGTCTTGTTTTGCTGTAGCTCCTTGTGCCCAAACCATGGTGTCAGAAGACGTTTGTCTGGCACTTGCCTTCATCATCTTGCTGCGTTTAGCTGGCATCTCGCATTGCTACTCCACACACTCGGCGCTGGGTCCTCTTTTCGCTGTCTGGCTGCCTTGCTTTGGACGTCGCGTGTCTTGTGTCTGCCGTCGGTGTGCCCACATAGGTTTCCGCTTGACTTTTCCGCTTTAGGCGCGTACGTTCCTTGATTGTGGTCCATCTAGCGTGCGCCCTGGGATGGCGCTCTTGCTCTGCTTCCATCGGTGTGGCTTCTGCTTGTTGGGTCTTGTCTCGTCGCTTGTCTGGCTTGCGTCATACCTGCGCAGCCAACCGCCCGCTTCGCCATGGCCCACTCCCCCTCGCCCGGGAATTAACTTTTGGGTGAACAACACGCTAAGGACCCCTCCCCCCCGACCGGATTTTTAAAAAGAAGAATTCATCCTGCGGTTCCCAGACAACACGCGGTCTTGAACATGGCAAACTGCTTGACAAACGATGCTGACAAGGACCCCCCGGCCGATTTTAAAAGAGAATTCATCCTGCGGTTCCCGGGCAACATGCGGTCTTGAACATGGCAAACTGCTTGCCACACGACGCTGACTCCTCAAGAGCCTGTGTGTTGCCTGCAACCGAAGAACCGACAAAGATCTGGCGAATTAACTTTTGGGTGAACAACAGACTACATACCCCTCACCCCCGGCCGGATTTTTAAAAAGAAGAACTCATCCTGCGGTTCCCAGGCAACATGCGGTTTTGAACATGGCAAACTGCTTGACAAACGATGCTGACTCCTCAAGAGCCTGCGTGTTGCCTGCAACCAAAAAAACCGACAAAGATTTGGGGAATTGACTTTACAACAGACTAAAGAGCCCTGCCCCCCGGCCGTTCTTTAAAAGAGAATTCATCATGCACTTTCCAGGCAACATGCGGTCCTGAACATGGCAAAATGCTTGACAAACGATAGTTGGGGGCTGGAAAAATGAGCTTTTGAAAGCAGCGTGCCATTGGGATTTGGAAACGCGAGAAATTCCCCACTGCAGATTTGGCCCTCACGCCTCAGTGCCAAAAAAGTGTCGCCTTTCGGCCCTTGAGGTTTGTGCCAACGGCTTAGGCGAAGTGATGCGACATTGGGAGGGGGACAGTGGGAACAGAATGGCACTTGGCTGTGTCTCAAAATGGACCCCGAACATTGTGGCTTGGCGCATTTCACATGAGGGACAGACAGTGCTCTCCTTTCCCCCCTGTAATTGCAGCTTGGACAGACTGCTCCGAAGCGGGCTACTACGGGCGGTGTACCTAGTTCCCCACCAGCCCCCTAGAAAATGAGCCCTGAAAGTGGTCCAACTCGTCAAAATGGCTAAGGTGTTTAGTCCCAAGCAATCTGTGGCACAAATCTGCAGGACATCACGGAAAAAAGGAAAAAAAAGAGATTGAGATTCAATCCGAAGTGCTTCTCTCTCTTGGGAAAAAGCAGGCGTGCCCGATGATTTCGAATTCCTCACTGCTGGGGGAGAGAGAGACTCCTTGGGCTTCTTGCAAAAGGAGAGGGTTGATCGGGGGCGGACAGGTTGGGTTGGTTGATTTTTCTAACACGTTGCCCTTCTGAGGACAAAAAGGGTTGTAAAGGACCTTTAGTCGGAATTCTTCTTTTGGATTTATAGGAATGGGGTGTTGGGTCCGATTCGACCTCCTTGAAACCATGGTTTAATCAAGGGGTTGGCTCAACCGGGACTCTTTAGTGGGCTTGGGTTGATTGATGTTCTTACATTCCTCCCCTAAAGCGAGTGGTTTCCTTTTGGCTTCTCTGCCCCAAAAGGATGTGACAAAGGACAAAAAGATGGGTTTCCCTGGCACATGGGCCATAAAACCAATGCCTAAACCAGGCTAAAACTGGTTTTTGTCTCTCAAAAAAAAATGGTCCCCCCTCTCAAAAAAAAAAAAAACTCCGGTCTTCCGGTCTTCCTTTTGGCTTTTCCCTTTAAGCCCAGGTTTTTGTCCACCTGACTCTCCCTGCACGTCCTTCTCCCCCAGCACGGAGTAGATCATCCGCACCACGGAGCCCCCCTTGGAGTAGCTGATGGCGTCAAAAACCTCCTCCACCTCCTCCGCGCGCTTGATGGGCACCTGAGACCCGGTGCCCATAGGAGAAAGAAGAAAAAAAAGCGGAGAACGATCCACCTGAGTCGGGTTCTAAGACGTGAAATCCGAACCTTCCGTTGAAGAAAAGGAAGACAACAAAAGAAGGGGAAGAAGAAAACAAATGGATCGATCCACCTGGTTTCTCCCAGCTGATCCGATCAAACAATTCCGTTTGAGAGCCGGCTGGAGGGAGTGAATGTGAACTCGAGGCCTCTTTGGATCGAAGCACACGGCCGGAGCGCGACTGTGCATTTCAACAGAACCTGGAGCTGAGCGCAGAGTAGCTTTCGCGGCGACTTCTTTTCTCGTTTACGCCGGGGACCTCCACATGTGCCAGCGTAAACACCTTCCTACAATACAACTCCCAATCAGAGTCAAAGCTTTCGAGGGGAAATTTCGCGGCAGGACATTCTCTTGGCACTGCGATGCGTTTTCGCAAGCTCTTGCGCCTGCGCTTTGGCTTTCGAGGCTGTGTAAGACATCAGGGTTTAGGGTTTATGGCGCTGCTCTAAAAATAACAACCTCATCCATTGTAAGATAAACGGAAGGAACCAAAAGACCAACGGAAACCCCAAGAAAAGAAAATCCTTTCGAGGAGCGGAGTCTCATTTTGGGAGGAGTCGGCCGTGTTTGGTCGGACATGTTTCGGGGTTGAGCCAAGGTTCTGGAACATTGAGGCCAGAAGTCTCTACAGAAATACCGTGTGCGTTGGCGACGGGAGATGCTCAAAGTCAATTCAAGGAAGTGGCAATCCCTTTCAGGAACCGCTGAAAACCCCAGGTTTGGATTGGTGTCCCATCAGATGAGCCCTAGCCTAGTTGGAGGGTTGAAGCCCCTGGTTGCAGAATCCAATCCAACCACCCAAAGCCACCAATTTGTGTTGACCCCGGATTAACAAACCCCTGTTTATTCATATGGGGGTGGGGGCCCCTCCAGGAGTTGGTCTGCCCATAGTAAAAAAAACAGGGGTTTAATCCAAGCCACCAACTAGAGGCGAACAGATTGCCAAGCACCTGGATGGGATGGCTGCTGCGCAGCGCATCGAGCCGCAAGGCCCGCTGCTGGTCGTCACCCACGTAGGCCTCCCAGACGCCCCACTCGGGGAAGAGGTGGTCCGAGGTGAAGGTCTCCATCCAGTTGGCAAACCCCTCGTTCAGCCACAAATCCTCCCACCACTCCTCAAGACGCCGGGGGGTTCCCACATCTTTATCAAGCTCGAGAAACCGCCTCGAAAACCTTCTAAAACCCTCAAGCCCAAAGAACCCTCCAGAAACAAAAACCGCAGGGTTTCCCCCAGCCCTGAATCCTTGGGAAGCCCAGGCCCAAACACAACCTGCATGGATCAGATACACCAACTCCAAGGAATTGCTCCCAAGATGTCCCTGCCTGTTTTAGATATCACTTGTCGAATCGTTTCAAAAGGAGTTGACTCGGACATACTGGGAACCCCCAATATCTCCCCTTGCCTTTTGACCGGTGTTTGTCAAAGAACCCTCCCTCCTCTGGACATACGAGCAGCGCCCAAAACCCCTTGACTTTTGGTTCTACCACCGGTTATAGTTACACAGGTGTAAAAATAATAATTAACAGGGATTGGGATAATCCCATATAATCCCAAACAAACCAGGCAGCAGCCCCACGCGCCATTAAAAGCGCCAATAAGGCTATGGCCGTCCGGAGCGCCATGGTCACCAGATTGCCAAACCACTGGTGCGCCAGCTCGTGAGCGATGATGCTGCAGATCCGCTGCTTCTGCAGCGCCGACACCGTGGCCTCCTCGCAGAGGAGACATACCTCGAAGGCCGAAAGCAGAAAGCGCCAGCGAGAGGTGGCTGTGGTTGGCAAAACCGGTTTGGGATCCCATTTTGGTTGGTAGGTGAATTCACCACCCATTTTGGAACTGGGATGTTCACTGGGGGTACGATTTGGATTTTGACCCATGGCCAGGTGGGAAGGGAATGAACCCGGGCATTGGTCCCCTAGGAAACAACCGTTTATAGGGGTCATTCCAACTCATTGCCTGAACCAGCTAGGGGTTCTTTCCGATCACCTGGAAAGTTGGAAGGAAACAAACCAAAACGCGGTTCACCAAGTCTTCACCAAGTTGTTTTTCTGGCTGTTGATTTGGAGGGGAAGCAAAAAAGCCCAGTTCACCCATGTTCTTGCGGGTTTGTCAGACCCTAAACGGAGGGTAGCAGTATGTTAGAACCCATGTGGAGTGACCCAATTTAGAAAATCCCCGTTGAGAGAACCAAGCAAAAAGCGGAAAGCGCGCGCGGCGCCAAACCACCCGCTTTGGGGCTCGCACGCGCTTAAAGCGTGCGCTCCCGGCCTCCCGGTAAGTCACCAGGCCCCAATTCTCCATGGCACCGATGGCGAAGTCTGGGATGGCGATCATGTCCATCTTGGGCAGAGGGTACCTCAGCCCAAACTTCCCACAGTTCGGCTACACCTTGACTTAGACCCTTGGATGGTTCTCCTTTAAAGGGCCCCTTTCGTGAAACCTCTGGATTTACCGTGGGACCACAAAGTGGAACCCTGACCTGCCCCCTATTGACCTGGAAGCTACCTCCAGTCCTCTTCACGGCCCGGCTGCGAAACCTCGGCCCAAAAGCGGAAAGAAACCGCGAAGCTCGAGGCGCGGGAGCCCGAAGAACTCGTCGTAGAACTCCAAGGCCCTGGTCACGCGACCAGAAGAAACGTCCTACTGTAACTGCTAGGATTGCCATGAAAAGTGGGCGCACAGTCGGGGAGTCCAATTTACCTTCTTGGAGGTATCGTGGCAAAAGTCGGTGAGTCCAATTCAAGCCTTCTTCACTTTAGAAAGGGGCATCAACCCCTGCCTTACGCAGCACTTCAGCGCGAAGCTGCAGCGCTTGCTGTTGCCCGGGCATGCGTAGATCCGTGCCAGCACCCCGCTCTTGGTGCGAGCAGAGATGAACTCCAGCTCACCCACACAGAAGGCCAAAAGGTACCTCAGGCCAAAAGCTTGTTGATCCACTTAACAGCTTAGACCTTGATCACTCACGAGACTCGACAAGGTCAATTGACTCAAGTTTGTTGGTCCACTGTAAACCTTGCTTAAGCCTAATTGTTGATCCACATGGCCATGGGTCAAAATCCCATACCCCCAGTGAACATCCCAATCCCCACTAAAACAGGTTCTAACATGGGTGGTGCACCTACCCCAACATGGTACCATTGGTCTTGACCCACAGCCACATGTCATCAATCTCTCACTCCAAAACTCAAACTGAGTCAAACCGTACCGAGGCACGTGCTCATCTTCGGAGTGCTCATAAAAGTCTCCTTCTTCCTGCCATCCGCACAGATCTCAAGGCTGCAGGGTGGCATGTTGGACACGGCAGAGAGAAAGGCGGGGTAGATCATCGTGACCCCAAAGGTTGCCTGAAACGGGCTCCGAACTCTGCTGCGGTGTGCATCACTTTGAAGGCCACTCACTGAAGCCAGGACCCCCCTCAAACCCAATGTTCCACTCGAACTTCAAAGATTCAGAAGCGATTGATTCTCTTGGAAATCACAGACCGAACACCCACAATTGCCCCAGGATTCCCACCTTTCGAGCGGGCTCGTCCCAGCAAGGGAAGCAGCGCCGTGCGTCAATGGCCTCAAACTGGGTAGTTGCCATGAACCGCTTCACCCCATTTGCGTCGGTGTACTGGGACCGGTAGAACCCGGCCAGCTGATCATTCCTGGGGACGGATCCCACTCGACCGAGAAAAAGTGACAGCCTTTTGCTGGTTGAAAGGGACAATAGGAAACCACAAGGGCTTCAAGGCGAAAAGTCGATAAAGCTGAGATCTAAGTCTGGCAATGATTCAAGATACCCCGAAACTTGATCTCCAGGATCCCCTTGCCAACTGGCAGAACCTCCCCAAAGCCCAGCTCCGCCGATTTGCTCTTGATCTTCAGGCTGATGGTCTCCGCTTTGCACGCGCTGCCCTCGGAGGGTGTGAAACTTGCCTGCCACAGCACCAGCTCGTGCGCATGCAAGCTGATGCTGTCTGTGGCAACCTGGCGCTTGAAATGCTGCCCGTCAAAAACCTCAGAAAACCTCCTCCGCCAGTTTGCGCTGCTGTGTCGTTTGGGCAAGCGAGAGTGGCCTTTAAACAGCTTGCAACATCTGTAGACGATGTTGTTTGGCCAACGCGCACCTTTACGTCACAGGTGATCTTGACAGAGCCATCGAAGACAAACTTCTCGACATCCGGCTCCAGCGTGAGGTCGTAGTGCTCTGGAAGCACATCTGAGGGAAGCAACACCCGGTCCATGGCAAGTTTCCTGACCCCAAATGGCCTTGGAATTAATTCAACGGATCTCAGGCTCGAGACCCTCTCAGGCCCAGTTCCCTCGCCAAGACCATAGGCATCCTTCTTGGTTGAAAATAGATGGGTTTCCCTGGTAGTTGATGGAATCACCAGGTAAACCAGGAATCGCCCTCTATTTTTCAACCAAATCAACCAAAAAGGACACCTATGGCCAAGACGTTACTTTCTTGTCCAAGAGTGCGACACCAAGCCGCCAAATCGCCAGGCCACACCCCAACCACGGCAGACTTGCAGGGCTGGAGTTACTGGACTGCATGAACATGGGTCACTTCGAGTGCTTGCCTTTTGGTTTTCACTTTGGGGTCCGGTGGTGGCCCTTGAAACCGTGCAGAGGGTCATTTTGAGAATGGCAGTTCAGGCATTGGTCTGGAGTAAGGGAACGTTGACCAAAGTTGGGGCAGTTCAAAACCCCCGGGTACCACCGGGACCGCTCAAGTCGTCCTGGAAAATACCCCCCTCAAATCCATCCGGGGTGTGGGGGGGGATTCGTAACTGCTAGGCTGATTGCCTGGTCCACACTGTATTTCTGGAAGGTAGTCTGGTGACTGCGTTGGCAAAGGGCGCGCCAATCGATTGCCCGTCTTTGCTTTAAGCACCAAGCCGTTTTTTTACATCCTGTTGGGTCCGTCTTTTTCCCAGAAGCATCTCTGATGCTTGGGTTCTGCTTTAGGTTTTCTCTTAAGGTGCCTGGGAGCGATACAAGCTGTGACGACGGAGATAAGAAGGGATTTCCATTTCGTTGTGCTGCAGACCGGGCGTGCGATGCCGGCTGGGGGTGCAGACCGGGCGTACGAGGCTGGCTGGGGGGACGGCGGTGCGGGGCTGGCTGGGGGGACGGCGGTGTGGTGCAGACTGGGTGCGCGAGGCTGGCTGGAAACTGCCCGCGAGCAAGACTGGCTGGCTGGGGGGACGGCGGTGTGGTGCAGACTGGGCGCGCGAGGCTGGCTGGAAACCGCCCGCGAGCGAGACTGGCGCGGTGGACGCTCGTGACATGCGGAAACCGCCCGCGAGCGAGACTGGCGCGGTGGACGCTCGTGACATGCGGAAACCGCCCGCGAGCGAGACTGGCGCGGTGGACGCTCGTGACATGCGGAAACCGCCCGCGAGCGAGACTGGCGCGGTGGACGCTCGTGACATGCGGAAACCGCCCGCGAGCGAGAGACTGGACTGGCGGTGGACGCTCGTGACATGCGGAAACCGCCCGCGAGCGAGACTGGCGCGGTGGACGCTCGTGACATGCGGAAACCGCCCGCGAGCGAGACTGGCGCGGTGGACGCTCGTGACATGCGGAAACCGCCCGCGAGCGAGACTGGCGCGGTGGACGCTCGTGACATGCGGAAACCGCCCGCGAGCGAGACTGGCGCGGTGGACGCTCGTGACATGCGGAAACCGCCCGCGAGCGAGACTGCCCGCGAGCGAGACTGGCGCGGTGGACGCTTGTGACATGCGGAAACCGCCCGTGAGCGAGACTGGCGCGGTGGACGTGCGGAAACCGCCCGTGAGCGGGACTGGCGCGGTGGACGCTCGTGACATGCGGAAACCGCCCGCGAGCGAGACTGGCGCGGTGAGCAAGACTGGCGCGGTGGACGCTTGTGACAGGCGGAAACCGCCCGCGAGCGAGACTGGCGCGGTGGACGCTCGTGACATGCGGAAAGCGCTCGCGAGCAAGACTGGCCCGGTGGACGCTCGTGACGTGCGGAAACCGCTCGCGAGCGAGACTGGCGCGGTGGACGCTCGTGACATGCGGAAACCGCCCGCGAGCGAGACTGGCGCGGTGGGCGCTCGTGACATGCGGAACACGCCCGCGAGCGAGACCATGGCGCGGTGGAGCGGAAAGCGCCCGCGAGCGAGACTGGCGCAGTGGACGCTCGTGACAGAAACCGCCCGCAAGCGAGACTGGCGCGGTGGACGCTCGTGACATGCGCAAACCAAACCGCCCGCGAGCGAGACGCATGCTCGTGACATGCGGAAACCGCCCGCGAGCGAGACTGTCCTCGTGACATGCGGAAACCGCTTGCGAGCGAGACTGGCGCGGTGGACGCTCGTGACATGCGGAAACCGCCCGCCAGCAAGACTGGCGCGGTGGGCGCTCGTGACATGCGGAAACCGCCCGTGGGCGAGACTGGCGCGGTGAACGCTCGTGACATGCGGAAACCGCCCGCGAGCAAGACTGGCGCGGTGGACGCTCGTGACATGCGGAAAACGCCTGCGAGCGAGACTGGCGCGGTGGACGCTCGTGACATGCGGAAACCGCCCGCAAGCGAGACTGGCGCAGGGGGCGCTCGTGACAGGAAGAAACCGCCCGCGAGCCAGGCGGAAACCGGCGCGGTGGATGCTCGTGACATGCGGAAACCGCCCGTGGGCGAGACTGGCGTGGTGGGACGCTCGTGACATGCGGAAACCTCGCGAGCGAGACTGGCGCGGTGGACGCTTGTGACATGTGGAAGCCGCCCGTGAGCGAGACTGGCGCGGTGGACGCTCGTGACATGCGGAAACCGCCCGCGAGCGAGACTGTCGCGGTGGACCCTCGTGACATGCGGAAACCGGCGCGGTGGACGTCGTGACACGCGGAAACCGCCCGAGAGCGAGACTGGGAAGCCGCCCGCGAGCGAGACTGGCGCGGTGGACGCTCGAGACATGCGGAAACCGCCTCCGAGCGAGACTGGGGGACGCTCGTGACATGCGGAAACCGCCCGCAAGCAAGACTGGTGCGGTGGACTCTCGTGACATGCGGAAACCGCCCCCGAGCGAGACTGGCGCGGTGGACGCTCGACAGGCGGAAACCGCCCGCGAGCGAGACTGGCGCGGACTCTTGTGACAGGCGGAAACCGCTCGCGAGCGAGACTGGCGCGGTGGACGCTCGTGACAGGCGGAAACCGCCCGCGGGCGAGACTGGTGCGGCGGGCGCTCGTGACATCGGAAACTGCCCGCGAGCGAGACTGGCGCGGTGGACGCTCGTGACATGCGGAAACCGCCCGCGAGCGAGACTGGCGCGGTGGACGCTCGTGACAGGCGGAAACCGCCCGCGAGCCAGGCAGAAAGCGGCGCGGTGGATGCTCGTGACATGCCGAAACCGCCCGTGGGCGACACTGGCGTGGTGGAGGCTCGTGACATGCGGAAAACGCCCGCGAGCGAGACTGGCGCGGTGGACGCTCGTGACATGTGGAAACCGCCCGTGAGCGAGACTGGCGCGGTGGACGCTCGTGACATGCGGAAACCGCCCGCGAGCGAGACTGGCACGGTGGACGCTTGTGACATGCGGAAACCGGCGCGGTGGACGCTTGTGACATGCGGAAACCCGCCCGAGAGCGAGACTGGCGCGGTGGACGCTCGTGACATGCGGAAACCGCCCGCAAGCGAGACTGGCGCGGTGGACGCTCGTGACATGCGGAAACCGCCCCCGAGCGAGACTGGCGCGGGGGACGCTCGTGACATGCGGAAACCGCCCGCAAGCGAGACTGGTGCGGTGGACGCTCGTGACAGGCGGAAACCGCCCGCGAGCGAGACTGGCGCGGTGGACGCTCGTGACGGCGGAAACCGCCCGCGAGCGAGACTGGCGCGGACGCTCGTGGCAGGCGGAAACCGCCTGCGAGCGAGACTGGCGCGGTGGACGCTCGTGACAGGCGGAAGCCGCCCGCGAGCGAGACTGGCGCGGTGGACGCTCGTGACACGCGGAAACCGCCCGCGAGCGAGACTGGCGCGGCGGACGCTCGTGACATGCGCAAACCGCCCGCGAGCGAGACTGGCGCGGTGGACGCTCGTGACATGCGGAAACCGCCCGCGAGCGAGACTGGCGCGGTGGACGCTCGTGACAGGCGGAAACCGCCCGCGAGCGAGACTGGCGCGGTGGATGCTCGCAACATGCCGGCGAGCGAGACTGGCGCGGTGGACGCTCGTGACATGCCGGCGAGCGAGACTGGCGCGGTGGACGCTCGTGACATGCGGCAACCGCCACGTGCGCGGTGAACAGCCCGGCGCTCCAGGTACGCCATATAATTGGCCTTTTTGCCGCACACCTGACCCGAACAAACGGTGCCAGTGTGTTTCTAGGACGAACCCTGCCTTCAGAAGCTGTGGCCTCGTGGGGTTCGCCCTACTTATTTGGAAGCAGCCTGGAAGCACGTTGACATGAATATGCTGAGCACACTCGGCCCAAACAAAAGGGCGCATGAACATCCGAACAGCTGACCCCGGTCTACGCAGATCGTGGTAACAACTTGTTTCAGACAGGCGTCAGACCCACCAAGTGACCAAGGCTTCTCCACACCGAGCCCCCCGCAAAAGCGCAGCGCCGGCCCCGTCTCCACACACCTGCGGCGAATCCACCCAACTTGCCATCCACACGCATCCAATTGACAACGTGCGCGGCCCTTTCCACAAAGTCACCAGTTGCAATTGGTTGCGAATGGGAAAATAGGTGGAGAAACTAACGAATCCAAGCAAGCTTACGAAGCAAGTTTGTGAAGGCCACGTGCACGGCTCCATGTGAACAGCCCGGCGTTCCAGGTGCGCCAAAATTGTCATTTTTGCCGCACACCTGACCCGAACAAATGGTGCCAATGTGTTTCTAGGACGAACCCTCTCTTCAGAAGCTGTAGCCTCTTGGGGTTCGCCCTACTTATTTGGAAGCAGCCTGGAAGCACGTTGACATGAATATGCTGAGCACACTCGGCCCAAACAAAAGGGCGCATGAACATCCGAACAGCTGACCCCGGTCTACGCAGATCGTGGTAACACTGTGTCTCAGACTTGTTTCGGACAGGCGTCAGACCCACCAAGTGACCGAGGCTTGTCCACACCGAGCCCCCCGCAAAAGCGCAGCGCCGGCCCCGTCTCCACACACCTGCGGCGAATCCACCCAACTTGCCATCCACACGCATCCAATTGACAACGTGCGCGGCCCTTTCCACAAAGTCACCAGTTGCAATTGGTTGCGAATGGGAAAATAGGTGGAGAAACTAACGAATCCAAGCAAGCTTACGAAGCAAGTTTGTGAAGGCCACGTGCACGGCTCCATGTGAACAGCCCGGCGTTCCAGGTGCGCCAAAATTGTCATTTTTGCCGCACACCTGACCCGAACAAATGGTGCCAATGTGTTTCTAGGACGAACCCTCTCTTCAGAAGCTGTAGCCTCTTGGGGTTCGCCCTACTTATTTGGAAGCAGCCTGGAAGCACGTTGACATGAATATGCTGAGCACACTCGGCCCAAACAAAAGGGCGCATGAACATCCGAACCCCGGTCTACGCAGATCGTGGTAACACTGTGTCTCAGACTTGTTTCAGACAGGCGTCAGACCCACCAAGTGACCGAGGCTTGTCCACACCGAGCCCCCCGCAAAAGCGCAGCGCCGGCCCCGTCTCCACACACCTGCGGCGAATCCACCCAACTTGCCATCCACACGCATCCAATTGACAACGTGCGCGGCCCTTTCCACAAAGTCACCAGTTGCAATTGGTTGCGAATGGGAAAATAGGTGGAGAAACTAACGAATCCAAGCAAGCTTACGAAGCAAGTTTGTGAAGGCCACGTGCACGGCTCCATGTGAACAGCCCGGCGTTCCAGGTGCGCCAAGATTGTCCTTTTTGCCGCACACCTGACCCGAACAAATGGTGCCAATGTGTTTCTAGGACGAACCCTCTCTTCAGAGTCTGTGGCCTCTTGGGGTTCGCCCTACTTATTTGGAAGCAGCCTGGAAGCACGTTGACATGAATATGCTGAGCACACTCGGCCCAAACAAAAGGGCGCATGAACATCCGAACAGCTGACCCCGGTCTATTCAGATCGTGTTGTAACACTGTGTCTCAGACTTGTTTCAGATGGGTGTAGAGCGAGCTTATGCCTTGCTTACAATTTGGGAGTGGTAGTTTGTGCGGATCCATTTTCGGATTTCTGCGATTGGTTCTTCATGATGAATCGGATGACTCCGTGCCTGCCATGTAGTGCGGGGCCTGTCATGTTTCACCCGTGCCTTTGCCTTTTTCTCTGTGCTTGGTCAGAGCACAGGCTGCTGGCTGCCAATCCGGCTTGAGTTGCGGTTGCTCCCCTTCTTCATCTGTTTTGGGGTTGATTTCCCAACTGTGAAAAACTTAAATCTTGGTTTTCCTTCGGACCCTTGAGCCGGAAAACGACGGGATCCGCATGCCATGGGGAGTGAGGCTGGTTTGCTTTTGGGTTCCCGGGCTCCTCTTGTTTAAAACTCGGACCCCCCAAAATGGCGGCTTCTCCGCTTTGCTTTTTGCTTTCCTTTACAACCAAAAAAGGGGGGGTATCCTCAAACAAAATGATACACCCTTGGTTTCCCCTTTAAAACCACCGGAAAAAGAAAAGAAAACACTGGTACCTCCCAAAAAAGACGAGTACTGGTGTCTTCCCTTCGACCGGCTGCTGGCCCCCGACGTTTTCGCGAGAAGCCGCCTCCGCCTCAAACGCCAGCAACGAGGTCAGCGAGGAGGCCCGGCGCCAGGCCTCGAAAATGGGCGTCTCAAAATCGGATTCGGCACCCCCAACCAAAAAGAACATGGAGCGGTGTTTTTTTGTGTGAACCCCTGTAAAGCCACCCAAAAGGGGGGGGAATTAGAACAACAACAAATGGAGCGACATGGCGTTGTTTCTTCTCTTTCTTTCCCGGTTTTCCTTGTAGGAACCCCTGCAAAGCCACCAAAGAATGGGGGGGTGGGGGGGGGGGGTAATTACTAGTTTCAGCCAGGGTTTCGAAATGGTGCGAAAGGATTTCGCAACCATCCGCAGTATGGGGAAAGGCAGCAAGCACTTTTTTACCATGACCTGTTCTGCCAGTCCGGTGACCGGCTGTTCTCTGTAGTGACCAAGGTTGGGATGCTTCGTGATGCGAATGAATGAAAGCTCCGGAAATCGCCGGTGTCCTATGCTGGATAGATCGAAAACAAGTGGAGCCCGGGAACCGAAAGCAAATCCGAAACACACAACGTAGACTCCGCACACCTGAAAAGCAACAAATGACCACGGCAGCCCCTCGTAGAGATTTGAGAACAGGCCACCAAACGCGGCAATTCCTCCCAAACCCTTCGCGTTAAGATGAGGAGGAAACAAAGCAGAAGGAGCAGGAGGAGGAGGAGGAGGAGCCGGAGGATGAAGATCAGAATGAGGAATGAGGACCAGAACAAGGACGAAGGAGAAGGAGATGTGATGACCATCAATAGTTGCAGCTATTTTTGTAAGACAAACCGAAGTGAAAACCGAAGCCCGGAGGTCAGATGCCGCAGCCCCGACCCCCGACGAGTTTGCCCGGATCGCCTCGTAGCTTCGTCGGTTCGCCTTGAGTTTGCACGAAAGCGAGCTGCCATGGGTGTTTCTCCACATAGGAATCGGACCCCAAAATAGCAAGGGTGTCCTTGTGGCTTCTTTTCCCAAAGAAGGGCGCTTCTGAAAATGGGCTTTGTGTGTTCCTTCTGGGTTTCCCTTCGTGAAACGGGGCCTCGATTTTGGAGAACCCCCCACATCTCCAAAGGCAAACCATGGCTTCATGATTGTATATTTACTCTTTGCTTCACAGCGAGTCACTGGCAAACTGTGAAATGTATCCTAAGTCTACCGCAGGCCTTGGGATGGAGCCAGCCAACTTCTCTCGGGCGCGAAAAAAAGAGCCCGAGGCGGGCGCGTTTGGCGGCGGCGCCCTGGCGGAGTTCTGCCTTGACCTCGCGGAAAAACGCGAGCTTTGGTCGAGGAAGAAACCGGGCGTAAAACGTGCAGCAGCTGCTCTAAATCTGAAAAAACATGTGAAACCATTTCCGTGCCTCGTTCTGAAAGTGCAGGCTTTTTTAAGGATACCAAACTTAAAGCGGGGTACTCTTGCAGCTCAGGGCGAGCCTCGGGCCCCCGAAAGCGGTTAGGTCCACGGCATGACGCTGCCCGACTTGGTCGGTTTCGGCTCATCTTTTCCCTCGCCTCGGCCGAAGCTTACGCCGGGGAGGTCCACCAGTCACTCGCGACAACATGACCTCCCATCACTTGCGACACAAACGCAGCACGGTCCTCAGCACCAGGGGGGTGGGCTGGGCTGGGCTGGGGTGGGGCGTGCTCATGGTCGAAACCTCTTGCACACACGCAGGGTGGAGGTGTGGGGAAACGAGCGTCACAAGCGACGAGCAAAAGAGCGGCACAAGCGCGAACGCCTCACCCGATGAGCATAGGACGATTCCAAAGCTGGGAACATCCTGGGATGTAGAAAGAGATGTGAACACGGAGTTCTCTTGATAGAAATCCTTACCTGCGTAGCAGAGTTTCATCTCAATGCGAAGGGACGTTTTGACCATGGCGCGCTTTTCGGAGCTCCTCAGCTTCCGCCCCGCTTGGTGCCCTGCGCTCTGGACTCTCAGTTCGCAGGCCATACTGCCACTGCTGTCGAATCTGCTCTTGAAGGTGGACCTCGGATATTGAACTTCCATTTGGTTAAGACCCCTGGAAAAAGCAAACATATTCCAGTAATGAAATCGATTCCCTTTGAAACCAACAGGGGATTTGTATTGATGTATTTTTATTTTACTTTTTTATTTTAAAAAGAAATAGGCAAATGGTAGGGAATGTTCCACAAGTGGGTTCAACATGTTCAATGCCGGTTTCGTCCGTGCCGCTTCTGAACCAAACATGTCCATTGGCCCAAAGGACTCCCCAGCGCGGCCGAGTCCGGAAACAGCTGGCTGTTGGGGGGGAAACTGAGGCACAGACCCCGCCGGATTGCCTGTCCAAAGCAGCTGACTTTGCACAGCGGAAAGGACCGCCCCGGAAATACAGCGTTGCGGACCCGACTGCGCTGGTCCAAACTGGGACCCAAAAGACTTCACTTCTTGCGGCTTCAACAATGTAGGAACCTTTCCAACGGGCCCGGCATGGGCCGAGGTCTCTGGAAAATGGCCCAAGCCGAGGGTGAAGCTGGACGGCACCACTACCGTTTTGCGGGTAAAGGGGATGACCAAGGCAAAATGGGGAGACTGTAACGTGCCTTTCAACTCTTGGTTGCTGCTGATCCCTCTGCAAAAAGTTCAACTTTTTGTGGGTGTAGTGGAAAACCCAGCTTGATTTCAACCAAAAAGTTAAAGTCTAAAGATCCGTTGCCCAATAGCAGTCAAGAACTCTCGCAGTCTGGCAACGCCGAAGCTAGCTCTGCTGGCCTCCTCGCGGCTGGCACCTGCACAGTGCTTGCTCGGCAAAATGGGGGGGGGGGGGTCGACGGGTCCACCGGTCCACCAAAAAAGATGCTGAAAGAATGATGACTTCTTGAGCTCCAGGTGAATCTGCAGGGGAGTATGTTTGAAAGATGTGACTCTCGACGCCACTCCATGCCTCCCTCTCCCTCGTCTCCCGTGGCTTGGGTACAGTGCCTCGTGGACGCAGCTGCCATGAAATTCATCCGAAGTCAAACGCCGAAAAACCGCAATGACAAAGCCTAACTCAGCCTGGTTCGGCCTAGCTCGAGTTGCTCGACATGATACAACTTGCACGGGCAGCCCTCTGCCATTTTGTCCGCGCCATTGTTGCTTTGCCCATGTGTCAAAGCCGGAGTGGCGACACGTGGGACCCTGATAATGTGACATTCACTTGCCCTGGCCAGCCTGTCAATCTCCCGGCCTGTTGCGCTGTCAAAATCCGATCTATGATCCTTTCAGTTGCCATCCGGGTCACGGGGGGGCCTTCCTGAAAACCCTTCGGCTCATGTAAGGAGCTGGGGGCAGTGCGCCCCGCAGATTGGCTGCGCTGCAAACCTGAAGCCAAGGGGTGGCGGCCAAAGACAAACAGCGCAACGGCACGAGAAGCAGCAGCATGAGGAGCGTCTGCAAGGAAGAACAAAGTAGCAGTAGCAGCACTTTGTAAGACAACAGTCCCAGGCAGACGCGAAGAACGAATAAAAATAAGGAGGAACATCAAGAGAAGACCAAATCCAGGCATAGCGGTTCCGGTCGAAGTAAACGTGGCAACTCCGAAGTGTCGGCGGCCGAGAATCGTTGCACGCGAAGATTAGTTGCCCCCGGCCACATCGAGTCCCGTGCCTTTCTCAGGCACAGCCGCACTGGGCCTCGCAAGAAGCCATCGCGCATTCAACGAAAGGCACGGCTGAATCGGCAGACGCTCAAAGTCTGCAAATGTCTTTCTGCGATAAGCTTGCCGAAACAGATGTGTAGGCATACACAGATTTTAGAGACAGAGAGAGATGCTTTGCGCGTGCGCGTGCATGTGTCTGTGTCTGTGCGCTACAATTAGTATCTATATATATATATATGTACATCATGTCTGTGTGTGTGCGTGTGGACGTGCGTATCTACATGCATGTGGCACATCGCAAATTGGCTGTGTGTGTGTGTCTGTGTGCTGCTTTGCATAAGAAACCTACTAACTACTGGTACACGCGCCATAGACGGCCGTGTATGGGCAACATTGCGCCCCCGAAACTTCGGCTTGAACTCTACAAGAAACACGTTATTTTTACTGACTCGAACTCCAATGGCTAGGGGGGGAAGGAGAAGAACAGCGTTTCGCCAAGGCGAACACACACATTTACAACACAAGTTGAACCCCTCCTAAGTGCTTGTTCATTCGCTTCACGCGCAAACGCACGTCAGCCTGGAAAGAACACGGCTTCAAAACTTGTGTTTCGCCTCAGCGAAACGCTTACTTTCAAGTGAGCCCATTTGACTGTGTCGAGCACCATGTTTTCCACCCTAGAGCTTGCAACCCACACGTCAAAGCCCAGTCCATCCAAGCGATAGGTAGTGACCCATCAGCTCAGTCAGTCCTAAAAAATCTGGTGGTTGAGAGCGCAAGAAGAAGAAGAAGAAGAATTCCGCCGACCCCTTCTCCTCAAAGGGGGAGGCGCACGGGAAGGGCGCGTAGTCATGATTATCATCATGACTGTTGGTGATGCAGAGGATGCACGATGATGGTTATCATCCATGATGACAACGGTGATGATGACGATAATCACCACCATGGTGATGATGACATGCTCATCATCACATCATCATTGTTGCGACCTGATTGAAGATCCAGAGGATGCGTAGACATGATGTTGTCGTTCTTATCTCTTTGTATACATACGTTTCAAGGGCGATAGAGCCGATTGGAGATGCAGAGGGTGCGTTGTCATGACTATCATCATGACTGTTGGTGATGCAGAAGATGCACGATGATGGTTATCGTCCATGATGACAACGGTGATGTTGGTGATGCTGACGATGATATTGATGATGACGATGATGACGTCAGCGTTGTGACCTGATTGGAGATGCAGAGGATGCGTAGACATGATTATCATCATGACTGCTGGTGATGCAGAGGATGCACGATGATGGTTATCATCCATGATGACAACGGTGATGATGACGATGATGACGATGATGATGATGACGATGATGATGACAAGAATCACCACCATGGTGATGATGACATGCTCATCATCACATCATCATTGTTGCGACCTGATTGAAGATGCAGAGGATGCGTAGATGTGATTATCGTCATGACTGCTGGTGATGCTGAGGATGCGCGATGATGGTTATCAACCAGGATGACGATGATGATGACGATGATGACGACGATGATGACGACGATGATGATGATGACACGCTTGTATCATACATAATCGTTGTCGTGCTTGTCTCTTTTATTTTATATACGTTTCAAGGGTGACGTTAGAGCCGATTGGAGATGCAGAGGGTGCGTAGTCATGAGTATCATCATGACTGTTGGTGATGCAGAGGATGCACGATGATGGTTATCATCCATGATGATGACGATGATGCTGACGATGATGATGATGATGACGATGATGATGACGATGATGATGATAGATGACGATGATGACGACGATGCTGACGACGATGATGATGATGACGTTAGAGCCGATTGGAGATGCAGAGGGTGCGCAGTCATGATTATCATCACGACTGTTGGTGATGCAGAGGATGCACGATGATGGTTATCAACCAGGATGACGATGATGATGACGATGATGACGACGATGATGACGACGATGATGCTGATGACACGCTTGTCAGTATGTCACATCATAATCCTTGTCGTGCTTATATCTTCTTATATACGTTTCAAGGGTGACGTTAGAGCCGATTGGAGATGCAGAGGGTGCGCAGTCGTGATTATCATCACGACTGTTGGTGATGCAGAGGATGCACGATGATGGTTATCATCCATGATGATGACGATGATGATGACGATGATGATGATGATGATGACGATGATGGTGACGATATGGGTGATGATGACACGCTCATCATCACATCATCATTGTTGCGACCTGATTGAAGATGCAGAGGATGCGTAGATGTGATTACCGTCATGACTGCTGGTGATGCAGAGGATGCACGATGATGGTTATCAACCAGGATGACGATGATGATGACGATGATGACGACGATGATGACGACGATGATGATGATGACACGCTTGCATGTCAGTATATCACATCGTCGTGCTTATATCTTCTTTTCTACGTTTCAAGGGTGACGTTAGAGCCGATTGGAGATGCAGAGGGTGCGTAGTCATGATTATCGTCACGACTGTTGGTGATGCAGAGGATGCACGATGATGGTTATCATCCATGATGACAACGGTGATGATGACGATGATGACGATGATGATGATGACGATGATGATGACGATAATCACCACCATGGTGATGATAACATGCTCATCATCACATCATCATTGTTGCGACCTGATTGAAGATGCAGAGGATGCGTAGATGTGATTATCGTCATGACTGCTGGTGATGCTGAGGATGCACGATGATGGTTATCAACCAGGATGACGATGATGATGACGATGATGACGACGATGATGACGACGATGATGATGACACGCTTGTATCATACATAATCGTTGTCGCGCTTGTCTCTTTTATTTTATATACGTTTCAAGGGTGACGTTAGAGCCGATTGGAGATGCAGAGGGTGCGTAGTCATGAGTATCATCATGACTGTTGGTGATGCAGAGGATGCACGATGATGGTTATCATCCATGATGATGACGATGATGATGACGATGATGATGATGATGACGATGATGATGATGATGATGATAGATGACGATGATGACGACGATGCTGACGACGATGATGATGATGACGTTAGAGCCGATTGGAGATGCAGAGGGTGCGCAGTCATGATTATCATCACGACTGTTGGTGATGCAGAGGATGCACGATGATGGTTCTCAACCAGGATGACGATGATGATGACGATGATGACGACGATGATGACGACGATGATGGTGATGACGCGCTTGTCAGTATATCACATCATAATCCTTGTCGTGCTTATATCTTCTTATATACGTTTCATGGGTGACGTTAGAGCCGATTGGAGATGCAGAGGATGCGCAGTAGTGATTATCATCACGACTGTTGGTGATGCATGCATCACCAGCAGTCATGACGGTAATCACATCTACGCATCCCCTGCATCTTCAATCAGGTCGCAACAATGATGATGTGATGATGAGCATGTCATCATCACCCATATCGTCACCATCATCGTCATCGTTCATCATCATCATCATCGTCATCATCATCGTCATCATCATGGACATCATCGATGAACCATCATTCGTGCATCCTCGAGGATGCACGATGATGGTTATCAACATTGGATGACGATGATGATGACGACTGATGACGATGATGACGACGATGATGAGGGTGCGTAGTCATGAGTATCATCATGACTGTTGGTGATGCAGAGGATGCACGATGATGGTTATCATCCATGATGATGATGATGACGATGATGATGATGATGATGATGGTGATGACGATGATGATGACGATGATGATGATAGATGACGATGATGACGACGATGCTGACGACGATGATGATGATGACGTTAGAGCCGATTGGACTGTTGGTGATGCAAAGGATGCATGATGATGGTTATCAACCAGGATGACGATGATGATGACGATGATGACGACGATGATGACGACGATGATGATGATGACACGCTTGTCAGTATATCACATCATAATCCTTGTCGTGCTTATATCTTCTTATATACGTTTCAAGGGTGACGTTAGAGCCGATTGGGGATGCAGAGGGTGCGCAGTCGTGATTATCATCACGACTGTTGGTGATGCAGAGGATGCACGATGATGGTTATCATCCATGATGATGACGATGATGACGATGATGATGATGATGACACGCTCATCATCACATCATCATTGTTGCGACCTGATTGAAGATGCAGAGGGTGCGTAGATGTGATTATCGTCATGACTGCTGGTGATGCAGAGGATGCACGATGATGGTTATCAACCAGGATGACGATGATGATGACGAACGATGATGACGACGATGATGACGACGATGATGATGATGACACGCTTGTCAGTTTCTCACATCATAATCCTTGTCGTGCTTATATCTTCTTATATACGTGTCAAGGGTGGCGTTAGAGCCGATTGGAAATGCAGAGGGTGCGTAGTCATGAGTATCATCATGACTGTTGGTGATGCAGAGGATGCACGATGATGGTTATCATCCATGATGGTGACGATGATGATGACGCTGATGATGAAGATGATGATGACGATGATGATGACGATGATGATGATAGATGACGATGATGACGACGATGATGATGATGACGTTAGAGCCGATTGGAGACGCAGAGGGTGCGCTGTCATGATTATCATCACGACTGTTGGTGATGCAAAGGATGCACGATGATGGTTATCAACCAGGATGACGAT